GAGGGCCCTGGGGATCCGCCTGCTAAGGGCAATCCAACTACGGAGTACTATATGTAAGTACAACATCCATCTGCGATCTTGTTGTATATATGGTTTCAAATGCCTTTTTTTAATTGCTGGAGTGACTGCTACAATTATTCAAGTTCATGACGAAGATATATAGCATGAATGAGAATAATATATATCCTCCGGAAGAGTTGATGGAGATAATATAGACACTATGTGAACTTGTACTCTGTCTAGGTGGTCAGAATTCCAATAATGAAACTGAAATGATTGAATAATTTAGTATGGAAGTACCTAGCCCAATGCCGATGCGCTCAACAAGAAAACGCTCAAGATTAATATACAGAGAGCCACATGATACTAGACCGGTGGTAGCTAGGGTATGAAAGAAGAGAGATATAACAAAATCCAAGCGAGAGAATGCTATGATACACCAAAATCATGACAAAGCAACTCTATCCACGAACTTTTCGGTAGCTTGGCGGGTGCCACGACTGTTTGATCATTTTGCCAGCCCAGACCGGAACCAGAGACACAGCCAGCACGGCGAAAACTCGCCACAACCAGTCAAGGGTAATCACGTAACTAAGGTCGAAGTACTCGCCCAGGAAGGGGATACTGCCTGCATATACAAGCAGCGTACCAATCAGACAAAAGATCATGACCGGGTGCCATGTTGTGATTGAAGTGGCGACCATGCCAAGCTCATTGAGGACGAGGGCCGTGAAGGAAAGACTAATAAGGCGCGGCCCTGTGATGGTATCCAACAATATCTGAGAGAGACCCTGGATCACTGCACCCTGGTAGACGGAAATGAGAACCCAGCCAAAGAACGAGCGGTAGCTTAGACTCTTCCCTGTCTTGAGCTCTTTATAAAGCTCTGGGTAGAGATTGGCAAGACGCTCGTCGACATCCCGATCAAAGGCGAGGGAGAAGACCGGTGCGTTGGTATAAACAGTGGCGTAGCCGACCATCAGCCAATTGATGAACAAGCCCTTGGGATCGAAGTGGCTGGCAATGCTGTACATAGTCTGGCAAACACTGATGATCAACCCACGGTGCATGATGAACTGCGCTAGTTTAGCAGACCGCTTGTACGAGTTGCGGCCGTGCCAGACGAGAAGCTTGGTAATATGGTGGAACTGCGTGATACTAAAATCAGCAGCCAGAGATGCTTGGCGGCCTTCCTTGCCCACGATACCAATTCCGACATCGGCTGCTTGAATCATCGAGACATCGTTACCGCCATCTCCGATACAACAGACACGTTTCTTTGTGTGTTGGCGAATCAGGTCTGCAATCTCAGCTTTCTGGGTAGGGGAGCATCGGCACGCGATCACAGCGGGAAGTAGCACCGCGACAGAGATGAAAGCTGTTTTAAATTGACCAAGCATGAGGTTCAAGGACTCGCCATCAATGAGCAGGCAGCAGTCAGTCTTGTTGCGCAAGAAGTCAAGAGCCTCTTGGGCAGTCGACTTGTCTGTGACTTTGGTGACTGTGTGAATGTACTGGCCCCGAGAGACCAATTTGGCAGAAATAGCGACACAACGAGCTGTTTCCACCTTGTCACCCGTCAGCATCCAGATCTTAACACCGGCGTTGCGTAACAGCTCGAGAGAGGATTTGACGTCGCGTTGCAGCCGATCTTCCACACCGGTCACACCGGAAAGCTCCAAATCTTGTTCAAGGTATTCGCTCACAACCTTCGCCATGCCTGCATCTCGCCCTTGGAAAGACAGTGACGCTTGTTTGTATTTAGCAGAGAAATCTTGGTATTGCTGTGCGGAGATTCTTTTGCGCCCAACAACGAGAGTTCGCAACCCTTCCCGAGCCATGTTCGTAGTCTCCTCGTCAAGCCAGTCATTTGCTGCAACAATAGTTGTCATGACAGTGTCTGCACCTTTCTGATAGAACCAAATTTCACTATCATCTTTGCTGGATTCAAGTATGTCTTCATCGTGCTGGAATTGGACGATAATCCCCATTCGCTTGGAGTCGGATGTGAATGGGAAGATGTCGAGAATCCGAGCGCGGACCACAACCTGCTTGGAGTCGGTGGATTCCAAGACGATACTTTGTCTGTCTCGATATGCTAGCTTTAATCCAACTTCTTCGGTATATCGAATAATGGCGATTTCATCAGGCGATGACGCTTGATAGCTCGTCACCTTCCGGCCGTCTTCCTCCTCTGTGGTCGGCGTAACGTTGTGACAGAGAGCAAGTGCTAATATGATATCCCGGACGCGGGAACCAATCTCTCTTCTTGTCCGCGGCGCTGTGGCATGTCCGGCCTGAGTACCAAAGACAGTTGAAGGGGTAATCAAGGCATTGCCCGAAAACGCAAAAGCCTGACGAATAAACGAGGCGACTTCGTCCATTGCCTCGTTGGCGTATGAGACAGTGCCAACGTGTATTTTTTTGAGCTCCATCTCATTTTGGGTCAACGTTCCCGTCTTATCCGAAAGAAGGTATTCGATCCTTCCCAGGTCTTCTGGAATTGTACTGGTGCGGACTACAGTTCCTGGAATGTCCTTGTCCCGTTCGATGAACCGCCCGTATACCGACTTGGCCATGTCCAGATTGACCCGAAGGCTCATGGGAATGATTGTGGAGAAGAGAATAAGATAGATCATGATAGCAACGTACCATTTCTTGTCGTTTGTTGGTTGGAATCTTTCCAACCCGACAAGGATGATTGAGAGAGTGAATGTGAGGGCGCAAAGAATTTTGGTGAGGTTGTTAATTTCGAGCTCTAACAGGCCTGTCTTCGAACGGGAAGCGGAAGTCGAAAGCGAAGCTCGGGTTTGAGATCCCGTATAGATGATGACGGCGTAAGTGGTGGTATTGGACGCAAGAACAGTGTTGGCCCAGGCGGTATTGTCGATTGTCAAGGGAGCTGATTGATTTTCCACAGGCGCAGGCGTTCCTTCATTGGTTGGAGGCCCAGATGATTTGTCAACGTGAGCATCGTAGAGCCCAGTGGGCGGTCCCAAGCTAATAGTCCCCAAGAATTCGTTGACTCTTTTATCAGGAGCGCTAGCCGTGATTTGTAGTCGAGCTAAATCACCCAGAGGAAGCGATTGAGACAGCATGGAAGGCAGACGAAGCTTCCAGTCAGTTTCACCATCCAATTGATCAGTTCGGATGAAAGTATCAGCTGAGGGTGAATCTCCAACATCTTCACCATTCTTCAATGTGGTGTTGATTGTGGGTTCGGACGATCCCTGACCTGGTTCGAGCAAGTCGGAAGACGTCCCAGGGATAGGTTCTTCTGTTAATGAATGACGAGGAGTGCCTGAATCATTTGAAATGCTCTTCAGAATTACCACATCGGCAGGAAGGCGTTGGTTCTTGCGGACTTTGAGCACATCACCAACTTTCAGATCTCGCGACTTTTTTGTGACCTCCATCTCGTTGGACCTTCCTAATGCCACAGTGCAATATTCTTCCGCATTGGCTTCGGCATCTCGTCGCCGACGACCAATGTCATCAAGTGCCTCTTTACCCAATGATATTGAAACCACAAAGGCCAAAGGGGCAATGTAAGACGACATATAACCAATTCGCAGTACCGGGATGACCTGCGATAAAGCGACAAGGAGGAAGTAGATGTTGAAAAAAAAGGAGAATTCGTTGTAAAGGGTTCTCGGTAGGAAGCTCCAGGGTGTGTATTTTGCATTCGAGACCACATTAGCCGGATACTTAGCCGCCTGGTATTGTCCGACAAGTACTTCACGGGGAGGTTGGTTCTCAGAGGGAATATCATTTAATCCAAATCGAATTGATGTGCCCTGTAGGAATGCAGGAATTTTGAATATTGGGAAGCGCAAGCGGCTGCCTTGCTTGGCAGGCTCATCGTCCAAATCGCGAGTCGAGCTTCTGCGATCTAGTAGAGGCGCGTCATCATCCTCCAAGTTCCGAGAGCTTGCATGTGAGTCCCCCAAGCCTTGTGTCTCCCCGTTCTCTAAAAGCGCATCGGTATCATCCTCCATGTCTCCACGTCCGGACGCACTGCGTCTCCACCGACTTGCCGCTCCGACACGTAAGTTGCGCAGCGCAATACCCGGCCCGTAGCTTCTTTTGCGGCCAGTATAGTCCCGAGAATCCCGGGACTGTTGGGGGGATGTCGTGCTGGGGTCTAGCTCTTCTAGATCCAAGTCATCGTCCGAGTCCGAGAAGGCGTCCGGCGCATCGGGATGGTCTAGGGGGTGTTGGTAGTCGGATGAGGAAGGCATTCTCGGGAAGCTGGTATGATTCAAGTCAAATGGATTGCTGGTTGCATCCAAGGTGGTAATTTTGGGCCTTGCATCAAAGGAAGGTTCATCTCAAGTATATGTTATCATGTGCGGTGGTATTGGTCAAAACGCATATGCAGCATGATGATGAAAGAGTGGAGGGATGCTGCTAGGGTCACAATGAACCGTTTCTTTGTGTAGAATGCAGCCAATGCCACTACCATAAAAAATTGTGAGATATATAAACCGAAGAACCACCGAATCCTTTTGAAGACCGGTCGAGGACTGCCTTGTCGGGGCCACGCAATCACATGGGTGCATAATTCGCGGCGATAACGAGCTGACGTAATACTTCACTTTTAAGGTTATGTGAGCATAAGAGAGCCGGACTATCCCTTACTCCGAGTCACGGGTTTGTATTTTTCCTATTCGGGACAGCATCCTGATGACTCAGCGCATTCATTTGGCCCCCGGGGGAATCATAGGCGGAGATCGACGTTCGCTGTCGCAGACAATCCGACTGCTTGGTTTTTCCCTTCGCCATCAGCTGATGTGTTCATGGTCGATTTCTTTCTTTGAGTTTTTTGCTCTGGGTTATATCTACATTGTTTAATGGATTCTTAAGTTGACGCCCTCGACCCCCGTTTTCCTTACGATTGTTGATCTCCTGAGGCGTCATTGGAGACGTGTCAGGTTGGTCCCTGCGGACTGCGCCCCCCATCTACAGTCACGTTGGCAATCGATAATAACTTTGCACATATGGCGCACCAAGCGACCGAGAATGATTCGGAGTCATGGAATCCGGCATCACGGCCCGATAACAATAATTCCCCTGTTACGATCCAGAGTGGGTTGTCGGACCCGATTGCGGCGGACGGGCCAAAGGACAGGTCACTAGACGATGTTGTATCGCCACAGAGTGAGGATTTCTCTGCGTGGGATATATCCGATGAGGTAGATGGGATTCAGCCTCAATACACGAGCTTAGACGTGCTAGTGAACAATGAATCACCAGTGGTGGACCAGGATATGTGCCTAGACACCGATTCCGTCGATAAGAGCAGTCATGTCCCCGATGAGACGATCGCAGCGACTCATACAACTACGCCATCTATTGAAAATGCAGATACCGTCCTAAGCCAGACACTGCCAAAAACTCAACCCGCGCAACCAGTTCAGATTGAAGCACCTTCAGTCCATGGCGCGGAGACCAGTAATAGCTTTCCCACCATCATAAACGGGTTTCCTTCTGTTCATACCGAAAACTCAGATACTGTTGTGCCCACTGTCGCACCTGAACAAGAAACAGCGCCGGAGTCGACGTTTGTGGGAGAGACTACACCTCCAAGAGAGGAAACAACGGCATCCGAGCCTACATTGGACACTTCTAAAAATAAATATACCTCTCAGTCCACTCCCACCGACGAACTGTTCCCGGGAACGGACGCAGACAATGCCGATTCTGAAAATCCCTGGGCCACCTTCGAGAAGGACCTGAGCAATACGCTGCCCTCCACCGAAGAGGCCACCCCTCATAATATCTCAGAGCTCGCCTCAACCTCTACTCAAATCCAGGATAGCGACGAGCCAAATTTTGTTGAAGAAGCTGTACGTCCATTGCCAGAGGAAACAGCATTCACAGGTGCCACACGTGATGCGGAGAGTCTTGATGTCTTCAACTCAACTGAAAATGCCATCGCCCCGACCGAAAATGAGCAAATTGATCTCGTGTCTCACTCGATAAATGTTGAATCTGGGAATACCGGATCACCATCTCCTATCGCGGAGGCCTTTGCGCCGACCAACGACGCCCATCTAGATCCGGCCGCAGCGGGCGTGGATACAACCACACAGGATCAACCTTTCTGGGCAAACGAGTCAAGCGGTGAAGTGGAGTCCGATGAGGACGGCTTTTTTGACCAACTGAACAGCCAGACAAAGCCTATCTTTGCCCCGCCAGAAGCTGAATCCAGGTTTGAGGAAGGGGTTCCGTTGTTAGATGAGTCTACACCGGCTTCGCCTCAACACCCAACGGAACAGGAGACATCAATAGACAGTGTGTTTGCCAACGATGAAGACGATGTAGATGACTTCTTCATCTCGGCTCCAAAGACAGAGGCTAAGAACGCCGATGAGGATTTCTTCGCCTCCACCCCAAAGAAAGAGCCCGAGGAGCAACCCGTTGTTCATATCGCACGAAAGAGCACATCTCAGGTCTTGGAATCAGCCGGGTTTGCTCTCGATTCCCCGGTTAGTGACACTTCGGCCGCAGCGCAGTTTGATGATGCCCTGAAGGCTGCGTCGTTGGAGCCCCAAACAATGGCCGATCCATCGGAGGAGGAGCTAGCGGCACGGTGGGAAGCTGAACTCGGTGACTCACTGGACGATGATCTGGCGGCTCGTTGGGAGGCGGCATTGGACGATGACGACATACTGCTGGAGACTGAAGCTGCCCAGTCTGTCTCTGAACAGGAGCACGCTCATCAAACCCCTGTTCAGCCTGTCAACGACGGTTTGGTGGTTGGCTTGAACAGTCCGTTCCAGACCCCACAAGTCTTTTCTCAGCCAAGACCTGTTCCTAATATATACACACCCCACCAACCGTCCACTGGTGATCTTTTGCAGAATATTCCTCTCCCAGGAACTGCGCCGCCAACCACGGGAGCGATGTCATCATACTTCTCGCAACAGCCGCAGAACCCCGTGGCAATCAGGGGAGAGAGCTTTGCTGAGCGGTCAAAAGAGGGTTATAAATCTCCTTACGACCTTCCAGATGATATCTCCCGACCCCGAAAGCCGGTCGTTACCCACAAACCTGTTCCTCCACCAGTAATTAGTATGCCACCGCCTCCTCTTCCATGTGCCTCTGGCATACCGATTCCTGCTGTAGCTGGCTTCCCCCCTCCGGCAGCTCCCCCCTCAGCCCTGGCCGCTCCTCCTGCGCCGAAGAATTTCTATGAGGAACTCCCTCTGCCGCCACCAAGATCTAGGCCTGCCAGCTCAGGTCGGTACACCCCTAATCCGCAGACGGCGCCGACGATGACCGGATCGTCTCTTCCTCCTCCCCAGGTTCAATATGCTTCTGTTGTACCACCAGCCCCACAACCTATCGGGCTCCCAATCCAATCCACACTTCAGCCACCTGAACAGCTGGATCCATATGCTAGCCTGTCATCGAGTGCCCCGGTCGGACCTCCTACCGTTGCAAGGTACTCTCCTCAACCTCCTGGTTTTCAAGCACCCCCAAAGCCACCTTCGTTGCCGAGATATTCGCCTGCGCCCCCTCCTACCTCTTCTGTTCGCAATCGTTATGCCTCACAGCCGCTTAACGTTCCTGGCCAAAATTTGCCTTTCCAGCCACGGACTTCAAGTCCTCTTGCACACCATGAAAAGGTTTCTTACCAGCCTGATCAATCACACAGGCCCCCATCGCTTGAGCCTGCGATCAACCTTTCTTCGCCGCGCGAGCAAGGAGCTGGTTTCGGACAAATCCCACCTAGTGCTCCGCAATATTTCAACGGTCCTGCCAACCTACCGCGGAGAGAAAGTGCGGGCTCACCTCTCCAGCCATCTCCGCCTCAAAGTCGCTATGCCCCTCAGGAATATCTCAATGAATTCGCTCAGCGTCTTGCGCCGGGTCCAGAACACGCTCCTCCTGCTCCTCCTGCTCCCCCGGCCAATGGATTGTCTCCACCACCTAGCGATTTCCAAATGGGTCCACTTCGCAGATCTCAGACTCAGTCACCTGCCCGGGACTTGACGAGCCCGCGATCCTACGGACAAGACATCGATCCCCTCCAACGGCCGGCTTCGGTGCAAGTTTCAAGCTTGCCAATTCAAACCGTGAATCCGTATGCTCCTGTGAAGCCTGTTCATCAAACCCGTGCTCCGACGCATCATCTGGAATTTATCGCTCCCAATGATGGGCAGGAGCATGATCCCTTGGAACGATGGAAAGGTGCTCCGATCTTCAAATTCGGGTTCGGTGGATCCATGGTATCTTGTTTTCCCAAGCACGTCCCTCGCTATTCCATTGGACAAGTGGCGCCAATGATTCAACCCACTCTTGGTGAACCGAAAATCTCCCAGCTGAGCGAGTGGCTGCCCTCCGCTGATACCATTGTCCAGCACCCTGGGCCTCTCAAGGCAAAGTCAAAGAAGAAGGATTTGGTTGCTTGGCTTTCTAGCAAGATTGCAGCATTCGAAAATTCAGACCTTCCAAGCTACGAACAGGTTCAGTCTGATACGCACAAACGCCAGGAGGAGAAAACCCTTCTCTGGAAAGTTGTGAAGCTTCTGGTAGAGAATGACGGTAATCTGGAGAGTTCCCCTGAAATTCAAACCTCTCTCCGACATATCATCTTCCCCAACCTACCCAACTCCGACGCAGACGGATCATACGCAAGCAGCTTAGCCCCCTCGGGAGGGGTTGCCCCTTCGGAAACGCCTTTGCAGGCTGATGCTGTTGATGCACAGTGGTTGGAAGAGCTTCGACTACACTTAATATGTGGCGATCGAGAGAAGGCCGTGTGGAGCGCTGTCGATCGACGTCTTTGGGGACATGCGATGATCATCTCATCCACCATGGACAGGTCAATATCGAAACAGGTCGCGCAGGAGTTTGTCCGCCGCGAGGTCCGATCGAAATCCGCAAACACCGAGTCACTTGCAGCCCTCTACGAGATTTTCGCTGGCAATATCGAAGAAAGCATCGACGAACTCGTTGCCCCGTCTGCCCGGGCAGGTCTGCAACTTATTAGCATGGCCAATGGCCAGGGGTCTACCAAAAATGCCCTCGAGGGTTTAGACAAATGGAGGGATACCTTGGGACTGGTTTTGAGTAACCGAAGTCCTGGGGACCACCAAGCCCTTTTTTCTCTTGGACATCTGCTTAGTTCTTATGGACGGACGGAGGCAGCTCACGTTTGTTACATCTTCTCGCGCGCTGCCGTTTTCGGTGGCCCGGATGATCCACAGGCCAACATCACTCTCCTTGGTGCTGACCATCAGCGTTGCCCTTCTTCCTTGATGGATGAAGATGCTATCTTGCTGACCGAGGCCTATGAGTTTGCTATGTCTGTTCTCGGCAACTCTCCCACAGCTCATCTGCCACATCTGTTGGCATTTAAGATACTGAATGCCAGGTGCCTCGTAGACCAGGGTCGCAATTTAGAGGCGCAAGGCTATTGCGACGCAGTGGCAGCGGCATTGAAAGCAACCACTCGTCCCTCGCCCTACTATCACCAACACCTCTTTGCGGAAGTTGAAGAGTTGTCTGCTCGTCTGCGCCAAACAACCAGCGACAGTGGCTCTTGGATCTCGAGACCAAGCATGGAAAAGGTCTCGGGGTCTATGTGGGCTCGTTTCAATAGCTTCGTGGTAGGCGATGATAGCGATGCTGCATCGACTGGATCCGGCAAGGGTGGCGAGCATGCGGAGTTTGGTCCTTTTGCAAACGTGGCCGGCACCCCAACAATTAGCCGCTCACCTTCTGTATCTGAAATATACGGCTCTTATCCTGGAGCCGCGGCTGGAGCGCCGCTTATTCCTACCAGCGGCGCGTCCAAGTATCACCCATCGAGCCAATATGCGCCTGGTGCCTCACCTGAGCAGTTCAAGGGCCGATCGTCAATAGATTCTCAGAGATCTGCTTCCTACTTCCCACCCTATGGACAACGCCGAAGCTCACAGGAACTCTCGCCCTCGATTGATCAACAGATGTCCTATGGAGCTCCAGGGTATGGGTCGCCAAGCGCGGGTGGGTATCAACCAACACCACCTCAATCCTCTTATATTCCTCTTGCTCCGGTAGAAGAAGCTACGTCACCGGCTGAAGCTCATCCGGCTGCACAGTCTATGGTGAATGGTCTCTTTTACCATCCTCCTGGCCAGGCTGCCACATCCAGCCAATCCCCATATTATCAAGGCCCTCCTGGTATGCCAGCCAGTGTACCAGACTCAGAGTCACCCTACGCACCTCCCGCTGCCAGCTCATCTTATGAGCCGGTCTCTTATGAGCCAAATTCTTACGAGCCAGCTGCGGCTGGTGTAGACATGGGCTATGGTTCCCAGGAGGAGGACCTGCCACGGGCCGCGGAGCAGCCAAGGAAGCAGTCGATCATGGATGACGACGACGACGATCTTGCTGCCCGGGCAGCGGCTATCCAAAAAGCGGAGAATGATCGCAAGGCCAACGAAGCGTTCGCAAAAGCCGCCGAGGAAGATGGTATGTATTAGAAACGCCTATTGCTTATCTCACTTGCTAATCTGACTTGTGTTGCAGCTAAAAAGGGTCCCCAACAATCTGGCAAGAAGGGCTGGTTTGGTGGTTGGTTCGGCGGAGCTAAGAAAGAAGAAAACTCCGGTGGCGGTCCTATCAGAGCTAAACTTGGCGAAGAGAGCTCCTTTTACTACGACAAGGAACTGAAGAAATGGGTCAACAAGAAAGACCCCGGTAGTAGCGCGCCTGTGCATGCCACCCCGCCCCCTCCTCGAAGATCCGCTCCCCCCAGTCGGACTGCGAGCTCAAATAGTATGCCCCAAAACGGTGCGCCCCCGATGCCCCCGATGCCCCCAATGTCGGTCTCTGGTGGCCGGCCTCAATCTTCCTCTACCGCCGCACCGCCTTTCTTGTCCCCCAGCCCAGGCTTCCCTGGTCTCGCGCCTCGGTCCGTTTCTACGGGAGCGGCCATGCCAACACCGCCCGGTAGTTCCAGTGGCCCGCCGCCACGGCCTTCTTCGTCCTTGACTCATGCTAGCTCAATTGACGATTTGATCGGTGCGCCTCAGGCGCGCAAGGGCAGCGCAGTTCGCGGCAAGAAGAAGGGACGCTACGTTGACGTGATGGCTAAATAATCATCAGCCATTCAGAGAGAAAGGCTGATGATATAGTACTTTACTAGTCTCTCGACTAGCTGAGTGCTATAATGTCCTTTTCTTTTGTCTCATTATGTTCGTTTCATTGTTATGCCTTTTATTTGTTATCACATGATTACTTTGATGAACAACATCCCCTACCCTTGAATAATATAACCTTCCCCTGTTACTAGATTTGTCATTGCCCCATCAACCTGCATGTGTCCTGTTTTTTTGCCTCGGCAGACACGACATCTCTCTGCATTCTCGCTCACTGAACGTTATCGGAAGCCTTGCTTTTGCACATAGCTTGCTCGTTGCTGTTCCCTGGTGCCACCTCATCCATGGAGTCAAGGGCTCGTACTCCTGGCATTATGTATATCATCCTCCTCCCCTTGCTGTTCTATTCTGGCCTGACATTTTGTTGCTTGCTGGAACTTTTGGGACCTGGGGGTTTCTTATTGCATGGTTTCTGACATGCATGTGTCTTAATAACGATTTCTAATAATTCATTCCGACTTTCGAACGCCTGAACCTTGCGAAGATGACATTGTAGCCCAAGTTTCACCACGGACAGTATCATGTGGTGAAGGAATTAATATAATACTGACGACTGTTAGAACGCTTGGTTGTTGGGTAATGCATCCTTGGAGTAATGTCAACTCACCGTTAAACAAGATTCTTCCCCCTGTCCATTACCTGGCAGATAAACGTATAAAACTAGTGCCATCTCATTGACGAAGCCTAAACATAACAAACGAGAAATCGAGTCAGCACTTGCACCAGCGAGTGGCAACCTATCAGAAAACCCACAGGCGACAACCTTGGGACTAAGCCTCCCAATACTAAGCACCCGACTCCAATCCTTTCCATCAATCCGCACCTTAGCCCAACCAGACTCAGATCCCTCACTCGCCTCCCGCCTCCGATTAAGCTCACTGGGAAGCTGGCTGATCTGCTCCTGGCTCATCTGCGCAGGGTCCAACGGCGGGTTCACGAGATCAGACCAGACACTCGCGATGCGCAGCTCGTCCGTAGCAATAGCCAACCGTAGCGAGCCATGCATATTAGCAGATAATTCAAGCTTGGGAGATGAGTTGGTGGACAGTGCCGTCGCAGCTGTGCTAGCGCCCGGCCCGCCGAAAGAAACAGAGTGCATCCCCGGTGCATCGGGCGCCATCACACCCGGCTTTCGACCTTTGCTATCTGTAGATGCGAGTTTCGTGAAGCGATCGGAGATACTCTTCAACTGCGCTAGATTGGGTAGGATAATGTGCACTTCGGGGTCTGGACAGTGCGGCTCGTGCAGGCCTTCGACTGCTGCCTCGTTGAGGATCTTGATCGGGATTTCTTGCGTAATCCATGTCTGGCGCTCGCGTGGTCCCCGATCGCCCGTCGTATCGGCTGGAGCTGCGTCTGGATTTGGGTCGTCGCCAAAGCCATCTGTGTCATTATTGGTGGCCAAGGCCATGTTTCCCTCTGTCCATTCTGATGCGAGGACTGTTAGTGCCAAGAGGGGAATTTTGTCCTTTTTAGTTAGGCGGAGCTGTGTATGTGTTGAGCCCCAGGCGGAGCGCAGGGCTCGATTTAGGACGCTGATGTTGACTTCGATGTTGATGGCGTCGGAATTGGACTGTAGCTCGTAGGTCGAGTCATCGAAAATGGTTTCCTGGGAGATGGTCAATATATAGATCATATGACTGATAAATTGATATCATTATGCATACGACCGGTATTGACGCCCACACTTGTGTGCCTTGGTCAGGTATGATGGTGAAGCGGATGACTTCGTGCTCCAGGCGCATCCAACATACCTTGCCTAGCGAGGACAGCGACGCGGTGAGCTCTGATTGAGTTAGCTCTGATCTTCTATTTCAACAATTGGTCTTACTGGAGAAGGTCCTGCTGTCTCTTATTTGTGTTCGGAATCGCATTTTGCGAGTTGGGGGATGGAGGGAGGTTCGACACCTCACTTACGTGCTTATCGCTATCGTCCTATGATTTCACTACAACTCTTCTCTCTCACTTTGGAACAGCTTGATGGCATTCACTTTTACAAATATTCCTCTGTGCCACACTCTTCTAGTTCACCCGGGTCAACAGCCAAACTCGCAACCAGCGCTGCTCCTATTCCAGACCCATCCTCGGCCGGGTTCAGAGAAATCAGGTCCAATCTGTCTGGCTCCCAGTCGAAAATATCACGAAGACCCTGGCTTGCCCGTCCCTCCAACATACTATATTTATTGAACACCGCACCATCAACGCCAACGTGGCACTGACGGATTCCTTTCTTCTTGCATATGGCCGCAATCCCGCACGCGTATAGACGCGCTGAACGCATCGCGACCAGGCCGACAAGCCAACGGCACGCTTTCAGCTCATCCAATGAGAGTTCTAGATTGAGGCACTTTCTGAACTCCTCTTTCATATCGGTCAGACTTTCCGACATGTCCTTCTCGACAGTAGACAGAAACGATGTCTCCAATGAGTTCGCAGTCTGAAGACGTGAGACATTTTGGCCCTTGAAGAGTATACCTTTGTCGTGCATTTTCAGCATTACCAGGCGCAGCATCTCTCCGATGTACAACCCAGCCACCATCTTCTCATAGATCTGCCTGCCTGGATGGGCAGACTCATCGTCGATCTGTCGGTCAAATGGAGTTAAGGGTAGCACCTTGCGCTCGTTATCAAAGGAGCCGTACTCGGTGTTGATGATTACAGTTGCATCTTCGGGTAGTCCTGAATCATGAAGCTTGGGGATCAAACGGCATTCTTCCATGTACGCTGCATTGCAGCCAGTACTAAAAATGCTGCCCATTTTTATCTGCGGATCCCGGTAAGATGACGCGATAAGGGTCCCCACTGTGTCGTTGACGAGGGCGACCACTTTCACTGGGACATTCTACTTTGATCAGCTCCGACTTTCTTGGTATCCAACGTGAGCTTACCCTCTTTGCAAGTTCTTCTTCCAGCTGCGGTACTACATCGTGCCCTACCACTCCGGGAATATCGAAGTCTTTGGTCCAGCGCTGCAAAATACCACTGCGGATAGACTTTTGCTCCACTGGAAATGAGAATGTGAACGCCATCGGTAGTGGGCTTGAAGCACTGGCAGCACGGGCAGCACTGTGAGCACTGGGAGCACTACTAGCACTACTAGCACTACTAGCACTGCTAGCACTGCTAGCACTCTCAATTTCACAGCGACTTTCGTCGAGAAAAAGTTGGATTCGCTCCGCAATGAAACCCCATAAGGCTTCTTTCGTGGTTTTTTTGACTTCATCCGGAAGCTTGTATTTCCGCTGACGTTGCTCGAAGTCTCTCTTCCCCGTGGAAAAACAGACATCGCATATACGGATATTGGTTCCTCCCAGATCAACGGTGAGAATGCGTCCCTTCTCCTGACCCGTTGGGTATCTCATGATCCACGTGATATTCATAGGCTTCAGGTCAACGTTTCAGTTAGCATCTACTTGATATTCAAGGCCAACTGATACTGACAATAGACCCACCCTCAACGCTCAGACCTTTCTCCAGCTCCTGGGCAAAATGATCTGTGATCATCTTCAACTTGGGCGCATCGAGCATGAACCAATCTTCATATTCCTTGAGCTCTTTAGTGAACTCTTCCGGAAGATCTTTCACAAGTTCTGGGCGGTAGCGAAACCCTTGCATGATGATAGACTGGCTTGTTAGAAGATACTTTTGCTGCAACTCTGCAACTCTGAAGAGTTCTCGGGGATATTCCTCGGCCCTAGGCTAGGAGGTGCGCCATCAGTTCCGACAACGCCATCATTACCGCATAGTGATAGAGATCGATCGAATAGGTAATTTGTTTTGATTTTGCTATATCAAGGCCTTGCTATGGAGGTCATAGGAAATAATTGGGTAAATAGTAATATTCTTACTCCTTGCGTCTATAGTTGAAGCTATTTTCAAATAGCCTTGTTTTCCCCTTCCAGTAATATTTCTTTATATCGCTGCTTTCCTCACCGATTCCACAAGCCTCCGATCCGCCGATATGCTTCAATAGTCCAAGTTATATCGTAAATAAGAAAATGAACTGAAGAACTGTAGTATATCCCCATAGTAAAGGGCGGATCACCCGGCGATGGTTCGTGTCGGCAACTCCACTAGGACCTTAGGGCCCTTCCCCTGATCTAATCTCCACTTCAATAATAAATTCAACTTCAGAAAATCTTCCGATTATTGTTTGGATATCATTGTGATCAGAAAGCCGGTCTTTCTCTTCTTGTCGCTCATTTGTGCCCACTTCAGCACCCCTCCACTCTCCGCTGTCCCTCGCTTCTCGCATCCTCTCACCTTTGTACCTCGACCTCCCCCTCAACTTCCAATCGTTTTTATCATTTTTCCTCATTTCTTTATTTCCTTTCCAATTTCGAGCTGCTAGCCAAGTTCTGCACTTTCTTAAGACGCGCGTCTCAGCATGCGGGCTCGACAGTCTTCTTTCCCGCCCTCGTTCCGACGTCCGTCACTTACATGCCATCCTCGAGCCAGTCGAGGCTCCCTGTGACTTTACATCTCAGATTTAGGCTGAGCATCTATTCGGCATGGCGGCCACTCGAATAAATCCGAACCGCCCTTTCATTCGCCTCTCTCCCTCCCACTCCCGAAACAACTCGCGCTCAACCTCCTCACTGGAGAGAATCCCCGGCTCCGTCTATCAGCAACTCGACCCTCTCCTCAGTAACCTTTCTCCCGAATCAACTCTCCAAGCCCTCACATCCATCGACGCAGTCCCTTCGAATGAACAAGGTGCTCATGATATTCTTTCACGAAGTATCTCCCAGGTGTCGCCTTCGGAACGCGCCCTAGGGATACGCGCGGCGGTAGCTGCCCAAAACCTGAACTTGTGGCATAAAGAGGTCCAATCATGGGATTGGCCAAATCAACGCGACGCAAAGGTCGGGATGGGTTTTATTCCTCCGTCTGAGTCGTGCTCTGGGGAAAATTCTATCCCTTGGGGCTTTTTGGCTCCCCCTAGCAACACCCAGGAAAGCTACTACGGAAGCTTGTCAGCCAGCGTCGTCGAGCGATACGAGAGGAGGGCGGACGAAATCCGCGATGGAATGGAAGATCTTAACGTGGAAGAATTAAAGGAACACGTTTTGAATGCCCACATTCCCTCCAGGTCTCGGCCCTCGTCCGCCACAAGCTGTGTGTCCGTGCCTCCGCCGCTCAGCTATGTACAACTGAGTGACTTTACAGCTGTCATCACAGCAACCATTTTGCGCGCTCTTCCATACCTGTCGCGACTGAACGCTTTACTAGCCACTTGGGACATTCGCATTTTTGTCTTACGCCAAATTCCTGGGCTGCTGAGGGAGCTCAGCTTGACCCGCTCCGCCCTTGACTCCTCCCTCCACGCCATCAGAGCCCCACATTCTTTTTTCCCCGACCCTACCGAATTATCCGATGCTTCTCTAGCTGTTGACCATGTTAAACTTGAGTCCGCAGTTGTGGCTGTGGGGAGGCGGATGGACCGAGTTCTCGACGCGTTGGAAGGTCGTCCGGATTCTTTGCCCGAACAATGGATTGATGATTTGGAAGCCATTGAGTCTGATTTTGCTGCGTGGGTTGTCGAGGCCGATAATTACAAGGTTCACAATGCGTGGCTCCGGTCAAAAGCCGAGTCTGAAATGGCTGAGAGGCGCGCAGCCGACCTACAACGCACAGAGTCGTTGAAGGAAACACAACAGGACCAAACTTCCGATACAGTTGTATCGGAACCTTCCGATGATCGTCGTTTCCCCCAGGAGCAGGCCGTCAAGCATGAGCCTGAAATCCAGTGTGGTATTGGACACTCATCCAGTGACGCAAAACCAACTAGCTCGCAATCTGTTGAAAACAACACGGTGCCTCTTAACGAGACGCCACTTCCTGCAGTCGAAGGGAATGTGTCGCCAAAGCTCAAACTCTCAATATCTCTATCCAAGTCTCCAATGGAAGAGAAGCATGAGGATTTAGAAACACCAACACAGTCCGACTTTCCACCAACTCCTGCGATCAATCGACAGCCCTTCTTAACTCCTGCATCTACGCCTTGTGCAATTGATCGCAGCTTGGAAAACAAGGAAAACATTCCTCCGCCCGGCTTCCAACAGCTCGATGGAGCTATGTCACCTCCCAGTCAGGTATCGACAAGACCAAGTCCATTGTCCGAGCATACTGACGATTCATTCGTTCAACATTCCACTGTACCTGAAATGGAAGTCCAAATTTCCAAGGTCGTCTTCTCTGTTGGGGTTGCCGCCGCGGAAGAGGCGAATGCCCCCGCTGGTCGCAAAGACTTGCCTCGTGATACTGTGGCTGGTGAAGAAGAACAGACCTCCGACGAGGAGGAAAAACAACTTTCTCCACAACACAAAGCAGCGGAACTCAATCCTAAGCCTAAAACCATCGGTTCTCCTGCTGGCCAGGACCCTAAATCTCCAAACCGGCCCCGTGAACAGAACCAGTGTGATACTCCGGTAGCAGCAACTATCTCCCCGGTTCTCACACCAAACAGGTCAGTAATCCGAGTGCCGAAATCGAGACCGCCTAGCAGGGTTTCCCAAATACCCATGGCGGTGGCATCACCCAAGTCAGGCTCGATCGAGTCTCACCACCCGCGGAATGAAGGGAAAGCAGAATCTTGTCAACGGAATGTTCCCAAGCCATTGCAGAGCCCCATTAGACTTTCCAAATCCCGCCAAGGGAAGCATGATCTCGACAAAGATAGTAAAGTGGCGCATAAAATCACGCGTCGTCGTCGGTCATCTACTGGATCTGTGGGTTCTTTGCTTTCAGACCATTCTTCTCTCATATCCAGTCCCGAGACACATGGGCAGCACATTACTTCCTCTAATGTGACACCCCTTGGGCCATCGTCTCGCCCTGAATCTACGCATCCTCCTTCGCATGGGGATCATACCTTGAGAGAGGATCGTCTGCGTCGTTTGGAAAACCAGAAGCTTGACCCGCGAATCTCCTTCCAACAAAATCGCACGGTCAGTCTACCCCTCGAGCGGTTCATCAATGAACGCTTGGAGTTGGGCATGGGAAGCGAGTCGGCGCCAGGTGTGGCTAGTGTGAAATCGTCTAGGACTAGAACACACTCTGTTACATCGGCCGACTTCGCAAAATCCCCAAAGGTATGTGGCCCATTGTCCATTTGATAATATGCTCATTCTAATTGACTATCTTAGACACGAACCAGAATCACATTCCAAGATACTTCTGCTTCGTCCATTCCACCAGTTCCACGTCTCCCGACTCAGCATAAATTGTCACGAGGGAAGTCTGCAAGTGACTTGAACACTCAAAATGAAATGGCAAAAATTGCGGAACGAAACAGAAAGACGTTCGGGATGAATTCCGCTCGAAGGGCCATGGAACATCTTCTTCAGCCCAAGTCTCTCCGATGGCGTCAACGACTGACTACCCATCCGAGTCTCGAAAGTCTGGGTGTGAAGAGACAAGAGCTGTCATATGTAGAAGAGCATGAATCCGAACTCACCGATTTCGGATTCCGCCCTTCCTCGCCAACCAAGCACAGCAAACAACCGCGAGACCAGCTCGACGAAAAGATCAACTCGATTCTCAACTCGCTGCCGGGTAAAATCCATTTGGTCGATTCCAACCACGAAGTAGACGCATCCTCATCGGTCTCATCCGTGGACCGACGAATGCGGTACAGATCCGAATCTCCCACTGGTCCAACTCGCAGCACGACGCCCGCACCTTCTCTGACATTAATGCCCGCTGCCCGAAGACGGCACTCTCATGCCTACAAGACGGAGGACAGCTGTGTCAAACTCTACCACCTCCACCATGGGGGCCAGTCCGCACCGACAAAACTGTTCGTTCGCACCGTTGGCGAAGAGGGGCAGCGAGTGATGGTTCGTGTTGGCGGTGGATGGGCCGACCTGGGCGAATACCTTCGTGAATATGTCATTCATCACGGTCGTCGTAAGGTGTCTGAAACGCCTCGTGTGGAGGTGCAGGGTATAAAGACACGTTCCTCACCACCCCACGCTTCTCCGGGTACTAAGCTAACCCCGGCTACCTCATATCTTGCTTCTGGCCGGGCTACCCCCTCTCGACCATCCTCCGTGCTCAGCGCTCGGCCACCTTCATCCCTTACAGTTCACAAGAAACGACGAGGCTCAACCGCATCCGATGTGATGAACACTAGGGCAGTGTCGACAGGCCACATCTCCTCCTTTACCTCGCCTCAGCCCGCTGTCTCCCCTCTCCCTTCCTCGGCCGGTAGACGTCTGTCGATGTCTTCTGGCTATTCAGTCGGGGACGCCCATTCTCCTAGCGCAACCGCTACTGTCTCCACGGCCAACGAATCCCGCTCCACCCCGCTGGGATTAGCTGGACCCAGACCGCGTGCTCGGTACGAATCCATGAGCCCAGAGGGTGAAGCCTGGGTTGCAGATGTTCTCCAAAAGACCCGCCGCTCCAGCTCCCAGAACCCACCCCATTTTGCACTGAGCATGCCGCCTGACCACGATGCTGATGACCGATTTGAAATTGGCGATGGCAGCGTGATTGAACACTCCTTACCCAAAGTCCGCAGCATTGGCGATATCGGCTCAATGGGCACAAGCAGGCGGGTCGTGCTGAAGGGTCTGGGGTCTCGCAGGCCGTGAACTTCGACAGAATGATCCTTCGCATATAAATTCTCTTCTTTTGATTCCCATATTTTTTCTCTCTTCTTATTCCCCCGCTTCACCCGTCATGGATGGGTCTACAGTTATTTTTCTTCACGTCCTGGCCCTGCGCTCTTGGACATATGGACATTTGGCAGTACATTTTGACGCCGTCCGTTATCTCGGGTTATATCTTCTCTTCTACTTGCATCAGCGTGGCGAATCTGTTTCTCACTTGGTTTTGTGTTTGGTTTGGGATTTGGTGTGGTTCAACAATACCCTACAGTTATCTGGTTGATAGAGTTATCTTAGCATTTAATAGTTGGATACATATCACATTTTCTTCATATTCAAGACGCTACGCTACGTATTTCAGTAATCAAAGATCTTCCAAGATCAATGCGCGATATCTCGACTTCCATGAGCTATAGTTCTGAGACAACGACAAGAGATACCAAAGCGAAAAAGGTGCCCACGACGAAGACACCAAAAAGTACAAGGACTGCGAATGAGCGCTCGAAGCGCCAGAAGTATTGATTGTTGGATTAAGATAACAGTACGATCCATATGCTTCTTGTTGCACACTTGCCTAGGGCGCAGGCTGTTTCTGCGTGCCTAGATCCCCCCAAATGCCCAGAAGAAGCTGTCGAGGAGACAGAGAGCCGAGACGCTTAGCGCGCTCGGGGTGTTAACATCTAGTAAACATTCCTCCCATGAACTCCCCCCCCCCCAGAAACCAGAAATTAATGGAGATCTACTTGATGGATGGTCTCGTATGAGAAAAGACAAGAGTAGATTCCGTTGGACTGATGATGGACAGAGAAGAGAGGAAAAGAGAGGAGGGACGTGGGTGACTGCCTTGCCGGCCACCCAACAGAAATGTCTTTCAACCACCTAATAATGGCGATCGAGCTACGTTGTATCTGTAAAGAGGAAAACAACTAGTGTCGATTCGGCCAAGATCTGATGGACGAGAGGGGGAGAGACAGAGGAAGAGGAAGCGGAACTATACTATCTAGTGATCTGGACCCACATGGGTGACCGGAAGCCGGTCACCCAACACCTAATCAGTTCGCTGTATGTAAAGATAAATTCGATGCACTTTATAGCAAGCAGTCCAGCGTCAGGACGTGATCTTTGCGAGTGGTGTTTTCAATCCATTGACAGTCATTGCCTGTTCCTGGAGTCTTGTTGAATTTCCTCTCTCTCTCAATCCGTGAAAGCGAATGCCGATATATATGCTCAGGCGTATTTGAGAGATCTGACCCCCTCTAACCCCTCTCAAAGAACAACTCCATTCCTTTCGGTTTCCGCTAATCAACTCCTCCATGGCTCATTTTCGGCTTCGTCCTCCTCACCGGGTAAGGTCAGTACCACCTCCTGAACGGGTTCCTGTCCGGCATTCATCATTCACTTTGTCTGGAGTCAGGTGCTTGCCGGCGGCGGCTATTGGCTTTGGGCGGCCATGCTGATGGTGGCCTTTGTTTTTGGTTGCAGGGAAAGCGAGGGTAGTTTACTTTTCGCAATGGTAAACCGAGCTTTCTTTCTGTGCATAATCGCATCGACTCGAAGGCTCACAATCTGACACCGTCTTCAATCCTCGTTTGCCAAGCCGCGTGGCAGACTTCTCGAACCGAGCAATGATGTATCCATTTGGGACCTCATTTTGTAACACCCCGGTTCACTGACACTTTGTTGGATGGCGTTTTCGGGTTCTTCACCTCGCTGCTCGACGGAAATCATTCTATGAGTCACAATTCTCTAGCTCGAGAGGCTGAAGACTGTAATTGCAGCGGTGGTTAGCGGAGTTGAAGACAAATGAAAGGATATGCAACGATGTAGATGCATAAGGGGTAGAATAAAAGCGAAGACCTAAGGAAAGCTCGCCAGTTCTTATTTGACTCGCTCCCTGAAAAAGCGCTGGCAGAGCCGAGGCGGCGGCATTTCGAATGCAGTTGACCTTGAATGGCTGTTTTCATTCTTCGGTTTCTTCTTAGACCGAAAATCAATCCAAAAACAATGGATATAAAAATATCAAATTCTTAGACGACTTCTGCATGCTTGCGAGGCTCGCGAGTGCAGTGGAGCGTTAGGAAATCCGAAGTCTGCTGTATTAAGTTAGCTATAAGGCCAATATGGTAACATCTAATATGAGTTCGCACGGTAAGGACGATGGCCGGTATAAAGGGAACTCAGTATAGGCAGGAGGTTGGTGAAACCCTGTTCTACATGTCGCAGCAAATTGAGTGTCAAATATAGCAGTCAGAGATTATTTATAAATATAGGGGGTGGGGGATGTAGGGGGGAGAGAGTGAGGGGAGAAGAGGAAGAAGAAGAGAGAGAAGGAAAGGCCTTAATATAAAGCAAATGGGTCCAACTCTTTGTATAACATGTGTTAGAGCATGTCACGTGGATTCTAGCTTAGGCTAAGTAGGTCAATGATAGACATTTGATATAAGAAAATTATTCTAGATCGAAATGGACAGCAAAACTTAGACATCGAGCTCTTTGATAATCGCGCTAAACCAACAATTTCTGTCAACACTAATAGGGTTTCCTCATTTGGAAGCCTGATAGATATCTCTAGGTTGCCATTCACGTCTTGTTCACTAAGACGGAGTGCCTTTGGGAAAATAAAGAATTCAATGTATAATTAATTAAGTAAACTACTCTCATGAGCCTCCAACATCTCTGATATGAGGCAAAGAGTGCAAAGAAAGGCCTAACTAATAACTGCTGATGATTGACAGAAGAATGAATTAGAATCCAAAAGACGTAATCCCCAGTCAGATGATCTTCATACTGCTAATTGTAAAATAAGTATCATTCTCGAATTCCCTCCTTCTTACACTCTACATCCTCCCACCCCCCCCCCCTTGAAGGGGGGGTGCTCCTCATCAAGAGTCCATCTATCAATCACCGAGATACTTCCCTGAACACAGCTCGAGTGCTGATCGCGCCAATCCATACCGAGACAGACTGGAGTGAATTGACAATGTGCGAGAGCAAGAAAGGGCTCGCAGTAGAAGTCGCCGGTTACTCGAATCACTATTCTGAAGAGGTGCCAACTGCGATCCAAATCCCAGTCTTACATCAACCAGCAATTTATTCTGCCACATGAATCTTCATCCTGCTCTGAGACGCAATCATGTGACATGTCGATTTCTCTTTATCTACTGTGTTACCACGTCTACGAATGTACCCGATCCCCCTTGACTGGGCCGGCGATGGAACGACTGCGAAACCCAGAAAAGCCAGCGAAGCGGCGACGACACTGCCAGAGCACGAAGAAGACGTAATCGACCCAACCACTGGCGAGATCGAGATCGTGTGGCGACCACGTCACGTACGCCTGACCGGCGACGCAGCCATTGCCTCGCTTTGCATTCACGAATCACGACATAGTTACCGCACCGAAAACCTCGCTTGGGACTTCGACTTTAAAGGAGAGATCCGTAAGACAAGAGTACCACACAGACCAACAATTACGATCTCGCAGAACGGTCTCCCAACACTCCCAGTATGGAAAGACTGGTATATCTTCACAGGCGGATGCAATACATCCGGCTGGCTACGACGCGACGGCCCTAGGACAGGAGCGAACTTCACTGGAGGTTTGGTCTTACCGCAGATGGGTTGTAAGGAATTAGACCCTGGTCGTCGCTGGTCACTTCGGGCCAAGTAAACTTTCTTTTTCTTATTTATCGTTGATTTTCTGCCTTTCATAGTCCTTCTCCTCCTGCCTTTCTTCTTTTCTTTTCTCTCATCTTATCATTTCCTTCTCAGTCATCAGTCCCCGACAGATTACTATCAGGCCCGTGGTTGGGGCTAGATGCTGACGACGCTCGTAATACTGCGTACGTGAATCGCTCCCTCGATATCGCGCTGGCTTATAAACTGAGTGATCAGCACTGAGCTATAGATGTTCTCGAGCGGCATCGGGAGGTATGTCGTTGCATGAACGATGAATATAGGCATATGCGCGCCAGAATCATTGCTGGCGGCTGTTGACGTCTATATGAGCAGCCTTGTCTTTTCGTGTGAGTCTACCATCTACCCTATCTGCCACTTTGTTTGCAGTACTGACGATAATATCTCGTGAAGCTATCTCCCTCGCGCAATCCAGCACCGTTTGACCAGCTTTAAACACTTCTATATTGACAACAATGTATTCTTTGGTATGCCGCGGTCCTTATTAGACGAGTCTATTACCTTACTAGATGTAGTTCTACGTGGAGTCTGCCTATTGTAGATATCTCTATCAGCGTAATTGGAGAATTCAAATGCGGGGTGCTCATTTCAAGATAAAAGTCCGTGAGCCATATCCTGCTCCGCAAAACCGACAGTAAAGAAAAAATCGAAGAAAAATATACATGAGGCAATCGTAAATCGTCAATAGCCAAGACTTCGAGAACTGAAAGCATGACTTGGTCAAGAGTGTAACATCATATCAAGCGAGACATCCAATCCCAACTTCAACACGATGCCAATCATGAAGTTTGTTGGCGTTTCCAGGGAATGTCCTTGCGAAGTAATTCGCGTAGCTCTGGAGAAACCACCTTCGGCTTCTGGGAATCGATTGCCTTTTGAAGAGTAGAGGGGCCGGTGTTGACTCCGCTGCTTGACCCGACAGCGAGCTGGGGTGACTTTCCCTTGTTGCTCGAAGATGAATCTTGGTCGCTTGTCCCTGGACGACGTTGGTGAGCGGTGGGCGCAGTGGGGAAGTTGCCTCTCTTGTCGATGGCTTGCACGGAACGCTCGAAACGGTGGAAGAGCGACTCTGCGCGGGTGAGAATGGGTACGAGATCCATTGTGTTGGAGAGTTCGTTGACTGGAGATGCGAAATTAGTAATTTGAAATCAATTTACATTCAGATGCCAATGCCAACGTACTGTACTTCAGCACCTCATCAAAGTGCTTGAGATGGTCCATGATTACATCTCGGTGCTTCTCGAGTATGGCGAGCGCAATGAACAGGTGGAAACTGCTGGAGAGATAGTCGGTCCACAATGTCTCCCATAGACGCAGGACATCGCTCCAGTCAAACTCCCGTTTGTACCACACCAGGAGCATACGGAAGAAAAAGAAGAAGTTGGTACTATCGGCAGACTGCAGATGTAAGTAGAGCTGCGGGTCCATGAGCTGGACGAGGTGATCGAGAGCTAATAGCTGGCCACGCATTCCAGATTGGTCTCGGAGGAAGTTATGCTCCTGCAGAGATGTTAGTAAGAGAATGCGGCGATTTGCAGCGTGGAAACATACCATTCGATCCATGAACCCGACAAACGCCCAGAAAGCTACGGCGTCATCTTGCATCACAGCATATATCGGCGCTAGGAGATCACTCATCCCTTGAACGTACCCAAGGTCTGGGTTAAATTCGTTATAGGTCAAGAGCATATCCTTCATCTGCTCCAGGTGCACGTTGGTACCTGTTTCGGCGAACGGAGAATCAGGATCCGGATGAGGAATATCTTCGCCTGCAAATAAAGGAATGGTACGGTCGGTGCGGTGAACATCCTTTTCTATAGCCATGTGTTAGTAGCCACCATGTCGAATTCAGTGTATAATCTCACCTATCCGAGTCTTTTGCTCTTTCCAATGATCAAACTGCTCGGCCGTTGAGTTGCCCTCGACCATTCGCTCCCACCAGCCTGCTTTCAGCCGGATGTACTCATCGCGCTTGGAGTTCATCATTGCTTGACGCTCCTCGTGGCTGCTATCCCACGAATAAACACCGAGAAGGAAGAGCCATGCCTCCTTTCTGACGCCATCATTGGGATCCAAGCCGCCATGGAAGATCCGCTCTTTAATTTCCTCCACTGTGACTTGGAGTCTACCCGAGCTCGGGTCGAAGAAGCCCTCCCATTCTTCCAGTTGGAGAACACGGCGTCGCTCCTGGATAGCCAGGTTCCCGGTCTCCAGCTCTAAGATCTCAAAGTCGCCAACCGAGCTATTCTCCATTTCCAGCATATCCTGCGCGGTCCATATACGCTGGTTTCGGTCTTTGTCGCTCTGCTCGGCAACACTCATCGCCCAACGAGCCAGATAGACCCTGGCGCTGTCGAACTCATCTTGCAACGTCTGGATCTCTGGGTTTTTCAAAAGACGGCGCATCTGAGGCGGTATGAGAGGGTTATCGACTATATCATTGGCAGTCCGACGGGTAAAGGTCGTGATTTTGCTGAGCTGCTCCAGCACTTTCCACCGTGTCTCCTTGAGGGTCTTCATGAATGGATCCATGCTGGCATCAGGCTGTTCGGCTCGGGATCCGGCGGAAGCCCCGGCTTCGGGCTGTGTCTGCCCTGGGATGGATTTGTCGCCATGGGTCACCAGCTGGCCGAAAGACAGCTGGTCCTCATCCGACGGGTTAACGAGGTAGACGTTCCTGTCTACCGAGGAGCGCTGCACCTCCGCATACTTCCGTAACCAGCGCAGTACCTCATCGCCGCCCCAAAACAAACCCCCTTCCTTGCCAAATGGATCGAAGGTTTCCTTGACCCTCTTCCTCTTTTGTAAGATGGTGGACTCGCATTCGTCGTCATGGAAAAATAGCGCGGGGAAGCCATCGCCCGCTCGGGTGTTGATCACTAAACTTCCAAACCACCATCCAATGCTCGGTGGTCGTACTAAAAGCGAGTATATCTGTGATAGCGGAACTGCAAAAGAATACAGTCCGATGGGGTCTTTGTAGGTGGTGGTGGTCGGAAGCGGCGGAACCAAGTACTTCTGGCGCGGCGAAGAGTCACCTTCCGAGAGGTCTACTTTCACGTATGTATCATAAGCTTCTCCAAGGGAGGACTCTGGGACCCATGCGAGGAGATAGGAGGGTGTATCGGGGTTTTTGAAATGAGTCGCGGATGCATGTGATGCGGGGAGAGGTTTTTGCTGGATGAGGGCGATAAAGCCAGGGATATTGTCTTTGGCAGAGGAAGTTGGATGAATATAGACCTGGATTATTGTTAGATTGGTATTCCTCCTTGTTGGAAATTGTCATACTTTGCTTTTGGAGAAGAGCAGCTTGACCCCTCTATTCGAGGCAGCCTGGGCGATGGTGTTGTATTCATCTTCTTCGTCGTCACTCATGGCGTAGCAAGACGCTGGAGGTGAGGGGGTAGGAGGAGGAGTATATTTGATCGGGGCCATCATGGAAGGTTCAGGGCTCTGAAGGTGTTGAGTTCCAACCTTTCAAGTCGGCGGAAGTTGACGACGTAATTGCCCGATAAGAGATACGGATCGTCTGATCTCTCTTATAGTTAGTTAGGTGATGCTTCTTTCACTCTTCTCTTTCTTCTGGCTCTTTGGATCGTTGGCGTTTTGGTGAAATGTTTGATTTCTGGAATTGAGGAAGCTGAATTAATCTCTCTCTTCTTCTATTTTGCTCTTTCGCCTTCGGTGGCCACTCTCGGATCCTCTAGGCAGCTGAATTCATTTTGAACCTCAACAGAGGGAAATAGAATAAATATCAGTCTCTCTCTATATCTTGCAGTTTCCGTTCCAATTGTATTTCATTCCTGGTCTTTTTGGGTGGTTATAGTGTACTTCTTAACTCTATGTAGCTCTCACCATATTTCCTCTGTCTAATGGATCACGTGATGGCTAATACGTATCGTGATTGGCCGATCATGCCTTCTTTATGTACATTGGCCTCCATTCGTATAGTTACTTCTCATCCTATTGGTTCTCTAATTTCTTGTGAGAAAAGTATAGGGTATATGTGTAGTATGTGGTCCAAGTTGCTCGCAGATATCTGAGTGACAGAGAAAATGATCAACAGATGTAATAAGAAATGCCGGTGATGATCTAACTACCATCAAGCTCTCTAAAGCTTGATGGAGACAAAAAGACATATAAACATGTGCAGCTATTTATTGTTGCTGGAGTTTTCATAGCGTACACCGGCATATGAAGAAGGATGACTATAACACGCCCGCGTATAGTATGCATCTAAATCATGACTTCCGCAGCCTTTTCGAGATGACCATAGTAATGCAACGTGACATGTGGCATGATCAAGCTCCTCTTTGATTGATGACGACCCAATGTTTCATTTGTGTTTCATCATACATTGCGCCAATTGATAACCAATACCGGTAGTATCAAGCGACCGCTGCTAGGCTGGTATGACTACTATTCACCACCTGGGGTAACATATATTCGGTAGTCAAACAAGTCCCATCGAGGCACGTAAGAAGCTCTCTATAGCGGCTTGATTTAGGTCTCTTGGTCCCATGATGATTGTGACACCTGCACTACTAGGCACTGCATGTGAAGTGGCCACAAAGCCAACCAACAGAAGGAGCAAAAGGCCGCCGAGAAACTGGCGCATGTTGAATAGCAAAAAAAATGTATGATCAGAAAAAATGGCTCTCATATGATCTGTTGGGATCAAAGTATCGGGGGAGGGGTCACTTATATAACTACTTCGGTATGTTCCGCATAGCGTTAAGCTCTCAACAAACAGAGAGGGGTTTTCAGCTATCGGAAAGACAATGACGTGAGATCATTCGAAAGTCTGACTCGCGTGGAGTGCATCGGGGCTGCTGTGTTTTGCTGACCTAGAATATCCCGCAAAATACTTCAGGACGGTGGTCCAGAATGAGCGGTCAGCAATTTATCATCTTCCAATCGATCTGATGTCTCCTCATGACTCGTAAGATGTGGTTTCTCCAGCCAGTAGTCAAATTGCAAGAAGAACCGTTCAGGTGAATACCGACTCGATTGCAACGCAAAGAAAACCCAGCCTACAATATAAATGGCCTTACGACCAAGACCTACTTAGTATATCACATAGGCTTGCGGGTATAGGGTTCTTCCGAAGGCTTTCTCAAGATTCCACGATATTAGGCAGCGATCAAATGCCCCCAATCCACTACACCGACTAGTGCTAACAAGGTCGGTAGCGTCGATGAACGACCAATAATGTGAGGACAATCGTGGGTTTTCGGGCAAAATCGCCATTTCAGTTTAACAGCATCTGGAGAAGGAGATCCTCTTGGCAAAGGGTCAGATAGCCAGGACTTCAGACTACGGAAATTTCAACGTCGAGTGAAGAGTGCAGCGAAGCAATCATTTCTATATGTAGTACCTGTTTACATGAGCACATTCCAAGTAGTTATTCATTATATCCTACTACTATATGCTCTATAATCACGGCAAGGTGGTAAATGACTGAGTACACAAAACAAGGAAGCAAAACGACGATATAGAAAGTGGGCCTTCCTGGTCGACAGAATGTTTTCATGCAGGTCTAGTAAATAGCAAGGCGATTATCTTCTGTAAATCCTCCCCGAGACTTCTACCTAATCCCAAGCATATCATACAAGAAACCTTACATTTTCCAATCATACCTTTTTTTCAACATGCGCCAATTTTGCGTCCTTTTGCTCCTTCTGTTGATTGGCTTTGTAGCCGCTACAACGATCATGGTACCATGTGACCTAGATCAAGCCGCTCTGGAGAGTTTCTTACGGTTTCTCAATGGGGCTGGTATTGGCTACCGACTATATGTTAGCTCAAATGGTGAAATAGTAGTCATACCAGCCCAGCAGCGGTCGCTTGATACTCTACCGGTATTGATTATCGATTGGCGCAATGTATGATGAAACACTATGATCAACTCAATATTATAGCTGAATCTACAGCCTATCCTGATAAGCAACATGATACGGCAGTACCATACGGGCAGGCTACGTATGATTCGCTTGCTAGACAGGGCGCCAAAGGACAAAAACCTATCAGGAATTCTCTACGTCGCCCGTCAATCAAAGGGGCGCTTGGTCATGCCATGCTGCGTGAAATATCACTATAGCATTTTGGTTTTCTCGATATTCAACAAAGGCTGCGGAAACATGTTTTCCATGCATTCTATACGCACATGTGCCGTATTTCTTTTCCTTTATATGCCAGTATGGTTTTCGTAAAATCCATCAATGTTACTCGTCATCCCCTTGAAATAGAGTACCTCGTTAGGTCTGCTAGGAGAAACTGTCTAGAAATTGTACTCTCATTGGTTAGCTCTTCAGGACAGAGTAAAATTAGCGATATGCTACAATGGCGGTATTCAACGGGCAGGATCATATCCGAGCCGCGCAGGGGATATTAGGTTGGCACCAATATTGTATTTGCATATATATCTCAAACAAAAGATCTGTATTAAGCAGCTTTGTGGTTTCTCTCTTTCTTTAAATATACGCAAAGAAATTGTGCGTACAACATAAAGCGAAAATGACCTGAGCTGGTCTAAATGAAGTACAAACAAGGCAAACACACTAATTATGCGCATAATTCTGCTGACTTTGCCGATTTATGAATTATTTATGCATGAGGCGATTACTACTGGTATGATCAAGATTATCTAGGTGGATGAACACGACCAGAGCGTGTGGAATAATGTTGCCGAATCAAATACTTTAGAGGGTCCGAACTATATGAACTATATCAGTCTGCCAGAGATCGTTACTTTCCGGGCTGTGCGGGGCGCGTTGATTATTAGATAGCAGATTCCTAGATCCAAAACCGAGGGGTTTGGAACACAAAATTATTTCCTTAATCCCCCATTATGTCTTATATTTCCCCTTAACTAGCCAAGAGAAACCCCTAATTTGAAAGCTGAGAGCGTGCTCAGTGAGCAAAAAGCTGCAAGGTCTAGGAAACCAAAGGAGGAAGTCAAGTACATAGGACCACAAATGCTTGGAGCAACTTTTGCTATCGGGCATTTTTGTAAAACGTTTCAGTTTACTAATTCTCTCAATATCATTCATCTTGAAAATCTAGCTTGAGCACATACAGGCTAAAAATGCCTACTTGGGTATGGTATATGCCGTCGTAGATCCTTTGACTCAGCTCACAAAAGTCCCAGGACCCTGAAAAGATTATGTCTATCTTTAGGGCCTTACACGGCTAGAACATCTCAGATCTGCGTGTGCCATGTGATCAAGCGTGACATCGACGGGACTCGATAACTCGTTTGGGAAACGATATACCGCATCTGTCCAGCACTCAAGGTTGGACAACCTTATTGCCAACAAAAAAAGCATTTCTCTCAATCCAGATCGATAAAACTATTGAAACAAAATAATCTATAGCGATATAAAAATCCGTCTCTTTCGCTGTCACTGTCGCAATCCACTCCAATCGTCTTTATCTGAAATTTGAATCCACTGGCTAATTTTATCGGTATCATGTCCGAGCTTGTTCGCACTTTGCCTGCCTCCTGGTACTGCAGCCAGCCGTTATATCAGATGGAGCGGCGGGCTGTCTTTCTCAAAGTATGTAACATAGTCTTCTCAGTTCTGGCAGTTGAAGAAGACTAAGATATGCTCCAGTCCTGGTACTTGCTCGGCCCAGTCACCAGATTCCAGGTTGTGGGCGAGCATGTTTCATACGAGATTGCGCAGCGGTCTGTCTCCGCTGTTCGCACTTCAGGGGAGACTCTGAACCCCGTGGATGAGGAGCTGAAGGTTGTCTGCGCGAAAACCGTACGTGTGATCCAGATGAAATGTGAAGTCCCTTCTAAACACTGCTATCTACAGGGTAAAGAACTGCGCAGTCATCTCACCCCCACTGGACTCCTCTTCTCAACTATCTCCGACGATGCTCCTAGTTTCCATGAATTCTTCCCAGAGCTCGAGGAGCTGCTCGGTAAAGTCGACTTCACTAAACTACCGCACCGTCGGAGCATCAACTATGAAGGCCGGTTTAACTGGAAGACCATGTAATATTCTACCTTACCCTTTTCTACTGTGTTATTATTAACTTTCGTCAGGGTCGACGGATATCAAGAGTGTCTACACTGCCAATACACTCACCCGTCTTTCTCCAAATACTATCCGCCGACCTTCTACACCGTGCGCAACAAGCACAATTTCTCGCAGCATATCGCAGACCCAAATAAGTCAGATGACGGTCTATTCCTGTACTTCTTTCCCAACTGCACGCTGAATGTCTATGGTGGTGGCATGTCCTGCTTCAGAGTATGCCCGACCGCTGACCCGCAGGTCACCCGGATGGAATTTGACTACTTCCATCTTGAATCTGGAGACAAGTTCGAAGAATACTTCAAATTCGTGCGCCAAGTGGCTATGGAAGACTTCGAGCTCTGCGAGAAGGCCCAGAGCAATCTGGCTAGGGGGGTTTATCACGAGGGAATTCTGAACCCAAACAAGGAGAATGGCGTGTCTTGTGAGTTGGAGTTGTGGCTTTTAAAATTAGTTCATGCAATAATGCTAACACACATATTTCCCTTAGACTACCAGAGACGGGTGTTTGATATGGTCTGCGAGCAGCATGAGTTTGACAGGACTGCCAAGGCAGCGAAAGAGTCAGGACTGGAGGAGCATGTCGCGCCCTCCATGGTTCAAATGGCAGCGTAGTATCGCAGGAATATAATGATCGCTATTTTGATGAGATATGAGATATGAATGTGAATGCAACTATATCTTAATGCCTTGCACAGTACTCACCGTATGATAACAATAATCCCAACCATACGGGATCAAATGACAAGTCATCTGAGTGATACAGCCAGGAAATTCCAACCCAATCGGGTAATGGAGGCATCTGCGCTAACTGTGGAGAGTGTAATGTGTGGAGGGGTAACATGTAAACCTCCCAGTGACAGTATATCAGGGCATGCCAACCACTTTCTAACATTCAGAACAGCAATCCTTTATTTATCATGGATTCCACCGATACAGACTACCTAACATCTCTAACCTCCATCCTCGTGGCCGTCGTGACACTTATCTTTCTACTCCACCGAACATGGCCCCATTTATCTCAACCAAAAGCCGATAAAGTCACCAAATCTATTGCAATCACCCCGCTAGATAACTCAGATTTGACCGTTTCCAAAGAACCCGAAATCCCAGAAGGATGGTGGAGCGGTCGGGAAGTCTTCGAGCTCGAACGGCGTGCGCTCTTCAGCCAAGTAATAGAAATTCCAAAACAACATCACTGAACAGCTTCGCTAATGCGCATTCTAGACATGGCTCTATATTGCCCATATCTCCCAGTTTTATAAGCCTGGCTCATATCAATCTTTCGAGATCGCCGGGTTCCCGGTGTTTCTCATTCGCGGTAAGGACGACAAGATCCGCGCGTTTCATAATGTGTGTCGCCATCGTGCGTATACTATTACCAGGAAAGAAACTGGTGCCTCGACTGTTCTTGGTTGTCGTTATCACGGCTGGAGCTATGATACCACTGGTCGGCTGGTGAAGGCTCCTCAGTTTGATGATGTTCCTGGGTTTGATAAGTCGCAGAATAGTCTATTTGAGGTTCATACTCATACCACTGATCAAGGGTTGATCTTTGTGAATCTCAATTCTGGTGAGCCGGCTGTATTTGACGGTGTGGCTTCGGCTTTGAGTGGATTGGCTGGTCTTAGAGGGAAATCTACTTGGGTTTCTGGTCTGACTTTGTCGGGAGACTTCAATTGGAAGGCTGGAAGTAAGCAACTGATGTCAGAATTATTAGAGAAAATAGCTGACACTTTAATAGCTCGATCTCGTCACCTCGATACCTATACCAGCGAGCTACATCAGAGAATGTCTGAAGTATCGAGGCCATCTCCCGCCATGAAGCTTTTCAGGGCTATGACGGGGAAGAGTAGTCTGGAAAAGTGTTCCTTATTCCCGATTACACTTATTTATTCATTTCAGGATGCGGGTTTATGTCTTGCCCTTTCCTTCTTTCCCGCCTCTGAGTCGAAGACGAATATTCGCTACGACCTCTTCGCCCACTGCGCTGTCAATAAACCTGAAATTCAGAAAATATCCGAAGTATCACAGAGTGTGACGAAGAATTTGATTAGAGAGATTGAGGTTGAATATCAATCTATCTCTACTAAGCAAGGGTGGGTACTTCGAGCTATTATCCAACAAGACCTGTCGCTAATTCTTATTTTAACTAGGTCTTCGGGCGAGTTAAATAACACAGGTATGGATCTTGGATATGAACTTCCTTTCTATTGTCTAACTCAATTAATCAGACACACGTCAAATCTTATGTCGACTCCAGGAGCACACAAAGCTCGAACGGATCGAAGGGGGTCGGATCCTCCCAGCCATGCACAAGCCAGAAGGAAGCACTCTATTCCAAAAGGCAGACCAACGTGAGTATTTTATTTCCAGTTACCTCACTGTTTACTAATTGGCAACAGTTTGCAAAGAGCTAGATTGTGTTAGCGGTGGATCGCAGAGCGGTGCTTCAAGTGCACTTGACTGGTAGATTGTCCGAATCTCATCCTTTGTTTTGGTCAACCTGTTTATCTAATGATTGGACTGACATCTGGAGGGATATATCATCATATTAATTTGAATAAGAGAGGTTACGCAATAGACAATGATCTGATTCGATAATGTGAGAAGAAACTAAAAACAATCGGTCCGAAAATCCATGGATGACGGACAAACTTAGTAATCAAAAACACACAAAAGGTCACATGATCATGCTGTAACGTGAAAAATAACGGTATCTATACTGGGTTTTGACAGTACGATAGGAATTCGAATCAGAACATCAACAACAATGTAAAAACTCAACATAAAGCAACGAAATGAAAAATAACATCATACGCAGAAGCGTGTTTCGATGCTTCAGCGCCAGGCCGCTACACAACATCTCAAATTCGGCGATTCGATCCCATCCTACCCACATTCTTAGTGACCATATTGCTAGAATCCCTGATAGGACCAAGAGTCTGTCTGCCGCCACTGCGAGCAGTAACACGACTAGGCCTATTCCTCCTAATAGCATCCGCGAGAGCAGGATCCGACCCATTACCATTCTCCCTCGGCAACACCTCATGTTCCGAAATACTGCTTAGCTGAGGGCTCTTGGGATAGCGTACATTACGGCGGTTGCGCGAGCCATCCCGCGAGCTGCTCCGAAGCAGACGCGTGCCTGTACCGATACTGTGCCTGAGGATCCCCAGATCATTATCGCGTATGAATGCATCCAGAGCCAAATGCCATTGACTCCCAGTCCAGTGATTAGACAGACGGCGGACGAGCGCTTGCATCTTGCGCACGGCGAGCAGCTCCATCACGTTCTGCGTGGGGTCGCGGACTCGGCCGTCGGCGAGCTTGCGCTTGTGTGATGCTAGTCCTTCGGCGATCTCTGTGCCGAAGATTTTGCCGTATTCATTGGTGAATAGCTTATCGGGTAGGTGGGAGATGATGATAGAGAATATCTCGCCGCTGTGGAGGTGTGAGCTTCGAGCTGCGCAGATCAAGGCGTACCCCTGCGCGCCTCCGGTTAATCTGGGCTGCATGGGATCGCATTTCTGGCAGAGCCAATCGATTGAGGCTGGCTCGTCGAAGCACGCGGCGTACATTAACGGGTTCATGTTTTCTGAGTTTCGGACCTCGGCGTTGAGCATGGAGAATTTTTCGAGCCAGGCCATGAACTCAGCTCCGGCTGGGTTGAAGGCTGCGGCGATGTGCCAGGAGGATTCTAGCTGTCCGCCGAGTTCGTGGTACTGGTGCTCGACGTTGCCGATGTTGATTCCGTGTTGGTAGAGTGCTTCTGCCACGGCGACGGGGGCGACAGCGCAGAACTCATGCATCGCTGCTTCGTGGAAGATTTTGCGGAGTTCGTCGACGGGCACGAGTTTTGCCTGGCGTAGCCTGTTCAGGGCAATCACGAATTGAGAAAATGCGCCGACACCGACGAGTGAGAGAAGGATGTGGTTTTCGTGGGTTTCTCTGATATCTCTGGGTTTGATCAGATGCTGAGGATCTGCATTGCTGACAAGGTAGGTGAGCAGATCCATATTAGGACTATTCAATCCTGCCTCGATCCAGCTTCTTCCTGATAAGTCATAGCCATTGGGCGTGACGATCCCGAAATGAACCAGGAACTCCAAGCAGGAAGAGCATTGCATTGCGGCATTGTATGCAGGGTGGGTCTTGAATGGATGATTATCGGTTTCTCTTGGGAACGTAGTGCAATCCGACAAGTGTCCCATTGCATCTTCGTAACTCTTGTAAGACCGGATCAAACCCCTCCATTTTTCGACGGTCCCCGGCCATCTGAACCATTTTTCCACACTCGCTTTGAGTGGTCCGTTGTGTTTTAGGAGTCCATGCATAGCGTGGATCTTCTTTTCTTCCATATATCGAACCCCCACTGAGAAACCAACCATTTTGTCAAATATTATATCGAGTGCCTTTTGAGGGAGGTGGGCGAGAGGCAACTTGGTGGCCCATTGGATTTGCTGGGCTGCTGTTTTCCTGTCGACGTTGCTTGGCCAGGCAACCTGAAGCGTACCACCTTTGACATTTCCGCTTTGCAATCGGTCGAAGATGACTCCCCAAACTGCTGGACCCCAAGAGTCCAGCATTTCTTCGTCAAAACCGACCATGATACTGACAGGGTGTATTGTAGATTTTATGAGGTTTGTGAAGCCGTTGACACACAGCTAGTTTATATCTTTTTCATCTCTCCAACCTTTAGGGATGGTAGTATGTGACAATCCTCTGCATTTTTCTTTGATCACAGGAAGCAAAGAAGATAAATATAGATTCAGGCGTAGTTATTGGGTAAGGAGCAACATGAATCCCTCCTGAAAGGGTAGGCGAGGATGGTTCTAAGAGCACAAATGAACAAATAGTCGAAGAACTAACTTGTTCTAGTGATAAGTTCATATCCATACATTTGAACTGAAATATTGAGCCCAGACATTATTCAACAATAACGCATAACCCAATCACACATTTCTCATGGCGATCAAAAAGGGTCAAGGACTCGACGAGGAAGAGGTGGCTTAAAGCCGTAGAACAAAGAGATTTCACGGCCCAGAAATTGCAAGATTTTGTGGTTTTAGATGAAAACTGAAGTGAATTATTTTCTGTTTTGCTTCTTACATATGGGAGAGGTCTACCTAGCTGCCCATAATCTCTGGTCTTAGTTTTATTTGCTTAAGCACTGCCATGTGTGTACCAGATACTAAATTGCATAAAGAAGATTCGTACGGAATTTGTTAGCAATCTGCCTCTAAGTTCGACAAAGAAGGACAAAAAATACTATTGCAGAGACCTGCAGATGAAATATTACCTTTAGAGATAAATGAATAGCTGTATAGACCCTTGAGACGAAAAATGTTCGTATAAGAGACATGAGACATCAAGATACAAGTCAGCACTAAAAGCAGCCCCTCCTGTGCTATTATTAGTAGTGTCATGGCAAATCTTCCATGTTCTCGTATTTCACATCTACTTCTTCTACACTTCTAGACTTCTCGTTCCTGAAATGCTTAGCCCTGAATATATTTAGCAACACCCCGCTCGTGAAACATTAACATTCGTGGCTTAGTCCTACCACTCTGGGGTATCATGTTTGAAAGAGACAAATCTCGCAGAGAAGCCTTAGGTTAACGCACTGGGCAAGATCGCCGAGTAACTTGCCTAGATAGTCCAAACAAGGTCAAAGCGGGCGAGATTACGAGGATCTCTACCGAGTATCTTGGCCCACTAGATCCTCCTCGGGCTCTTCATCGGTGTTCATATTACATATCATCGGTGGCACCAGGAGTCTAGAATTGCTTTCAAGTTTGGTGGGCGAGTTTTTCTACTGTGAAAGCAAGGCGACGATGGGGAAAACACTTGCAGGGGATGTGGACTCGAGCTACTTTCGTGCATGCGCAAATCATCCAAGTCCAAGCCCTACGTAAGGGCGATATTCATATAGGATGTCAGTTTTAAATTGGACCCCACGCGGCAAGGGAGGGTCTTCTCCATATGCGGAAAACTGGGGCCACTATAATACGATGTACATCCGAAACAGCTCCAGCTATTCACGGTCATTGGGGAACCGGACAATCATGCATATACTCAGTATGTTGTGGATGTATTACAATTTACCGCCTATCATTGGGGCGTAAACTCACTGCGCCGTGAGTACGGATGAACACGAAGCTCGATGCAACTATGGCTATAGAAATAGCTATTCTAGTAAGAATTGAATCAACACTTTTACTCCTCATCTAACGACTTACTCAATTGGGGATTGGGGTGATCTTTTGACCCCAGGGTATCGCTGCGTAGCTGCAGCACACTAAGCCAATAATCGACAGACTAATCATGACGGTCTGCTTATTCGGCTGGGATGTCATTTTGAGAAACTCCATACTCTCCGTACAGACAGACCCTTGTACTCCGTAGGACTTGCTGATTTCGAGACGATATCAACCGGTCTGTGCCTGTGTCATGCGGTATTAGAGAATAATTCCCATTCCGAGCTTCTTTGCTATTTCCTCTTTGCAAACTCCTATACTTGCAAGATCAGACAAAAAACATTTGGGTTCTGGTCTTTGTTCTACGCAGCCACAGCCGAGACGAATCATTTTCTACAAAGAACGCCTCCACGAGTCTGCTTCCACCAAAATTCGGACTTAAGGTATGTTCTAACGCAATTGACAGATGATTGGGGACTTGAAGTAACATCGTGACATGCTAACAAAGGGCAAGAGCAGCCTATTCGGGCCAACAATGCCCCATGAATCAAGATACAGAAAAAGAGCTGAGATATGACTTATTGCCTGTCAATGTCACCTTCTCGGCGTCGTCATCCCTTAAATCAAAGGACTAAGACCTCCAATCAGAAAAAAATAGTCTTTCGTCCTCTATCATTGAAGCTTCGAAGAAAACCCTTCGGTCTGGAAACTCGAGTCATAGTCCGGGCCACTGTTTCAGATCGATCGAGTCCGACAGTCAACAAAGACCTACAGACAATGCCAGTGCAGATTGCGGATACCACCCATGGCCCGTCTGGAGCAGTTCCAGAGGCCCCCTCGACACATATGGCATCCGATAGTGAAGATACCCGAGGCAAATCACACCACTTGGGTCTCAAAGAAGAATATACCACAAGCGAGTGCCTCGGGGACACCGAGTCTGCCTCCCCGTCGGAATCTTTGGGCACTATGATTGACTTGGAATCACCCCGGGATTCCCAAGACGATTCTGAAATTTCTCCATTGTCGGACCATCTCCCTCCATTGCGTTCAGTTTCCCGCTTGGTCCGCTTTTTTCCAGAGCTGTCCTCACACTTCTCCGTTGTCTCCCCGGCCAGCGCTGATTTCAATATGGACCGCTCGACGGGGCCCTCTTTTTTCGAACGGGAACTAGAAGAACGAGTGCATACTTTATATCGCTCTGAAGGCTTCGCTTGCGATGCATATGGATCTGCCGATCGACTGGATATCACCCTCTCGTCTTCTGGGACTGATGAGACTTTGGATTGTGCTTCGTCGTGCTATAGCCATCGCAGTTCGGTGACCAGTGTCGGCAGCACATTCTGGGGAGATGATGGACGATACCCGTATAAAACCGCCGATGCATACTCGATCTATTCCCCCGTCGCCGCCGGGGTCTTCGACGATACCCACTCCATATGTTCCTCGCGGCCTTCCTCGCCCTGCCACCTGCACGTGTCAAAACTCGGCTTCCCAATCCTCAGCACTAAAAATGCATCAATGAACAACCACAGGAACAAGCCCTTGCCACTAGAACCATTCTTCGGTCCCAGTTCAGTCTCAAGTCGGCCCGACTCCCCCCTTTCGGTAGTCTCACCACGCAAGTCACAGTGGTCAAGGCAATTCTCCATGAGAGACTCGCTGTTCTCGTTGCGACAATCTACGGTGAGCCATGACGACTGGAAGCATTCCATGTTACACCAGTTGAATACCCACCGGCAATCCGGCCATCCATGCCATATATGCGGACGCAGTCAGGCTCAGCCGCAGCATCATAGTCAACGGTCAGATCTCACTAGTCATCGCACTCGTCATGTCCCAACATTGTCGCAGGCCGCCGAGGAACTCGAAGATACCCTTGCGGGCCTGAATGACCAGGATTCATCTCGCAAGACGCTGATCCTTGACGGGCCGCTGCAGATCAGCCGGCATAATGGGGACTTGATTGCTAGCCGGCCCGCGCCCCTCCCCCCCTCCACGAAGCCTCACTCACAGACACCGCAAGGGAAGGCGGCGAAGAACAGTCGGGTGAATACGATCATATCGAGGGGTTCGAGTCTAAGCAAAGAAAAAAGCCACAAACTTAGTAGGAGGGAGGGGAAGGACAAGGCCCGTCGATCGGGCAGGGAGGAAAAGGAGATTAACGAAAAGCCCGACACAAAGGAAATCAAAAAAGCAAAATCCAAGAAATCCTTCCTGGCCTTTCGCAAGCAAATGCAAACGCCCCGCGATGCAGTTAGCGTCAGCTCACGGTCGGAGGACTCTCTCATGACATTGGAATCGCGTTCTGTTGATCCCCTCGATCTGCCCCCCACGCGCGACAGCCTGCTACTTCAATTGCCTCGTTTGCAAACGAATCCCGGGAATCCCTTCGATCAAGTCGAACAAGCGCTGTTGTCCCCTCTCGCCATGGAGGTGAAACTAGAGAAGCCCATAGCCTCCAAAATTCGTCAGAGTTGGGCCCTGGTCTCGACTGCGCAGGCAAGCAGCGTCCAACTCGCCGAACAGATCTATGAACTCCCCGCGACTCCCCCGTCTCCTTCATCCGCGCTCCCTCCCAACGTCAATCGCAATGTCCCAGCCAATATCCCCCTCCCTGAGGATATGCCGGTGGATTTGATTCTGTCAATTATGCAGAACATCGACTCTCTAGATGACCTTTTCAACTTCGCCCTCGCGAACAAAAAGATCTACACCGCGTTCAAAGGCCGCGAGCTGCCCATGCTAAAAAACGCCCTGTTCAAAATGTCCCCGCCCGCTTGGGAAATGCGTGAGATGAGTCCGCCGTGGGAAATGGAGTGGCAGCTCCTTCTAAATCCCGACTCCCAGGTTCCGGAATACACGCCCACGCTCTATCTGCAGAGGTACGCGCAGGATATATACACCCTTGCCAAGCTGAAGGCGTTGGTCCTTGCGCGATGCTCGCCGTTCCTGCGTCGCGATACCATTCGCGGTCTGGCGGGTGTGGATAACACCCGCGCTGAAGAAGTCGACGATGCGTTCTGGCGGCTCTGGACCTTCTGTCGGATTTTCGGCAGTGGGAAGGGGCGGGAGAATGATATCGCTGGCCAAATGGACTGGTTGAAGGGTGGTGTCCAGGCGAAGAATCACTTCACCTCGGCTTCGACGATGACACAGCCTTTCGCTATGAATAATGTTTTGTTTGAACCGCCTGAGGGATTCGGTCGTGGGAATCTTTCCGGTCTATCGCAGAAACAGATGTACGATCTGACGGAGATCTGGACGTGCATGGGTGTTCTGTTGCAGCCGCTGCATGGAAAATGCATTGAAGCTCGCAAGGTCGGCATTTTCGATGGCATGAACGTCCCAGATGGTGATCTGGCTCGCGAGGAGACCGTTCTCGGTAAGCGAAACCAAACTCTCATATTAAGCACGGCTAACTCTCAAGTATAGAGGAATGGACTTCCTACATTCTCACTCTCGGTCTAGGCGCCGTCTTAACACTCAGCTCGGTCTGCCCAGCCGACACCACCGCGGCCACATTCACAAAGGCGAAGTCAATCGGTCTCGCGAAGTGGGAACCAACCGAAACCGAAGCAAGTCGCTCCTCATTCCTGAAAGAAGCAGTCTCGCGCGCCTACGAGCTCCAAGAACGCGCCCTCGACAGCCCGACCGAACTCAGCCCGCAAAGAACAAGCCCTATCGAAAATGACCGCGAGATCCGCGAGCGTCAAGCCGGATTCGCCCACGAGCTCCGTCGCCGCCGTAAGCATGGTTTCGATCCCGATACCACAGGCCGCTTTTCCTTCTCTGCTGAACGCCCCATGTCGGAGTTCAGCACTATTGTCCATAATCTCAACGGGTCGATCCGAGATCACCGGCCTATTCCGTCTGTGCCTGCGCTCGTTCTTGACAGGTCCTCGACCTCGACTGCTGGGACTGCTCCTCGTACCCTGACTCATTCGTCCGATCATACTACTGGCTTTGCTGCGTTTTATACTCCTCCGCCGGCTATGATGCCTCTGCCTCTGCGGCCGCAGGTTCTGGACCCTGTTGACCGCGCCATCGATATGATGGTCAATGAGCTTGGCTTTAATACGCAAGATGCTAAGTGGGCTCTTAAGATTACCGACACTGGTGAAGGGATTGATGCTTCTGCTGCTGTGCGGTTGCTTCGGCGTCAACGGGAAAATAATCAGCGCAATCCCCTTGGTCAAGGCAATACCCCGCTGTCGGATGTTATCAAGCGTCAAAAGCCACAAGAGTCGGGCTGGCGCTGGGCTTGATTCGTTTGTTTTTCACTGCTTGGTTTGTCTGTTTAGTTTTTTTGGGCATTTCCTTCACGCTGATTTTCCACGATTTACTGTCACGATCGTTATGTGCTATATACCATATACCCTTGTTTATCTTTCAATTTCGAGTTCTCTTTCGTTTCAACACTCCTTCAACTCAAATTTCTCTATCCAGTTTCGAATTGTGTTTAGTGCTGTCTGGTTATCAAAATCTTGTTGTTTATGTCCGTATGAGCAGAGAACAAATTCCAATGTTTTGCAAAAAAGGAGATATCTGTTTCAGCCACCCAGCCTAGCTTACTACAATAGTAGACATTCCCCTTTTATCTCTTCACTCGGCTTTAATCTACCCATAAAGAGAAGTTTAAGTATCTCGAAACCCCAGTAATTGAATAGTATTCTTCGTCGGGGTCATGGCAAAATCTCGAATAAAACCTTCAGGCTCAAGGTCTAATCGAACACCCGTTTTTGTTTCAGCAAGTAATGTAACAGGAACAGCAATATCTATCATAAAAGAAACGGGGGCTAATGTATATTCAAATGCAAAAGCAGGCTGGAACGAAAGCATAAACTCGTCACATCGTCATGTCGGCACATTTTATAGGTTCGTGTATTCTAATCATACACCGCTCGGCTCCTCGTCATCCGACTTTCCTGCATCGCTGTCCTCGCCCCAACCCTCTGCTTCAAGTGAACGACCACGGATGCCGAAGCTCAATATGAAGCCGATAAAGGAGACCGCTCCGAAAACTCCGAATGCCACAGCCTCTCCTTTAGGCTGCAACTTGGCGGTGAGGGAGAATAGTCCGCCGGAGAGGAATGGGCCCACTGCACGTCCGGCTGCGGAGAGAGTCTGTGCAAGGCCATTCAAGGCACCGAGGACGGCATGGTTAGGTGCCGAGTTTGTGACCTAGGAAAATTATTAGCTTGGGTTTATCGAAAGAGGCATATCGTAAGTTCTTACCAGAAGCAGAGCGCTGGTCAGACCACCCACGGAGGCGATGGTCTTGACCAGCAACACAAGGCAGAGCTCGGTGGCCATGATGGCGGACTTGCCAGTCAACCCTTCGCTAGACTTGCTCTTATACCCAATGAAGGGCATCAAGATAAACGAGACAACAAAGCCAAATAGGCCTGCGCGATAAGACCATCGATTGCCCATCTTGTCTCGCAGACGGTTGAAGATACAGATTTGGAAAATAATCGTCACGATTCCAGCAAAGCCTTGAGCAAGGCCGATCTCGGACGGGGTGAGCGACCTTCCGGCCGGAGGCTTGGCTTGCGCGAATATTGGGAACAACGAGTTGAAAGACACGTTGCAGAGAGCAAAGATCAGGTATGTCAAAAGAAGTAAGAGTGTATCACGAGTGAATATCTCATCCCAACTGAGTTCCTCTGAGTGGCCAAGGATGCTTGACATCTCAGACGCAGAATCTAGATCACTGTCATGACCCTCGGTTTCTGAATCGCGGTGGTTGTGGGGGTGTATCGGTTCTTGAGGGACCTCCACATAGGTCGGGTGACGGGAATTGCCAGTGAACTGCCATAGCCATGCGAACAAGCTGCGCACCTTTTTGCCGATCTTTGGAAGACTGTCTGCATCTTCGAGGCTCTCTTCCAGGAAAATAGCTGTGAGAACAAAGTCCACCAGAAGGATAACAGCGGACACTATATTTGGCGCGAGATAGGGATACGGATTTTTGTTGCCAGTAAAAGGGTTGGTCTCAAAAACGAGCAGTCCTCCTAGGAGTGGTCCCGTTATACCTCCAATTCCGTATAACACCGGGAGGTAGGTAAAAGCCTGGGACTGATTGCGACGGTCGGTGATTTCTCCGAGACAGGTGGACACCAAACCCTGGTTTCCATTTACCACACCCATCAACGCCTGCACAACAATAGCTTGTACAAGAGTCTTGCAGAATCCGAATGCAAGGAAACATAGCGCAGTCAGAAAGGTGCCAAGCAGGATCACTGGCTTGCGACCAACACGGTCCGAAAGCCAGCCCCAGAAATAGTTTGTGCTAAACTGAGCCAGCGCAAAGGCCGATGCAATGCTGCCCACGTATACGCCCACCTGGGTCGATTCCACCTCGGGGAATGTCGAAGCCATGTCCGGGAGGTATGGACTGATCGAGTTCAACGCCGTTTGCTCCGCCAGTGCTATTATCGCTAGCACTGCCATTTGCCTCTTCGGCAGCGGTGATGCCTTTGGTGGGGGAATAGCGATCTCATTGTGGGTATCGTGTGAGCCATCCCCAGAGGACTCGGACTGGCCCGAGTTAGGTCGCCCACGGGACTTGGGCGGCGGAGTATCGAAGGTGTGGTAATGCTGCGTGGAGGAGCGGCGATTGAGCGAAGCCAGGTCTGGACCCGTCATTCTGGCGACACGCCAGCTAAATAAATATTGAATGAAGACTTGTCACAGCTAACCATGCGCTTGGGGTCGTGCTGAAAGTCTGGTTGTAGACGCAATGTCGTGCGAGAGCTTCTTGGTATAAGTTTCAACCTGCGCGGATGGAATATTTGCCTAGCCAAGAGGACAAATTTGTAGATGCAGGGCTAGGTCGAGAAACAAAAATTGCGGAGAAGCTTTGGATGGTTGAAGTTGGCTGCAAAAGATCTTAGGCCGGATCAAGCCCTGGAGAAACACAATGATGATGTAAGCGATGTTGCAGATCTATGCTGAGTCATTTGATCTAGGCACCTGGGCAGCCCTAGAGCGAGCAGAGCGAGCACCTGGGGAGCTAACTAGTTAACTGGATAGTGGTACTGAGTACAATTATTCATTTGATTTACCTGCCCAGGTGCATGAGGCTTGTCGATTCCTTATTGGCTTATATGTTCATAGCCCTTGCATGTGTCGATCTTGTGTTACAATGCGTTAGTGCCGAGGCTCAACAAGTTATTCCAGCAGCTATAACTTGATTTCCTTCTATCCAAGACCAAGTCAGTAAAATCAAGGATATTTACGGGGAAAAGACTGGACCCGCTATAGCAGTCAGGATCATACAGTTTATTAGGTGGGCCCACCTATGTAGGCATCATACTGATGTGATTTGTAGGATTCGCCATAATCCCCAGAATATATAACTGGAAACACCCCTTGTATGCATAGCGCCAATGGCATCCATATAATTACCATTAGCTCTTATAGCCTCTCTTAAGGGATACGTATGTAAATCAGTAACGCAGACACATATATCGTCAGCATATTATCCAAAATACATATTATACGACTCGAAACATGGCGCCCCTTGCTTTATCATGTACCTTAACTCTATATATTACGCCAGCACCAAATGACGGTAATAGAGCCACTGAAATGGCTACTTGTGACACCATTTTAACATACTCAAAACATTGCGAAGGAATAATCGTGGACGAAGGCCCAAGGCCAAGTAAGATTTCTTGAGGATAGTCAGTAAAGAAGAAGATCACAACATGCGCCAACCACTGACAATCCAAGAACGTGAAGGCGAATCCAACAATGCCCCGACTTGATACACATGTATATAAACAGCTAATTTCCTAGACGTATCCTTCTTTCGCTGTAACTTGGCCCGGTTCACTCACCGTGATAATCGTTTATTTCGATTTCGAAAAACCCTCTTTCTGTCAAAGATATTGTTCTCGTCACGAGACTCTTCCAAAGATCAGCGTCAACTTCTCTTCCCTAGACCACAACGTCGATGTCTATTAGGAACCCCTGGCCATGGGCACGTTTCAAATTCTGTCCAATTATCGACGTCTGCTACCAGCCCTCTGATATTATTCGGATCTTCTTCTTCTTCGAAGGCATTATATTTAAGAGGCATTATATTTAAGAGAAGGACCACAAACACACTATTATCAGGCAACACACTCCTCGCTAAATTACCGCAGGTATGTTTACTGCTGGCCGCAATTCCTACCCAGCTTGTGTAAATTACTGTTTGGTGATCAAGTTACATTTTGTCGGCGCACTCGATATGATAGCCTTCGATGTCTGTCGTACTTGGTGATCACACGCCAAGACATCACCAGCTATATCGAGATATAACTCTGCCTTAAGCAGCTTGTCCTGCCGTAGAGTCTTATACTAGTTGGAATATTAAATTGGCTAGAGATGGATCAACATGCTAACGACCTGTCCGCACTCGGATCCGCAAACGAGTCGTTGCGTTCACTGGTAGTGTTAGAATGATCACTTCCTTCTAATATGGTAAAGTACTTGACTTGATATGTGCTAGCACACCCAGAGGAGAGGAATAAAAGAGAAGAATGATTGATTCGATATAAACAAACAGAGAGCTACTCATCTAGATCATATTGAACAAGACTGATAGGGTAGCATTCAACGATACGTAGTTCGGCCTGAAACCTCCACCATCGCCACTGACATATATAGCTGTCAACTTCTAGTCCCTTGGGTTTGCATTTACCGATAGCTGTGCCATATTGGCAATTCGGTGATATCCCCCAACCCTGCATCCACAATGGTTCACTCTTCCTATGTGTAGTTCCGCCAGCACCATCGGTATCCTTGATCATATGAAACATATCTGAACATAGTGATCTCTCATTTCATGCTCTTAATAACTCAGCAACCACTCCCAAAAACTAAATCGCCACACACCCTACTGCATACCACCCAACCAGCCGCTAGTTGAACCACATCTCCTCTGACAATAGAGCAAAAAGAAAGCCACGAGGGCAAAAAGTATTGACCGACGCAGGGATCGAACCTGCAATCTCTTGATTCGTAGTCAAGCGCCTTGCCATTGGGCCAGCCGGCCTTGTTGAGAATTTGGACAAGTTTGGACATATGGGGCAGCAGAGTTTTTAGGGCAAGGCCCCACCTGAAATGTCCCAATTGGGATTTTCATATGTACCGGGTTCAGAAGCCATTCTCTCCACCAACCATGGCTACAACATATATCAGATTACCTTCAACAGTCTCAGGGTAATTAAAGTCCAAAAAAGAAGCGACGAGCCAAAATAAATGCGAGATCTGCGCCGAGATAGTTGAAAAAGTGCAAAAAGAAATCTCTCCCTCGGGGAATCGAACCCCGGTCTCCCGCGCTTATCGGTTTTAATGACAAGCGGAAATCATCACCACTAGACCAAGGAAGAATGCGATGGCCGAGTTACTGCTCGGCCACTTGGCTGGTTGATGGCAAATTTAGCAGGTTGTGGCTTTATATTTGATCAGTAAGTTGACTGTACAGAGATTCTGTTTTTTTTTGGGGGATTCATTATACGAGACTATAGCAACATGATCGCAGGTAATAAAGTAAGGATTTATATACAGCTAAGAAATAGAAATAACAAACTAGGATATCAAGTCGTCCCTACTTCATCAGCAGACTAACAGCCCAGGGAACACTGAGCCCTCGCAGATCTCCATAATGTTGTCCAACGCCCAGGAACACAATGGGAATTCCCGTGGCATGGACCATGCTGACCAGTGTTCCCACCATGTCGCCGACAGTGTCACATTTACTGATAATGAAACCGTCCAAGTTCCTACCGGTGCCAAATGCCTGGTTGAAGTTGCGAGCCTGCATGACACTGTCCGTGCCGACCAGAGCCTCACCAACCATGAAAATCTTGTCTGGGTTAGCGAACTTGGCGAACTTCTCAAGCGACGACATCAGCCGCTGGTCGTTATGCCGACGACCGGCAGTGTCGATCAGGACGACATCAAACTTATTGGCCGCAGCGTATTCGACTGCATCCTTGGCAACGTTGGCTGCGTCCTTGCCGTAGCCCTTCTGGTAGATCTCCACATCGCCTGCATTTTCACGAACGCTCAGTTCCTTCAAGCGGTCAGCGTGCACGCGGAGCTGCTCCACGGCACCGGAACGGAAAGTATCGCAAGCGGCAATAAGAACACGGTACTTGTTTTGAAGCAAGAAGTAGCAGATCTTGCTCAGGTTGGTCGACTTTCCAACGCCGTTGACGCCAACAATAGACATGACATATGGACGAGGCGCCTGCTGCTTGGTGGTGGGAGCGACCACAGCGTTAATCTCGCGCAGCAAATCCAAAGAAGAGGTCGGTGTCAGGATCTTCCGCAGCGAGGATTCCATGGCCACATGCAATGCGGCATCAGTACTCTGGAAATTGCCAGTCTTCTTGCCAATCATCTCAAGCTTAACTCCCTCGCAGAGCCGGACAGCAGCTTCACGGGCGACATTCTTCTTCAAAAGGTGTTCTTCCATCGCCTTGAGAGGCTTCTCGAGATCAGATTCTGTCAGAACCTTTCCTCCGACGATGTTACGGAAGAAGCCACCAATTGCGTTGAACCCGGAGCCAACCACACCAGACGAAGCAGTACCTTTGGACTTTTCAGCATCAGCTTGGTCCAAGATGGATTGAACTTCCTCGCCCAACTCTTTCAGCACGAATTGGCCCTTGCCGGTTCGACGACCCCAATCCTCCTCGGAGACAGCCTCCACCGCAGGGGCGACGGTCTCTCCTTCCTCCGCGGGGGCAGAATAATCGAGGATTTCTCCGTCATCCTCATCTGCCATCCCACTAGCATCCCATCTGCGCATCTTCTTCACAGGGGACTTGACAGGCTTTCCCTTCCGGGCTTCATCACCAGACGATGCGTTGGCGTTCGAATTGGCAGCCTTGCGGGAACGTCGAGAGCCACGACCTCCAGGCCCGGCTTTGGCTGTAAGAAGATGACCCTGAGGGGTCGAAGATCTAGAAATTTCTGGTGTAGCTGGTGGCGTACCCTCATCAGAGGTCGCCCCGGCTAGCGCAGCTCTGGGCTGCGCTTTAGGATGGTCAGCATGCGCTTGAAACTAAAACTGGGGTTTGTCATTCCATACCTTTCACCAGGCCAGGCACCGGTGGCGGCGGTGGGCCTCCATTGTCCGACGAAACAAGCGGGTCTTTCTTTTCACCCGTCTCTGGCACATGTTCTTCTACGAATCCACCAGCGTTGTCTTCAAGCTCCCGAACTTGCTGTTCAAAGTATTGATCGAACCGATAGGTCTGGATTCTCGCGCGGTTTCCCTTCACCTGGTCCTTGTAGAGATCAATAAAGATGGTTGAAATGTTCTCAAGAAGTTTGTCTATCCAGCCAAGGTGGAGTAGCGATTGGTAGACGGCCTGCATAAACCCAGAGTTAGTCGAAGCAGCGAGCGCATGCGCATGCGACAGACATACCACGAAGATCAAATCGAATTCCTTGACTCTCTTCCATTTCAGTGTATATTTCTCCTTCTTGTATGCCGGCGAGATCCCATTAGTTGTAGCATTCTGCGGCACGACCTTCTCCTCGATAAAGACATCGTTGATCAGGCTGTTGATAACATGTGCGCCCACCGGAGCGTAGGCCTTAGACCAAAGCACCACGCCCGATGTGGTTAAAATTTCAAAAGCCTCCAACATTTCGAGTATCTCCGGCAATTGATCGGCGAATGTGAGAAGCAGATAATAAATGTAGGAGGAAAAAAAGCCCGGTGTGACTTGTTGGTGGCGGAACGGGCGAAGTTGGGGAGCTCAGAGCGGATTGGATCTTCAGCCACGTATAAACACTTCCCTCCGCTATCAACTTCGCTTCTTCCCCAAACCCCCGTCACACGATCTAGACGACACGTTCGCCACCGAACTTCCACGCTCATTTTCCCTCCTATCTTCGTTCCCTATTCAGGTGCATTATGTATCGGGGCTCTTTCGCTCCGCCACCCGCGCAATCGCCGCCTCTTCATCACCCCGTCCCACAACATGTCTCGACCGTCCCTATGATGCGCTCACCTCCACCACCAGCTCCCCAGCAACCCCCGAGTGCTGGATATGGCGGTAACCCGTACCAACCGTCACCGGCTCAGGGTGGCTATGGTACTCCCGGATTCGGCGGGTTCATGAACGAACCCACGGCTCAGATGGGCTTCCAAGTCGGCAAAAGCGCAATGGCGGCTGGACAGGAGTACATGGAAAATAACGTATGCATCATCTACAAATTTCTATCGTTTATAGCTAACCTGGAGATAATCTACAGTTCAATCGCTATGTCTCTATACCCGCTCTCAAGCACTACTTTAACGTCTCCAACTCCTACGTCCTGAACAAGCTGGTCCTTGTCCTCTTCCCTTGGCGACACAAGCCCTGGTCCCGACAGCAAGCCCGGATGGCTCCAACTTCTGGACCAGGTGGTCAAATCATACAGCAACAATACTCATCCATGTTCTTGCCTCCTCGCGACGACCTGAACTCACCGGACATGTATATTCCCGTCATGGCCCTGGTCACATATATTCTGCTGTCGGTGTTACTGGCTGGATTCCGAGGCGATTTCCACCCAGAGCTTCTCGGTTCGATCACCACCACGGCCATTGCAGTGATCGCATTTGAGATTCTCTGCTTGAAGCTGGCGACTTACATTTTGAGCATCAACAATGACTCCCAGCTGCTGGATCTGCTGGCGTACTCGGGCTACAAGTTTGTTGGAATCATTGTCACCATGGTTGTCTCTGAGATCTTCAACCCCGGACAAGAGACTAGGGGCTGGATTGGCTGGACGGTGTTCGCGTACACATTTTTGGCCAATGCGTTCTTCCTGGTGAGTGACGACTTTATCGCTTTTCAATTCGTTCCGCATTTGCTAATGTCTAAACTCTAGCTTCGCTCGCTCAAATATGTGCTGCTCCCCGATTCGACCGATTCCGCCATGCATGCCGGTTCGATGCAGGCTGTGGCCCGGTCCCAGCGCAACCGACGCGGTCAGTTCTTGTTCGTATACTCCTACGCGGTTCAGTTCGTTTTCATGTGGGTGCTCAGCCGCGAGGGACCGTCATCTGTGGCATCTACCGGCTCTGCATCGTCATAATTAGGTCGAGAAGGGCAAGGAAGGATTGCTCTTTGCTATTTGGGAGAGATAGACTAGGTTGGTAGGAAGGCATAGCATGAAGGGACAAATGGCTTGCTCTGGGGCATTGCACGGCCGAGGTAACGATATAGCACGACTTATTGTAATCAAAACTACTTGCATTTGTACCGAGGTGTTTGTAGATGTACTATTTACGGAGTACAACATGGATGAACCGAGGTAAATTAAGTTATCCATGGATGTTTAGGAAGATTACCAACTGAACTACTGATGGACAAGGTGTTGTTCTAATATATTGTTCATTTCGATGGTATATAAGACAGCAAACTGCCAGACTGACACAGAAGTTCCTATATTCTTTTGAAGGTTAGCGACAAGTCACAACCAGCATAACAAGCAATAATGTGCAAGGTGATAGGTTCTCAGAGATCTTGGTAGTTAGGTAATTTCATAGCGAGAAGCTCAATTACTATCTAGGCGTGATAAAATGTTCTAATCATCGGACCTGGGGGTGTTGAATGGAGGATTGTATGAACGTACCCTGTGGAAAGCTGAAGAGATGCGGTGTTGTCAAGAAGTCCTTGTATATCAAGGCAGATGTCCTAAATCTTAAAACTGTCAGCGCGATGTCTCTCAATAGCATTGACAATATAACGTGAGAGTTATAATCCATATCAGAATATGTAAGAAATTGAATATCATCCGACAGTGCTGTATAGAGAGCCCCGGCGAGGGCCTCACAGACACTGGGTCAATCGCAAATTACGGCATCATATGAGGAATGAGGGGGAAAAGAACGGAAAACGAGGGGAAAATGGGGATATGAGCATACCTTAGTAAATTCTACATTTGAGCAGTTGTCGAAACTGAAAGCAACACAGACTCATCATCAAAGGCTGGAGCTTGTAAAGCTGGGTAGCTTAGAGAGATCATCAAAAGTTCTGCGGCAAAAAAAACTAGATAAATGCACGGGCTCGGATAATTGTTAATGCGGATGCTGACCTAATCAGAGCCCTAGACCTGCAAGTGGCCGGTTAAGCGAGAATGTTGCGAGTGTGGGCACATCCGAATTTCGAGACAACTCTTGGACAATTGAACTCTTTCGACAACCCCCTCTCGACTCATACCCCCTGTCGACCGTGAGTGTGCAATCTACAAATATTACAGAGCCGCGACGCTGAATTTTTCGTCCCGCAGAATTTCGCCATGGCCGATATCGATGTCAAGGTCGCTTCGTGGAAGCTGGTTGAGGTTGGCCGCCTAGTGCTGATCCGCAGCGGCCCCTTCGAAGGCAAGCTTGCTGCCATCGTTGAGATCGTGGACCACCGCCGTGTATGTGGAATCGCCCTCTGAATCCGGAAATCGTGACAAAAATCGAAGGACTCGGGATTTTCGGAGATCTTTAAGACTGGGAATGTGTATTGACTTGCGATTTTTTTGTTCAGGTCCTGGTCGACGGTCCCTCCACCGAGGAGCAGAAGATCGTGCCCCGTCACGTTCTCCCCCTCGCCCACGCTACCCTCACTCACTTCACCATCCCCAAGCTTCCCCGTGCTGCCGGTACCGGTCCCGTGAAGAAGCTTTGGGCTAAGAACGAGATTGATGGCAAGTGGGCCAAGAGCACCTTCGCTCAGCGCACCGACCGCTCCGAGCGCCGCAAGAACCTTTCCGACTTCGAGCGCTTCAAGGTTCTGCGCCTCCGCAAGCAGGTACGTTCGACATCTTGAAATGGGGGGATCGCTCTGGCATGAATGCGCCTGGGCCCACCCGATCTGATAATCTGGGGGAATTACAAGCAGTTCAACTAACACCACTCTAGGCTCGCTACGAGGTCCAGAAGTCCCACGCCAAGGCTCGCGCTGCCAACAAGTCATAGATGGTTACGAGGTTTCGGTGCATGGGTTTGAAGGAGGTGTCCTGGAAGGGTTTCCATTGCTGGTAATACTCTGGCAAAATCGCTGTATGCATCATCAATGAACAGCAAAAATGATTCAAAATCCTTGATATCCCGGCAAAGGGGCCTTTTGTCATTTGGTTTACCTCTGGCTCTGGACTCATTTTTATATCCCCCCAACGGGGAATATTGAACTTCTGGCTCTACAAAAAGAATAGAACGAGCAGATACGTAAATAATGACCTGCAAACTGTATTAACTGTATTATTCATATATTTATTTTGATCTAGATGGGATCTATAAATGATTAGCCAATCTAGTTTGGAATTGGTGATGTAGTTCCATATAGGGCAATGTGTGCAGGGCAGTCTGGGGGTGCGCGCTCGCTAATGATTTTCGGGTTCGGTCTGGCGCACAGCTACGCACCTTCACCTTCAACAAAATCCATCCCCACTCCCAACAGCTTGATATTTACCTCTCAGGTATGTATGAGTGTTTACTCGACTGAATTATCGACTTTTCAACATCAGTTTCCGCCCTTCCCTTGGTGTGGGCGATTCGTGGGGGTGTTGACCATTCTCTCCCACTATGCCCGCTCTCACACCATTCAACCAGCCCTGACACCCATTGCCGAACCAACCAACCCAACTAATCAACTCTTTTTCGCATTCATCTTAGGCCCTTTTACATCGCAAAAATGGCTGATCCCCGCGTTGAAGAAATCCACGATGACGAGGTCACCAAGACCGTCGAGGAGAGCTCCTCTGAGTCTGGCTCCGAGGCTGGCGATGAGCCCAACATTCCCGCCGGTGCCGCTGTCGCTATCCACTCTCGTGGTGAGAAGAAGGCCCGCAAGGCCATTGGCAAGCTCGGCCTGAAGCTCGTCCCTGGCATCACCCGTGTCACTCTCCGCCGCCCCAAGAACGTATGTGATCCCGATGCGACCGTCATGGCATTTTCTACCCCGCCAAGTACAATGTGATTGCGACCATGAAGCGCAACACTTGCTACCAACGAGATGAAATAACTCGATATATTCTGACCATGGAGATGCTAATTGTTGGAATTAAAGATCCTCTTCGTTGTTAACCAGCCCGAGGTTTACCGTTCCCCCAACAGCAACTGCTGGATGTACGTGGAACCCAATTAGACTCGCTCATCCGTGAACTACATTTACTAACACCTTTTAGCATCTTCGGTGAGGCCAAGATTGAGGACCTGAACTCCCAGGCCCAGGCTTCCGCCGCCCAGCAGCTCGCTGCCTCCGAGGCCACCGGCGACCACGCCGGTCACGACCACGAGGAGATTCTCGGCAAGGGCAAGGCCCCCGAGACCGAGGATAAGAAGGAGGACGAGGAGGATGATGGTGAGGAGGTCGATGAGACCAACCTTGAGTCCAAGGATATCGAGCTGGTCATGGCACAAGCAAACGTGTCCCGCAAGAAGGCCGTCAAGGCTCTTCGGGAGAACGACAACGATATCGTTAACTCCATCATGGCTCTCAGCATATAACGAGTGACCCTATTTAAGGTTCTACGAGGGACTTGGGTTATGCTTTCCAGATGGAGATATCTGGCATGTTGTCGCCCATAGTGTACACAATTTAGCCCAAAAAACAATTGAACCCGCGGATGAGTCAATTAATCAATCTGAACTTGGTAGTGAGCAAAGATATAAGCTGTCTATAAGTAATTTACAAGAATTAACACGATCGCTTTATAATTTGTCGCCTATACAATACACGGTGGATTTCGGAATGGACATCACGTGATTTGAACAATCCAAACCTTCCGGTCGCTCCTCGTTCGGCAACTCCCTGCACATTGAACTCCCCTCTCTTCTCCCCACCCCCAACCTCTATCATACCCGTCACAATGGCTGCTGTATGTTTCGCTCCTACTCCTCGTTATGACAATCCCTTGTCAACCCGTCTGGATGACTCCCGCTAACTCCCTTCACCCGAAAACAGCGCAGCGCCGCTCTCAAGATCGACTGGGTCAAGGTGTCGACCTCCCTCGGCCTCCGCGGCCAGACCGCTACCTCCCTCCAAGCTTTCAAGAAGCGCAATGACGAGGCTCGCCGCAAGGTCCAGGTCCTCTCCGAGCAACCCCAGACTGTTGACTTCAGCCACTACCGCGGCATCCTGAAGAACCAGGCTATCGTCGACGAGCTCGAGAACCACTTCAAGGCTTTCAAGCCCGCTACCTACGATGTCAACCGCCAGCTCAAGGCCATTGACGCCTTCGAGGCCCAGGCTGTTCAGAACGCCGAGGCTACCAAGGGTAAGGTTGAGGCTGAGTTGCAGAACTTGCAGAAGACCCTGGAGAACATCGAGACCGCCCGTCCCTTCGAGGACCTCACTGTCGTACGTATTATCTGCTTTAGACTGCAGAATTGGGACCATTACTCACATGCTTGCTTTTTTAGGACGAGGTTGCCGCCGCCCAGCCCGAGATCGACGAGAAGACCGCTTCCCTCGTCTCCAAGGGCAAGTGGATGCCCCCTGGCTACAAGGTATGTGTTGACTGTCTTGCTGAGAACAATGCGTCTGTTTCGATACTTATACCATTCCCTTATGTAGGAGCGCTTCGGCGATCTGTCCGCCGTTTAAGCGTGGACTCTTGTGGCCTCAAATCCGCCTTTTTATTCCTCGCTCCATTGCACTACGTGATCATGACTTTTGGAGCCAAGAAGACGGCTATTCAGCCAGTGTGTGGTCAGATACCTCCGATAGTGTGGTGGAGCAGTTGGGATGTGTATAGAAACAATACATTTGTCGTTTCTGCGTTCATTAATAGATTCTACTGTAATCTAGTACTTTTCAACAAGATATCAAACCAATTGATCGAGAAATGGGCTTTGGATTAAAAAACAAGGCAATAGACATTGTTAGTCCGATATATATCTTAGCAGGTTGAGTGAAGGAGGATATATAGCTAAGTATCATGCGAAAAACGGGTCTTTTTGCAACTCTGACAAGAAATACTGAGCAGCAATCTATTCCAATCTGATTAGATGCACTGACGATTAAGCCACATACAGAATCTCGCTTGATGACGAGCTCTCAAGCTGACCTTGCCAAGACACGCAGCTCACCTCAGTTTACCCACATCCCCTGGGCCCTACCCCTCTCCCAGCAATGGGCCGGGTTTTTCCTTTCAATTGCTCTTTTCATTCGAGACTTCGCTGGAAGCGTTGTCAAGCGCCTCTCCTATGAGTCACGAGGAGCTACAGGACAACATTATGCGAAGTCTGCAGTCAATATATGGACTGTGTTTCCATTGAGATAAACCATATCCGTTTCTGCTCTTCCTCCTGACTCTTCACGACCATAAAAATACCGTGTGATTCTACAAGTGAACACCGTCTTGCTACGAAAAAGCTATACAAGCCATATAATAACAAATCACCTTTAGACGCACGTTGCAAATGGGCTCAGGCCCGTCTGATCCATTGGCCGACCACCCGTGCTCGCGCCTGGAGTCACTGCCCGTGGAAATCCTGCAATTGATCTTTCTTCATAGTCTTGAAGTGAACCTCCCTCGTGCCTCCCCACGTCTCAGCCAAGCCCTGTCCAATCCATTGCTCTACACCTGGCTCATTCGGCTTGCATTCAGCAGTCCCAATTTAGGCTCGCGAGAGGGATTCTTTACCCCGGATTTCCTACCCCCACCTTTGGACTTCTGGGCCTTGCCCTGGCAAGAGCGCCAACAACTACAGACCGACCTGCTGGCATGTCGGTGGTGCACACTCCCCCTGTTCCGGAAATGCCAGCGTGAGTACGTTGCGCATACCATCCGGCGCAAATGTGCCGGCCTAGTCTTCCACCCGGATGACCAAGCAGTGCTCTCAAATCTGGACCCACGCTTCGAAAATCTAGAAGCCTGTGACTGGGCCGTACTCGGCCGGCGCGGGAAAGGCGATTTGGTGATCCCCGCACAGCTGGAGGACACTTCACGGACCCCGTCGCGCACTGTCGACCGCACTGTCGATCGCAAAGTGGCAATCTGGTTCCATTTTGGGGCTGTGCAGATCCGCAAACCACACGAGATATACCACGAGAACGACCTCTTCCGGCTGCCGTGCGCAGTGCCTATTGGACCTGGCCGTATTCCGGACAAGGTCTTGCGCTCGCCCTGGTCAGATGCGCAGTTTGAGTTCTTGCAGCTGCTTTCTGCGGACTTTTACCTGGACGAGGATGAGGCCAGGCCGGACCGATCATCGGGTATCACATATCGGCTCATCCGAAAGCGCAAGATCGAGCCTTTTCGTCGCTTGCTGCAAATATCGTTCCGTGCTGCGAATTGTCGTGTCCCTGCTCGCTGGCCGTTACAGCATTCACATTATTCCCTTGTCCGGCGCTATGGGAGTGGACCTGAGGATCCGTTCGCAGATGTTATCTTGAATGAGCGTTGGGGTGATATACCCGCAGATGCAAAGCAGGATTTGTTGCGATATGTCGAGTCGTCTCCACTAGAAGATGGGAGTTGATATACTTGCTTTTGAGAATAATACTCACCAATGTGAATTCATACTTCAAGACTTACCATGCGTACACACATCTTCTACAATCACATCATTTATGGAAGAGAGCAATGTAAATAGAGGTGAAGTATTTCGTAACCTAAAATTTGATTCATAATTCGCAATTGAAAAACTGCGCCATGGGGTATTTACTCCAAGAAGGTATAATGACAAAAGAAAATCCGCGCTGGCATAACAATCGTAGAACCCATATCCAGCCCTCTTATCCCCATGGACTCAAGAGGCGCACACAGACACGATGGTCTGCTTCCTATCAGACTGCTGATCGCCGACTTCGTCTACTTCTTCCACAGGAGCCGCAGGTCAGACAGGAGATGATGGCATCGATCACTGTGACCACGCCGCTGATGATGGCGTGCAAGATGGAGCCGACGGCATTGACGATAGCCATGAGGCAGCTACCGATGGCGCGGAAGACGCTTTGGATCTAGAGGCAGTATGTTAGTTGAGATCTCATAGAAAGCAGATGTGGTTCGCATACGCAAGAAACGACGCAACCCATATTGAAGATGAAAGTTTTCTTGTTGTTTGGTTGTTTTGTATGAAGATGTTTATCTCGGTTTGGAGCTGAGAGTAGAATCTGAGCTGGAAGAGGCGTGTGTATGGACTGTTGGATCACTGAAAGGGTGCATATTGAAGATAGTAACGTAGATGGACCGGTGGTTTAAATAAGAATGGCAACGGTGATCATCTAAGACAGGGACTGATAATTTCCTGTTTAGATACGTAAGTGGTGTAAGTGGTGTCCGGAAAGGGCGATTGATAGACAAGTTCATGCAACTAAGCTTGTCTTGCGAGGCGTCAGAGATCAGAAGGTGCAGACGCCGGTGACGTAGTTGGGGAAGCTATGACAGAATTCAAGGTTTGTGGAGGAATGAGAGAAAAGGAGTGAGAGTTTGCAATCGCCAAATTGGATACACAAGGCACCAGGGGCAGTCCAACGATCATTCCGTCATTTCGACATCGACACCAGGCTGTTCCTTGATTTCGGCTGGATTATTCCAAAGTGCAGAATCTTTCGACAAGGCTGGCTTTGTGGGGCAATTGGTGGATCCTAAATGGGCCATCTAGCCTTTAAAATGTCTCCATGCCTGATTTCTAATTTAACCATGTTGAACCCTTCGGAATGACATTCTTCTTGTTCAACAACTTTTCTTTTGCTGATAGACCTTGACGTCATTTGATAACGGGCTAGACCCGATTTAGGAACAGAGTGGGGAGCCATCACGTGATACCATGTGACCTTCCAGCCCTCAAGTGGCCAGCCCTAACACCTGTCGGGCTCTGCCCCGCCAATCAGACGGGGTTACAGACTTGGCCTGCAAAGTTGTATACTTTCTAGAGTTGATATGCGAAAAACATACTGCAACACTGAATAATTACCCTACACGGCTCAGAAATGGTTCAAGCTCACAGATCGATGTACCCCAGATAGTGCGAACGTTCAATTGCTCCATGAGCCCACCAAAACGCGAAGATGAACCCGTGACGCGGAGAAAGCTGGCTCCGCCTATGCCCGCAAGTTCGCATTCTACCGCTATCCCCAAATCGAAGCGCCGTCGTACCTTTAAGAACCCGATTCGGAGCAGCTCATCTCGGTCTTCGCGGTCGAGATCGAGCCCCTATGACCGTCCTTCTAATTCGCCCACACCTAGAATCTCGCGCCCGCATACTTCCCGCAGGATGTTGTCTCTCCTAGAGGCCCTGCCCGTTGAGATCATCGAGCAGATCTTCCTACACTCGCTCAATCTGAACTTCCCTCGAGCTTCGCCGTTCCTATCGCGCGCCCTCTCCGGTGAACACATATACCGCGCTCTCATCCTTCTTGCGTTCTGGAACGATGCGCTCGAAAACCCCCGCAGCAAGGTTATCGACCGCATGATGGTCCCGCTCGACTACGTTCCCCTCACACTGGACGAGCGCGCCCGCTTACAGGAAGCCGTCTTCAAATGCAGGTGGTGTACCGTGGACCGCGTGCGCGACCAGGTTCCAACAATGCAGATCCTCACCATCTACCGTCGCTGGATCAACGCCGGTATCGTGACGGATGAAAGCGAGCGGGCTGCCCTTGAAAAGTTCATAGCGCGTAAGGACGACAGCGTCCGCGTATTCCATGGGAAGGGCGGGCCGATGAGGGAAATCGCTTGCATGCCCCCGGAGTTCTTCCGGATGGCCCCGAACGCAGCGACAGGGATCCATGATTACACGCTCCATGTCCTGCCGATGGTCACCACCGAGCTTCAATGTGTGGATGTAGGATTGACCGTCAACATGCCCGCACTGGACCTGTGCAAATTTCCACCCCATCTCCTCCGCGGCCGCAGCAACGGTTTCCCCCCAGAAGACGTTGCTTTCCTGGAGATGCTGCGCATGACCTCGTGCAATTGGACCCATGGAAAGGGCCAATTATCGCCCTCGACCCTGACCGAAGTCGACCGCAAAGCCCTGCACGAAGGAATCCAGAACGCAATCCGTCACCAGAACTTCAACGCCATGATCTCCCTCCTCAAAATCGACGAGTTCCTCTGCCGCTACAAATCAGAGAACCAGGGCCGCGGCGTCTACTATACCATCCCATCCGAGCACTTCCTCGCTGTGACCCGCATCGGCCGCGACAAGCCACACCTCAACTTGGCTTTCTTCGAGGCTCTCCTCCGTGCTAGTGCGGAGTCTTTGCCTAGCTGGTCATCCGAGATCACGAAGTGGACTGTCGATAATATGGAACTTGCGAGGACGAACCCAAATACCTACAACGAGATGAATGGGAAGTTTGCGCGCTGGTTGTCGGATTTCCTGCTGCGTCTCCCTGCGCAGGTTGAGTATGCTCATGGTTTCCCGACTGGTCAGCTGTTCTGTAATGGTCAGTTGGATATCCTGGATCTCGAGGGCTCGCGCTTTGTCGATGAGGTTCTTGAACCCTTCCGGGAACCATTGGGGAATTGGATGATGGAGAGTTCGTTCCGGACTGAGGATCACTGGCTGAAGAAGTTCGGCCCTCCTCTTCCTCCGTGAAATTGTTCCGAGTTTATGAGGACTTTGTTGTTAGCGTTATACCCTGATTTTAGATTGGCGAAGTAACAAGATTTCTAGATATGCATAGATGTGAAGTATGAATACACTTTGAGTCAAATATTCCCATAGCTAGAGATATCACTCAAGCAAGATGGACTATGTATAGTACAAAAGATCGATATGAAACAAGATTTTTGAAAATTCCAAAGAACAGACCTCACATATTCCTCAACAACCGCAGAATACCAGCAATACGCCCACCCAGCGTCAACTCATACCCCATCTCAACAATACCCTTACACATCTCCCAAGCCGCAACCCCACCCTTCGCGTCCGCCGCGTCCGCCCGGTTCTGGATAGGATAGTCCACGCGTGGCGGGATCCCAGTGCCAATCAACGTAGGAAACCGGTCAACGCAAACAGCCTTGATATTGCACAGACCACGGAGTCCCTCCTCGCCCGCGAACCGGCCATATCCGGACCCGCGCACGCCGCCAAACGGCAACTGCACGGCGTAAAAGGCACCGAAGTCGTTGATGGCTACCATGCCGGCGGAGATTCTTGACACGCAGGCTTGCACGTCCGATTGTTGGTGCCCGAAGACGCTCGCGCCTAGTGCGTATGGCGTTGAGTTTGCGATGGCGATTGCGTCAGGAACGGACTCGGCGCGCATCATTAGGAAGACTGGGGCGAAGAGCTCTGTTTGTGCGATCCGCATGTCGCGTGTCACGTCTACTAGCAGGGTTGGTGTGAAGTAGTGGCCGTGTTGGTGGACTGGGTGTTTGTGTTCGGTGCCGCCGGCGAGGAGACGTGCGCCTTGTTGCACGGCTTCGTTGATGAGTTTCTCGAGGTTGGCGAATGATACTGGCGAGATCATCGCACCGACGTCTGGGGTTGCGGTGTCGAGGAGGACAGAGCCGAGGTGGAGATTTTGAATGCGTGGGGTTACGATTTCGATGAGTCGGTCGTATGCGTTGGGGAGGGCGATGATACGCTCGACGCCGATGCAGTTCTGGCCGGATGATTGGAAGACACCGCGCATGAGGATAGATGCGATGGAAGGGAGATTGCGGAGAGTGCGGGAGTCGTCCAGGATCACGGCGGGGTCTTTTCCGCCCAGCTCGACACAAACGGGGATGAGTGACTTGGCTGCTGATGTGCAGACGTGGTGGGCAACGGGCCGGGATCCAATGAAGGTTATATGCGCGATATCAGGGTGCGAGGTGAATGCATCGGCAACATTAGGTAGACAGACTAGCGTCTGGACCAGATCGCGCGAGTGGCCACAGCTAGAGAGCGCGCCGCGCACCATCTCGAGGAAGTAGACTGCGGACCATGCAGTCTGCTCAGACGGCTTGACAACCACTGCGTTGCCGGTGAACAGCGCGCTGATGATCGGTCCAATGAAGTTATGTAACGGGTAGTTCCAGGATACACAGGCACCCACCACGCCCAGCGGTTCGTATGTGACCGTGTTCTTCTTGTACATCATCAGGAAGTTGGTCGGTCGGCGCTCTGGCAGCAGTGCCTTCTCGCCATGATCGATTGTCCACTTGAGCTTCTCCACTGTCACAAGGATCTCGCCGAATGAGCCGTCAACTTTTGTTTTACCCGAATCGAGACAGCATGCGGTAACGAGGTCTTCTTGGTGGTCTAGGACATATCTGCGAGGTGTTAGTTGGAAGCTTCGCCGGGTGACGTAGAAAAAGCGCAATAGTTTCATAGGGCGGAGCAAATATGCCAATCCACATACTTCAGCAATGTCCGGAGAACCTTTCTGCGCTCCGCAAAGGTAGTCTTTGCCCACTCCGGTTGAGCAGCTCCCGCAACCCGAACAACTTCGTTGACATCTTCAACCGTGGCGGGCTTGATTCCGTTACCGAGCACCCTCCCATCGGCAGGACAGTAGCTCACAATCAATTCATTGTTCCATTTCTGTATAGTGGAAGGGCAATTAGCGCAGGAACAAGAAAAAGAAACCGCAAGGAAAGGATCCCAAGCGAAAGACCAGGCATATTAACTCACTCCCTGAGCTTGATCCTCCAACACTATTTTCTGCAACCCCTGAACCTCATCCCATGTCTTGATTGACCTGCTATTGCGAATTTCGGACGGGATAGGAACATTGAAAACGACCGCTGCCTCTCTCAAGCTTTGGATGTAGAGGTACCCCACGTACACGGCGAGAAGGGAGGTCAACGCGACTCCGACGTGCGGGGCGTACTCTACCGACCCGGGAGGCGCGTAGGCCTCCAGAAGAGTGCGCAGCGAGGGCGGAATGTGGGATGCCAGACAGCCCATGGCGGGAATTGGTGCAATTGGACAACTGGAAAGTGTTGTTGGGAGTAAAGGGAGTTTCTGGTGACTTTTCGTGTTTACGATAAGGCGATAAGGGGTACTTGTGCTATACGACAACATAGGTAGACCAGCGATCATCTAGGAAATATCAGACTTGATTTATGGAATTGATCTTTGTGTTTAGCAATAATAACACACTTGAATTGAGACCTATAGCAATATGGTAAATATATAATCATATAGAGTAAATATTCGGCTTAAGCCATTCGTCGTCATAGATTGATACGATCAATCCTCGTAAAGATTCCACCTTGACTTCACATAATTTCGTTGTCATAATGCATTCACTCGTCACTTGTTCCGTCGGAAAGCGAACTCAGGCTTTCCTCAGTCTCCTCCTCGGAGTCCTTGCTCATTCTCTTGCGCTTACCAACCGCGCTCGTAGCAGGAGCCTTCTTTTTAGAAACCATAGTCGGACCATTGCTCTTGCGCTTGCCGTCGCGAGTTAAAAGGTGATCAATGACACATCCATCCACCCAGCCAGCACTGGACTGGCCGGTAGCAGCTCGGCACCGGGGGCAGATCTTCCCATGCCGGATGAACAGCTGGTGGAGCGAGTACTTCAAATGGTCGGGGATGCGCACTTCCAGGTGACTGAAGGCGGTTACTTCGTTTGCACGGGCGGGGATCCACCCGAGCCAGCGACAGAGTCGGAAGATGTGCGTGTCGACAGCGAAACAGGGCCGCTGGAGGCAGAACAGGATCACGCAGGCGGCTGTCTTGGGTCCGATTCCAGGGTATTTGATCAGATCGGTCATGGCTTCTTCACTGGTGAGATTGTGGAGGTGGTTGAGAGAGAGAAAGTTCTGATCTGCGCAGGCAATCTCGTATTGCTTGTCCTTTTCAGCCTTTTCAGGCGCCAGGTTGGACATTGAGTCATTCTTGGACTCAGAATCTAACAATGTGGCTCGGCGCGCCTGGTTGTCTTCGTGGACTATGTCAAGAATTGCCTTGAGGTTCTTGCTTTTGATGTCGGCCAATCCGCCACTTTTGATTGCTTCAAACACGTCTTTCACTGTGGCCTGCCGTACAGCATCCCAATTCACGCTTCCCTTGCCGATGCCTTCTGAAAGAATGCCAAATCGTTGCACAAGCCCACCAAAGGCCTTGGCGGCGTTGTTGCCCGTGGTGGCACCGCTGAGAAGAGTTCTGATTAAAGCGTCCAGAACGGATGGGACTTCACCACACCCGGTGACTGTCAGGGATGGCTCGGGAATGGTTGCTGGAGCAGTGACTACGCCATGGATACTGGACAACAGCCGATTGACATCTTCGCACTCCTCGGCAGTGGGCCGAACCAATTCGGGGAAAGGAGAGATACCGGGCGTCAAGCCATAAGTATTTTTCTTTGGCTTGCGGCCGCTTTGGGTAGTTTGAACCTTGGGTTCTTTCTTCAACTTGGTTGTAGCTTTGTTCACAGTGTCTTGGAACTCAGTAGACGGATTGCCAATTTGGTTGCCCTCTAAAGTTTGGTTTTCCTTGTCAGATCCAGTAATTGAAGCTGTGGGCTGTGTTGCTACAGACAAAGGGGCCGGCATTGGCCCTAGGTTATGAGGGAGCTCATCGAACAAAGGAGGCAACACTGGTTTTTCTTGTTTAACTGCAGGATCGGAATCATTGGAGGATTTGACCTCAGTGACTGTTTGAATTATGGGTGTATTCAATTTATTGGGGGTTCGACGCTTTCGTTTGTTCCCTTTAGTAGTGTTTGGTGGTTGAGTGACAGACGGGCTGTTTTCTCCCGCACTCCATGCAGTGGCAGCCCGGGCTGCAGAACGAGTAATGCGGCGTTCCATTATATAGAGAAGGAGCGTCAATTTCGTTCAATCTTGCAAGTGAAGCAACGTATACGAGTCCCGATATAACAAGACGTATCAATTCATTTCAACCGAACAGAGGGCTAAGCTTGATTCATGCCGATGAGCGCATCGTGGGTCTGTCGATGATGCGGAGGGAATGCTACTGGCCAACGACGGGCACGTGACCTGCCTCTTTGGGACAGCCAACGATGAAAGAACAGCATTTCAACAACATTGAATATTGCATTTATTTTTGTTTCATCAAGAGTTATTGACAAGTGTATCTCAAGACATCGGGTCTTGGTATTTTCAATGCTTTGAGCATCATTTCCATATCATACAGTAGCAAATCAGCCACTCAGCAAACATGCTCCCTCAAATAAACGCCCAAATACCCAATGCAAGTTACCAGAACGGTAGAGAAAAAGAAATTTAAAAAAAATGGAAATCAGATGTCTCGTAATAATGCCTCATGCCTCATGGTCAGCCTGGTTGTGGATGCTGATGTCCATGCGGTCCGAGACCTTAGGGTTCTGCTGGTCTTCGGAGTTGCTGGTCTGCGTGCCGGCACCAATGGCCGACTCGTTGTCAATGGCAGGGATGATCTTGCCATTGGTGTCCATAGTGACTCCATGCGCGGCAATCTGGAAGTCGGTCATGTTGGCACAGCCATTGGTGACAGCCTCCTTGGCCTTGTCAACAGCCTTGACCTTGCGGCCTTCGCCACGGACGGCCTCCAGATGCTCGAAGTAACCGGAAGAAACAGGGGTAATGTAGCTACCGCTGAAGACACCGACCTCAAAGTTTGTGGGCTCCTCCTGACCATTCTCACGGGCAACCGAAGCACAGGCATCCTTCAGATCAGGTAGAGTTTGGAAGACAACCGCTTCCGCGCCAATATGCTTGGCGATAGCCGCGGAGTCCCGATTGTGCGCAACCAACTCCTGAGGAGAGGCCAGATCGATACCGTAGATGTGAGCATGTGTGATCTCCGGTGCGCAGCTGGCAAGGTAAACCTTCTTGGCGCCGGCTTCCCGGGCCATGTTGACAATTTCGCGACTAGTAGTACCACGCACAATACTGTCATCAACCAACAGGACGTTGCGGCCCTTGAACTCAGCCTTCATGGCATTGAGCTTGCGGCGGACACCACGTTGCCGTGTCTTCTGCTCCGGCATGATAAAAGTGCGGAACACGTAACGGTTCTTGACGAAACCCTGGCAGTAAGGCTTGTTAAGATATTGGGCGACGTTGGTCGCGGACGTAGTCGCCGTTTCAGGAATGGGAATGACCACGTCAATGTCCTTGACAACGTCGGGACCCAAGACTTCGAGGATCCGTGCACCGAGACGGTCACCCATGCGTTGCCGGCTACGGTACACACTGATACCGTCCATGACGGAGTCGGGGCGAGCGAAGTAGACATACTCGAAAATATCCGGGGCATAGGCCTTCTGGGGAGCCACCTGGCGGAAGACCGGCTCACCACCCTTGGCGATGATGACCGCCTCACCGGGCTTAATGTCACGGTGGTCGGAGAAACCTAGTTGATCCAGAGCCACTGATTCAGAAGCCATCATGTAGTCCATGCCGGGTCCATCCGCGGACTGACGAGAGCCCAGAATGAGGGGGCGGATACCGTAGGAGTCACGGAAACCCAAGATACCAAAGCCTAGTCGCGAGTTAGGGCCATAGACTAGAAAACAGCAGGAGTGATTCACAACTTACCAGCAAGCATAGCAGTGCAGGCCCACCCACCCTCGCAACGCTTGTACATGCGACTCAAGCTGGCAAAGACGTCCTCGTGGTTGACACGGGCCTTCTTGGTCTCGCTGAGCTCATCGGCGAAGACGTTGAGCATCAGCTCGCTGTCACTGTCGGTGTTGATGTGACGGTGGGCTTCAAGGTCAAGGTGCTTCCGGAGGTCTCCGGCATTGATGAGGTTACCGTTGTGCGCAAAGCAGATACCGTAGGGGCTGTTCACGTAGAACGGCTGGGCCTCGGCGTTGGCACTGGATCCTGCGGTCGGATAGCGCAGGTGGCCAATTCCCATGGAACCGGGGAGGTTGGAAACCTTAGCACCTTCCTGGAAGACCTTGGCAGCCATGCCGTTGGCCTTGAGTTGGTAGATCCGGCCGCCGGATGCGCATGTCGCAATACCGGCTGCATCCTGACCACGATCTGTGATACCAGAACCTTTAGTCTCGCGGTCGCAGGTATATATATTCTGGCCGGAACTCACGTTGGAGAAGGTAAAGTGCCTCGTGGAGATCCACGGCGGCCGCAGACGAGGGGTTCGCCTGGATCAGCGCAATGATACCACACATCCTGACGAAGAGTAGGTTTTCTGCAATGGACGAAGACAATTAGTACCAGTGTTCACATCGCATTCACAGTATAGCAAGATTGAAGTGTCTCAAATCAGTCCAGGTGTTTATCCGCAACAATTGTTTAGGAAGTCTAACATCTATAAAATACCATAATTCATCACAAGAGACAGAGGGGCAGCTTTGCATAAAGTAGCTGAAAACAATGAAATCATGCGACTTACCTAAACCAGATCACGTAAAAGAAGGAGTGAAGATAAGAGAATGGTGATCACTGAAAATGAACACCACCCCAAGAAGAGAGAGAGAGAGAGGGAGGAAAATATTCCATTGCGGTTGTGGTTCTTCGGTGCCCACAGAAATTTTCTCTTCCCTCCCGTGGTCGTCCGGGCCGACTTCGGGGGGATATGAGTAAGCAATGGCCTATGGGCACGTGCCCGGGCATTCCCCGGGCATGCCCTACTATCCGGAACGGGCTAAGCGTCTATAGAGTTGATATTGACATACAACCATAGATGAGTATACAAACCAGATTGGAACAGCTATGCGGACCTTCAATGAGATAAAATGAATACCATGGCTCTATGCCAGTCTTTCATGCTGCACAGAGCTAGATATCATCTCTGCTTTGTAGACCAAATAGAAATACAAAGACAAATTTGCGTTGCTTCAGTTGGACTTGTTATGTATAGAAGGCCTGGCAAACCCTGCGATTCCTTCAAATCAGTTGTGATCACTTGCGCGGGTTAGGTCTGAACCGGCTATAGAAATAGAAGTGTTTTTGAAGGCCAACTCATCCGAACGTGAGACCATACCGGAAAGACCTTACAAGAAGATCTCTAAGATCATTCATCGGTTTAAATCGAACTTCATCTTCTTCGCATTCATTAAGATTCCGGATTTAGCATCATCCGAGCCGAATATGGAACATTTTCATCAGTCAACCATCACATCGATGGCTGATATCAATGATCGATCCCGTATTTCAGTGTCTCCCTTTGGAGACCCAGTCCCTGTGAGCACTGCAGAATTCCGAGCAGTCAGTCATGAACGGACAATGCTCGACGAAGATATCATCATGTTGGATCCGTCGGCGATCTATACCACTCCACCCATGCAGGAGGCCAGTCACACCTTCCAGCCCACCGAGAAATTGCAGATCGTCATTGACCTCACCTGCGATGATGAGACCAATCAAGCCATTGAGGAATTGACCTCTGAAATGACACACGTTGGGGCTGCCTCCGTCATTGTCGCCGGCGACGACTTAGCGAGTGACCGGTCTTCTTCTGGCAACTCATCTCTCATCAGCAACCAGTCCGCCAGCTGCAGCCCAACACCGGAGACAATGCAGCAAGAAATAGATATTGGGGGTGTTGTGTTCAAACCCGGAATATCTCTGGAGCTTGAAGACGGCTCTTTCCTGCGTGTCAAGGACATGATCCCTCAGCCTCATGATCTGCTTTTTTTCGGACGGCATCTCTACCGCACCACGCACCCCGAAGCCAAGACATATTTGCCAAAACTTAACAATGAATTGGTCTGGCTCACTCAGAAGACCGATCTTATCAGCATCAAGAAAGTTAGGCGGGTTGTGTCCATTCGCTTCACCAACTATCGGACTGACTTCAATAACCTCACACCGGGAGATGAACTGACTTGTCGACTGAAGCTCACCATTCGCCAGAATGGAGTCGTCATTATTCCTGGTAATGCACCTTTAAGTGCAGAGCAGTGTGCCATTGAATGGCTGACCTTTGCCGAATCAGATCCAGGACTTGGAAAGCGCGCGAACCAGCTGCGTGCAGAATGGAGAGGCCACACTGTGCCTTTCGGCGAGGCTAGGGTGTCTTCCATGGCTAGGGATCTTGAACGCCAGGGTGTGATTGATTTGACTGTCCCTGATCGTGCATACACCTTTGGTGACGCATACTGCGGTGCTGGTGGTGTGTCTTGCGGGGCTAAGCAGGCCGGCGTCAAGCTACAATGGGCCGTGGATATCGATAAGCATGCACTAGAAACATATCAGCTGAATTTTGACGATGTAGAGGTCGAGCATTCCGACTTTTTCAGTTTTCTTACCAACGATCCGAAATTCCTGCGAGTGGATATTGCACACTGCTCGCCTCCGTGCCAAACCTGGTCCCCTGCTCATACTGTGCCCTGTCCTCGTGATGACGCTAACTCGGCGTGCGTATTTTCGGCTGGAAGTCTGATTCGGGAGTCCCGTCCCCGGGTGTTGACCATGGAGGAAACCATGGGGTTACCGCAACGATTCCCCGTTATCTTCAATCGAGTTGTCCTGGACATGGTTGAGTTTGGATATTCCGTTCGCTGGTCGGTGCTGGGCTGTGATGAATATGGAGTGCCTCAGGAGCGGAAGAGACTGCTTCTTATTGCTGCGGGGTAAGTTAAGTGAAAGACGATGCTTTTCATACTCCAATTTTATATATCTAACCACGTGTTCATAGACCCGGTGAAGCTCTACCACATTATGCGCAACCCACTCACGGCATGCCTGGTCACGGTTTACGTCCGCGTGAGACCATTTCATCCACGATTGACAACATTCCTCCCGATGCCGAAGACCACAACGTTGAAGCGGCACTGGCGCGTTGGGCTTTGAGCCACCGACCGTCTTTTGATCGCCATTCTCTAGCCAGGACAATTACTTGCGGAGGTGGCGAATACAACTACCACCCCTCGGGTACCCGGCCCTATACCAGTCGTGAGATGGCCCTGTTGCAGACATTTCCCCTGGACTTCCAGTTCGCTGGGAGATTCATGCGCAAGCAGATTGGGAATGCCGTGCCCCCGCTCTTTGCCAAAGCTATCTATGGAGAGATTGTCAAGTCTCTGTATAAAACTGATACAGAAGAGGCCATGGGAATATTCCACTGATATCCTAGAGTGATGGTGACGACAGAAAGGAGGAAAAGAGAAAAGGTGGGGAATTGGGGATTGGGGATTGGGGAAGGCCCCCTGGGGTGATGATCTGCACGTGAGCTCGCAGATCAGCCGAGGGCAGCGGTCCAGATGAGCTCGGGGTGAGCTCCTTCGAACAACATTTTTGCTCCTTTGGCTTGTCCTTTCCTTGCACATTCGGACCGTATATTCCGATGTTCGCTACATCTTGCATCCTGGTCTGTTGCTGTCCTTTTATGTCCGATCCTCGGATTTTGGCCAGGAAGCTCAAACGACGGTAACATAGCAATCAACTCGGCCTATTGAAAAAGTAATAGTGCAATTATCAGTCTACCGTCTGTAGACAAGGTAGTCAACCCCATAAACAAAGAGTAAGAAGGCATACAAAGGCCTGTACAAAGGGTAGAGAGAAGTAATACCCGACTGTAACCGACCCTCGGCAGTATGAAGTCAGCTTGGAACACATCCCCGGCCTTTCTCTCCCTTTTTTCCCCAACATTTCTCCTTTCGTCCATGATTTGTTTTAAATAACTGACCATCTCCCCCTCTTCGTCTCTCCAATTGTGTCAATTGTTGATCAACAATCCTATTCCAAACCCTTCTTCACTATGTCCTTGCCCGCAGTGAGACGCCTGACCCACACGTCTCCCCGCACTTTGGCCCGCATCTCCAGATTTCCCACTTTGACTTCTTCCCTCTCCATCTCTCCACGTATCTCGGTGCCTCGCACTCCCCGTTTCTCTACAATGGCTGCTCGTCAATCTGCCGCCCCGGCGGTGCACACCGACAAGTCCTATGACACTGAAATTCAGGACATGGCCAGTTACATCCACGACTATAAGGTGGATTCCGACTTGGCAGTAAGTTTACCCGGCCCGGTTAGATTAAGCACCGACTAATTCTAAATTTTTAGTTTGACACTGCTCGTCTGGTGTTCCTAGACACCCTTGGCTGTGGATTGGAGGCTCTGAAGTTCAAGGAGTGCACAAAGCTCCTTGGCCCCGTTGTGGAGGGTACTGTTGTCCCCAATGGTACCCGTGTGCTGGGCACTCCTTACCAGCTGGACCCCGTCAATGGCGCTTTCAACATCGGTGCTATGATCCGCTGGCTCGACTACAATGACTGCTGGCTTGCTGCCGAGTGGGGTCACCCCTCAGACAACCTCGGTGGTATCTTGGCTGTGGCTGACTGGATCTCCCGTACCAACCGCGCCGGCGGAAACCTCGGCAACGGCAAGATCCTGAAGATCCATGATGTTTTGGAGGCCATGATCAAGGCCCACGAGATCCAGGGTGTCCTGGCTCTGGAGAACTCCTTCAACAAGGTCGGCCTCGACCACGTTGTCCTCGTCAAGGTTGCGACCGCCGCCGTCGTCTCCAAGATGTTGGGTCTTACCGAGAAGCAGACTGCCGATGCTATTACCCAGGCTTGGGTTGACGGCCAGTCTCTCCGTACCTACCGTCACTCGCCCAACACCATGTCGCGTAAGTCATGGGCTGCCGGTGACGCCTGCCAGCGCGCTGTCAACCTGGTTCTCAAGGTCCAGAGGGGTGAGGGTGGTCTCCGCACCGTTCTCACTGCTCCTACCTGGGGCTTCTACGATGTCCTGTTCAAGGGCAAGAAGTTCCAGTTCCAGCGCCCCTACGGCAGTTACGTCATGGAGAACGTTCTGTTCAAGGTTTCCTACCCTGGTAAGTTTAAATTTGCAGAAATGACACTATACAAAATTGACAACAACTAACTCCTTCAAGCCGAGTTCCACTCTCAGACTGCCATCGAGGCCGCTGAAAAGGTCAATGCCAAGCTTGCCTCCATGGGCAAGAGCGCCAAGGACATCAAGGAGATCACCAACCGCACACACGAGGCATGCATTCGCATCATTGACAAGCAGTTCAAGGAGATGGACAACTTCGCCGACCGCGACCACTGTGTGCAGTACATGGTTGCCACCATGCTCGTCTTCGGCCGCCTGACCGCAAGCGACTACGCTGACGGCTCCGAGGCCGCGACCTCCCCTCTGCTAGAGTCTCTCCGCAAGAAGATCCGCTGTGTGGAGGACCCCAAGTTCACCACCGACTACCACGACCCCACCAAGCGCACCATCCCCAACGCGCTGACCGTCACCTTGAACGACGGCACTGTCCTCGAGGAGGTTGTTGTCGAGGCTCCTCTGGGCCACCGTCTCCGCCGCGAGGAGGCCAAGCCCGAGATTCTGGCCAAGTACAAGCGTCACATCGAGGCGCACTTTGACAAGGCTCGTGTTGATGAGCTGCTGAAGCTGGGCTGGGACCGCTCCCAGCTGGAGAACTACGACGTCGACCAGTATGTCGACCTTTACGTGAAGGACAAGATGATTGCATCCTCATAAGTATTAGAACGGGATTTCTGGTGTACTGCGCTAGAAATCACACATGTATGACGAACACATTTTATATACCGCAAAATTGTATAGAACTTTCTTTTCAGTTTCTTCACTCAACTATACATAGGTCTGATCTCCTTATTCTCAGCCCGAGGCACCAGCCGTGCAAGTTACCCCCAAAGTCGACGGGGTATTAGCGCACAACACCTCACTCCCCCCAGATGGTGCCTCAACAGTATAAGCACTAACCTTGACATCACAAGTACCAAGAGATCCACAATCAAGATTGCCCGTGACAGCCTTATACTTCCCACTCGTCTTCCCACTGAACTTATCAAAAACAACGCCCGTCAGGTCCGCATCCCCAGGATTCAGCACACAGTAATCACTATCCTCTCCATAACAACTCTGAATCTGAATCGCATAGTCACACCCATCAACCACAACACCAGTAAAAGTAACATTGCTCACTGTGGACATGGCATGACCATTACCAGTAGGATACGTCTTAATGCCCGCGGCCTTGGTCGAATTAACCATCGTGGCGCCGGACACGTACACATTCTTCACGACGTCCTCGGCACTCTTCCCCAGCGACCCCACCGACAGTCCATGGCTTCCGGTGCAGGTAATGTCCGTGACTGTGACGCCGTCTGCACCGGGCTTGAATGCCACGCAGTCGTCGTCGTTCTTCACGTTCACGTTGCTGATGGTCACGTCTGTGCTGGCGCCGATATCGAAGCCGTCTGTGTTCTTCGGCTCATTGTCGCTCTTGGATGTGGCGTCCATTTTTAGATTGAGGAATTTCGCCGTCTTGGTGTTTCCCTTGACGGAGTTGAAGACGTTGGGTGGGTTTTTTTGGCGGAGGTTTGAGACCTCGATGTTGGAGCCGCCGGTGATGTAGAGGAGGGTTGGGCGGGCGTAGGTGCTGTCTGTTGCGAAAAGGTCCCATCTACATGTGATATTAGTGGACTGGGATGAGAATTAAAAAGAAAGAAAAAGGAAAGGAATGCGTACGCATCTTGCCCATTTCCGTCGATGACTCCGCTGCCTGTTACAGATCGGAATCTAAGTCCGTCAATGTTCTTGATATTGATCATTGCTGTCTGTCCCTTCCAGGTAGATGTTGACGAGCTGAATTTCAAGGTACCTTCCAACTGGAAGTCACAGTCAACACACCCCGCAAAGTCCAGTGTGCTCTTCAGGTTGTAGGTTGTGCCAGATGGGATGACTATAGTGCCTCCCTTGCCGCACGAGGCGATTGCTGATGTTATAGCGGGAACATCGTCGATTGAGGAAGATCCACCTGCTACTGGTGTGCAAGATGAAGCGCGAGCATGGTGGTGTCTTGCTTTGTCTGGTAGGGCGAGAGATGAGCCGAGAAGCGCAAAGACTGCGAGGGCTTTTGTTATCGACATTGCGTGGTGATTGAAGGTATGGTATCGCAGCTATGATTGGAATAACTGCGTTTCTAGTTTTATACCTTTCATAACTTCTCTTCTCCTTTTACCTTCTCTAATCTCTTATTAAGTGTTTCGCATGTGGATAGTTTCAATGTTTCGTCAACGGAGAAATAAAACCACCTGAAACACCTCTTCTTTAGCCCTGGCCCGCCATTCGAGGAATAATTCCATGAGGGAAAGTCATTTCTTCACCCTCAAACAGATATAGGGTCCATAAATTCCCTTTAATTACCCAATGGGTTATCCTCCGGTGACTTTCCCACGTTGTTCTCCCCGATCTACGATCTGCCCTGAATATCCACTTCTACGCAACGGGGTGGAACTCCGTGAAACAAATAGGAATTGGACTGTGGATATAATTGAATATATTGGCCCCTTGAAGAGGAAATCTCTCTTTATCTCGGAAAAATATGTCCCATAACTATACAAAGTCCCGGTGGAGAAACAACTTCTATAAAGACGGACGGAGTACATAACCCGAAACCATTCCCTTCTCTCCGGTAAAACACCAATTTCTCTCAATGCAACTACACGCTTTCCTCCTCGCAGCCCTCAGCACGGCGGTCCTGGGCGCACCCGCCAAACTAGTCACCCGCACAGCTAGGACCACTGCCCCCGCAGGTTGCCTGACAGTCGGATCGAGTGGGAAATACTCGACTATCGGCGCTGCACTTACTGCTCTCGGCTCTTCCTCAGCAGCAGCTTGTATCTATGTCGCAAGCGGCACGTACGAGGAACAGCTTACTATTAACTATGCCGGTGCTCTGACTTTGTATGGCGAGACGACGTATGAGGAGTCATATAAGGAGAACACTGTTACCATTACGCATACGATATCTTCGCCCGAGGCTGGCTCACTGGATGCGAGCGCTACCGTGAACGTTGTCGCCGATGGGTTCAAGATGCACAATATCAATGTGGTGAACGGGTTCGGGAAAGGCGCGCAGGCTGTTGCGTGAGTATCTATTTCTTTGCCTTGATATTGAATTATTGACTGATATACCAGACTCGTCGCCAATGCCGATAAACTCGGCTTCTATGCGTGTCAGTTCAGTGGATACCAGGATACTTTGTACGCCAAGTCGGGAACACAATACTACGCCAACAGCAGGATCGAGGGTAAGTCATTCTCTATCACATCCCTATTCACTATAAATACGAACGGTTTCTAGGAGCCGTGGACTACATCTTCGGCGCCGCCTCCGCCTGGTTCAACAACTGCGATATAGTCTCCAACGGCCCTGGGGCCATCACTGCCAGTTCGCGCCAGACAACTACCGACACCACCTGGTATGCACTCGACCGCTGCAATATCAAGGCTGCGTCTAGTGCTGTCCTCGATAGCACTGTCTATCTTGGCCGTCCATGGCGAGGCCTTGCTCGCGTCATCTACCAGAACTCCAACCTGGGTAGTATAGTCAATGCCAAGGGCTGGACGACATTAGCGGAAGGCGCCACACCACTCTATTATGAGTACAACAATAGCGGGGCCGGGTCAGATACTTCTGCGCGCGAGTACGAGACTCCTATATCGGCGGCAGTCACAAAGGACACGGTTCTAGGAAGCGACTATGCTGATTGGATTGAATCAGGCTATTAGTGAACTATGGAGCCTAGTTCGTCGAAATGTATTTTTAGATCGGCTTGACTGCCACTCCGTAGTATTCCACACCGGTTACTTCGGCATCTCCATTATGCACATAATTGTATCGTATCTCACTCCCTAGGCTCATAAGCATAAGGTAGCAACTCATCAATAAGGACAGATTCCGCCTTCCCGCCCTTCTGCACAATAACCCGAATTCCAGGATGCAAATCATACAGCACCTGTCGACACCGACCACAGGGATTGAGGATGATTCCGTCGTGGCCGTCTTCGCCAACAGCGACAATATGCGAGAGGCGCGGAGTCCCGGCTCCGGCGGCTACACCGAGGACTACCAGCTCGGCACATGGTCCGCCCGTGAAGTGGAACACGTTCACGGCGGTGAAAACCTGGCCGCTGATTGAGAGGGCTGCGCTGGAGACACTGTGGGTACTTGACCTTGGGATTGCGTTGATGGTATCTCTGGCGATATCGACGAGCTTGGTTTCTTTGGCATTTAAGCCCATGGTGGAGGGATTTGATTGGTTTTTGATGAGATGTGTGTGATAGGAGAGTCTGATGCTACTCCTTGGTATGCATGGAGTTCTTGTATCGTGGAGGGAAATTAAAAAAAGGAATATCTTAGAAGCTGTCTCCGTAGAGACGGGAAATGCGGAGTGCCGAGATAAATTTCCTATTTGGGTGCCCGGTTGTTCAATCGCGGACGATGAGAAGATGAGAGTACAATGATGGTGATTTAATGTATACATTTCTGTGAAAACAGGCTAGGAAGGTGTCCATTCGGTCAATATACATAGCCCATTGCATCACGATCATAATGAGTATATATGACTGCGTATAGATACATAAAACAAGATCATCTGCGGCCTCTTTGGACAGATGGCCAATGGATAAATGCAGATCAAAGAACGGAATGAACAAACATGTCGTGTCACGTTGACGGATATCTCAAAAGCAAAGCAAGACAAAAGAGGTAAAGAAAAAGGAGAAAAATATAAGAAAGAAGCCGTATTGATCCGATAGTCAAAGGGCATATCGCTGACCAAATGCAAGTTGCACTTGGGCAACCCCGCAGGATCATGCATGCAGGTCAATAATTATTTCTGGAAATCATCCTCGTGCCTCCTCCTCTGGCGAATACGAAGCTTGGCAGATCGGACACTTATACCGACGGTATTCAAACCAGGACTTCAGACAGTCTAGATGGAAGGCATGCTTGCAGCGATTGAGTACGAGGACCTCGCTATCGGGCGGGGAATGTGCCCCGCAGCTGCAGCGGGGGTCTGGTCGTGTAGTCGGGTTGGGATTATGCTGGTCGTCAGCCAGCACGGCTGGATCGGGACAGGCGAGGTATGGGGACGACGATAGTGCTGACAGACAGATGGGGCTGGGTGAGTTAGCTTGATTCTAGAAGATTCAGTCGATGTGTCCAGAGTCGCTTGCACGGTCTGCTATCTCTAGCCAAGACCACGCGTGTTTATCCAGGAACACCGGAAATTGGCCTTGGGCGCAATAACGCCTTGCCCAGAAACCATGGATCCGCCTCCACGAAAACTCGCGGATCCCGATAGGGCGGAGGGACCGAATGCCCAGCCCTAGTGTCCCCACACGACATCATCCAGCCGCGGGGCCAAAAGGCTCGAGGAGGGGCAGCCGGAATCGGAGACCGGTGGAATGCTGGAATAGCGCACTTACCAAGTATCTTGGCCATATTGTTGCGCATTGGCAGGCACGTTCTGTTCTTCCAACCATCGGTCCACGGACACAGGTTGGCCCAACACATTCTGCAACTGTACCTGATATACCGGTGGGAGAACTCGGGCTGCGGCCATGGCCCGTATGGCGGCGCGTCGTCGGTGATGTCTCATGATCATGCTAGACGGAAAATCATACAAATCAGTGATCGGCACTTCGGAAGTTCGAGAACAATTCGCATGCATGAAGCGCGGGGGTTGCCAAGACTTCTCGCGCCTCCGTACTTACACCGGAATCATGCTGATCAGGGAAAACAGCGCAACTGCCCCAATCACAACCCCGAGTATCTCCTCTCGCGGCATAGAATCGTCCGCCATGAGTGGAGGGTCATATGGGTTTTAGGCCCAAGCGAAGAAGATACGAGAAGAAAATAAAAATAAAGAATTGGAGTATCGCCCGATAGTAGACCCAATGAGAATGGAGGAATAGCGCAATGTAAGACAGTGCAACCTAGATCGGATCACTCGGGTCAATCATGTATTCAGGCACCGTGTCTCCAGGAGCAATTGATAGCCCATTATCTGAGGCGAAAAACAAAGATAATGGGGGTTTCGCCACGTAAGAATTGAAGAATTCCTCCGGAGAAAGAGGCGGATTTGAAGCGGAGGAACCCTCGAGCCCCGAAATGCCAAGAGGTTCTAAGTGCCAAGAGCCAAGAAGACCAGAGGTGGGAAATAAGCCAGAGAGATAGAAACCGACGACCTGTCCAGCCAAGGTTATGCCAAGCGATTTCCGCACCAATCAGAGCCCGAGAATTGTCGCGTGGGGACCCACCCGGACATGCCTAGACTCCGTTTGCGTCATCGATGATGCGCCAAGGTCGTCCGCTTGATACAGAGATGTGGTAAATGAAGTTGATTCGCCAGCATAAAATCTAGTTCCCCGGATGTCGGACACAATTTCCTTCAGATTACATCCGGTCATAACTGCCGATTGCATTTCGCCATCGAGTGGTATTCTGATCCTATTTATACTTTGAGAACCCCCCTCGGAAGAAAAGAAAAGAAGGTTGTTTCATAGAAGTGTGCCTATTACTCAAGTAATCCCGGTGTATGGACTCTCATTCTCCTACAGATACCTTCTATAAGTTGCCCCCTTAAGAGCCTCATAGAAGTACATCTTTCACCAATTCACTCAATTCACTCAACCCACCCAACTAGAGACAACACTCTACCATCCGATATTGCGAAATGTCGCACAAAGGTTCCGGCTCCGAGAGCCATGTTGACATTACACAACAACCTCTCTCCCAACCCGCCCATAGTCTCACCTTCGAAGATGTCATCAGCGAACTCCAGACCAATTCGGACGATGGTCTAACAACTGCGGAGGTCAAGCAACGCCTCGAGAAGTATGGCGAGAATATGCTTCAAGGAGACAAAGGCGTCTCCTTGGCGAAGATTGTCATTCGACAGATCGCCAACGCCATGATGCTGGTAAGTCAGAAGCCAATATCCATCAAAGAATGATTGCTAAGAAGTTTTAGGTCCTCATCATCGCAATGGCTGTCAGTTTCGGCATCCAGTCCTGGATCGAAGGAGGTTTCATCGCCGCCGTCATCGGGCTGAACATCGTCGTCGGTGTCTATCAGGATTACGCCGCTGAGAAGACCATGGATTCGCTGCGATCGCTCAGTTCGCCCACAGGTGTAGTTTCTCGCGACGGCAAGACGGCAACCGTCCCAGCAAATGAGATCGTCCCCGGTGACATGGTCGAATTGAAAGTAGGAGATACTGTCCCTGCTGATGTCAGGTATGTACCAACCCGTATAGAATATCAGAATACCAAGCTAACCCTTCATAGACTCGTTGAAGCATTCAATTTCGAAACTGACGAAGCGCTGCTAACTGGCGAGTCCCTCCCAGTCCAAAAAGATGCAGAGGCCACCTTTGAGGTCGACACAGGCCCAGGCGACAGACTGAACATAGCCTACAGTTCGTCAACCGTGACCCGAGGACGTGCTCGCGGTGTCGTCGTGGGAACTGGAATGAGAACCGAGATTGGAGCTATCGCGCAAGCCCTCCGTGGTACCGACCCGAAACGTCGCCCTGTTAAGCGTGGACCTGAAGGCGAAACGAAGAAGCGATGGTATATCCAGGCTTGGACATTGACGACCACTGATGCCATTGGCCGGTTCTTGGGTACCAATGTTGGTACACCTTTGCAGCGGAAACTGTCCAAGCTGGCGCTTCTGCTCTTTGCCATTGCTGTTATTTTTGCGATTGTGGTTGCTGCGTCGAATGACTGGCGCGGTGATAGCGAGGTTATCATTTATGCGGTCGCGACTGGTCTAGCTATGATTCCGGCGTGTTTGGTGGTCGTGTTGACAATTACTATGGCCGTCGGAACGAAGCAGATGGTCCAGCGCCATGTTATTGTCCGGAAGCTGGATTCCTTGGAGGCGCTCGGTGCTGTTACCAACATCTGCTCGGACAAGACTGGTACTCTGACCCAAGGCCGCATGGTCGCAAAGAGGGCTTGGCTCCCATCCCTAGGAACTTACTCCGTCGGTGCCTCGAATGAACCTCTCAACCCCGAAGACGGCGAGCTGAGCTTGATTGCAGAGCCCCCGGTCAAACTAGGCGAGGAAAAATTGGGCGATGTTGCATCGCCAGATGACTTGTTAAAAGATAACGATACGCTCAAGGACTTCCTCAACGTCACTGCCATGGCCAACCTGGCCCATCTTCACCAAAGTGCCACCGAGGGATGGCAGGCTCGCGGCGAACCCACCGACATTGCCATCCAGGTTTTCGCCTCTCGATTCAACTGGGGTCTGTCTCGCTGGACCAAGGGCGATAAGCCGATCTGGCAGCAACAGGCCGAGTACCCATTCGACTCAACCGTGAAGAAAATGTCTGTTATTTTCACAAAGCGCGACGACAATAACTCAGGGAAGAGTCGCGAAATGATCTTCACCAAGGGTGCTGTCGAGCGAGTGCTCGAGGCATGCACCACTATCAAATGGAAGCCTGACTCGGAGCCCGTTCCTATCAACGATGAAATACGCGATGAAATCTTGGAGAACATGGAGGCTTTGGCTAAAGAGGGTCTTCGCGTGCTGGCTATGGCCGGCCGCGAGAACACCAATCCTGCAAAAGAAGGCGACAGCCCTCTTCCCCGCGAGGACGTCGAGAAGGATTTGTCTTTCTACGGTTTGATCGGTCTCTACGATCCTCCTCGTCCGGAGACAGCTGGTGCTATTGCCCTTTGCTACAAGGCTGGAATCTCCGTGCACATGGTCACCGGTGACCACCCCGGTACTGCGCGTGCGATTGCAGCCCAAGTCGGGATCATTCCTGCGAACATGGATATGATCGCGAAGGACGTTGCCGATGCTATGGTTATGACGGCTTCCCAGTTTGACAAATTGACCGAAGATGAGATTGATCAACTTCCCACCCTTCCGTTGGTTATTGCTCGCTGTGCCCCTAATACGAAAGTCCGTATGATTGATGCCCTGCATCGTCGTGGGCGCTTTGTGGCTATGACTGGTGATGGAGTTAACGATTCTCCCTCGCTCAAGCGGGCTGATGTCGGCATTGCCATGGGTCAGAATGGCTCAGATGTGGCCAAGGATGCTTCCGAGCTAGTGCTGTCCGATGATAACTTTGCTTCTATCATCAACGGTATTGAGGAAGGTCGTCGCATTTTCGATAACATCCAGAAATTCGTTCTACATCTTCTTGCGGAGAACGTTGCTTTAGCATTGACCCTTCTTATTGGATTGGCCTTCAAGGATGAAACCAACCAGTCTGTCTTCCCTATCTCCCCCGTCGAGATCATCTGGATTATCATGATTACATCTGGTCTCCCTGATATGGGTCTGGGAATGGAGATTGCCGCCCCGGAAGTGATGGACCGACCACCGCAAAGTGTAAGTTCCTCCAAGCCTTGCCCTAACAATTCAATTTACTAACAAATCACAGAAACAAGGTATCTTCACCTGGGAAATCATCGTCGACACCCTCGTCTACGGAGTCTGGATGGCCGCCCTCTGTCTGTCCGCATTCTCCCTCGTCATGTTCCGATGGGGCAACGGCGAGCTCGCTCAGGGCTGCAACACACATTACAACGACCCCAACAAACCCTACGACTGCGACACGGTTTTCCGCGCCCGCGCCACTACCTTCACCTGCATGACCTGGTTCGCCCTCTTCCTCGCCTGGGAGATGATGCATCTGCGCCGCAGCTTCTTCCACATGCAGCCCGACTCTAAGAAACGCTACACCCAGTGGATGCATGATATCTGGCGCAACAAGTTCCTCTTCTTCGGCATCATGACTGGCTTCGTTCTTGCATTCCCTATCATCTACATTCCTGTTATCAATCACAGTGTTTTCAAGCATACCAGCATTTCTTGGGAGTGGGGTATTGTGTTTGTTGAGACGGTGCTTTTCTTCTTGGGTATTGAGAGCTGGAAGTGGTGCAAGCGTGTTTACTTCCGTCGTCAGGACCGCAAGGCAGTGGCGAATGGTGTTTCGCCTGGTGATGACCGTCGGGATCTGAGAGATTTCAGTCGGTATACCACTATGGACCGCTCGGATACCCAGGCTAGTATGAAGGTGGAGCAATCTATGGTCTAGATATCTAATGAACAAGTAATTTCAAGTACAGAGGATTTAAATCAATAGAAATAGATGCATTCTACAACAATTGCCCTGTAAAATCTCAAATTCTACGGACTTTCTTCATCGGCCAAGAGATCGAATTAGTGAAGTTCGCACATAGTGGCCTTACACACTACTTCAGGCATTACACAACAGTGTACTTTGATTTGATCTACGGAGTACTAGCTCCGAATCATCTCAAAGTTGATTTCCGCGTCGGTATCCCATTTAAACACCCTCGGTAATGGTCGGCGATACTCCGCACTGATAGTCTCGGTGCGGAGGTATTTGGCACGAAGAATAAGTGGGCATCACGGCCCGAATCCCGGATCCATTCCACATATAACGCCGACATCCATCCCTGGTGCCGAGGCTGGGCAATAGGTACCAAGACCAGGTGGCAACCTCGGACCGTCGGGCTAAGGGCTGGCCGCGTATTTTGATACCCGAAGCAGGACAACGTGATCGGGCTGGATTTTGGATTATGGGCCATAATCAGCAGGACGGGGTGGTTGAAGTTTGCCAGCTGATATTGTAAGGACATGAAACATCGTCTTGTTTGTTTGCATATAAGCATTCAAGTAACCGGATAACGACCTATGAGATAACAATTTAAATGAATGGTCTTGAATAGAGATTACTAGTAGAAAATCCCAGATGCAAATCAAGTACCTCATACTTTTATAATTTTGATACATTTCTGTGACTTTGATCGAGCCACGACTGAATCATCCGCGTCAAACCATCGATTTCCGCCTCGGTGTTTCCTGCATGCAAACACACTCGCACCCGTTCCTTTCCCTCGGGAATCGTCGGTGGCATGATCGCGCGAACAATGAATCCGTTTTCCTGGCAGAGACTCGCCAGCTGTCGCGGCTGGGATGTGCGAAGGGAGATAATGGGAGATGTGGGGAAATGGTCGACTTCGAACATGACTGATTGATATGTATGGAGGCCCGCCAGTCGTTGTCGGAGATGACCGATCAACTCCTGAAGCCGGCGTTGTAACTGTGAACCAGTTAGCTGGGTATTAGGAGTATGGAGAAATGATCAACTTACTGATTCGGTTTCACCAGATGCTAGGATCTCATAGGCTGCGCGAATCGATGCCAGGAATGGGAATCCTAGAGCGGTGGTATAGATCAAACTCCGCGCATAGTTGATCAGGTAATCCCTTGTCTCTGGTCCACAGAGAACCACGGCTGGATATGGTCAGTTCGGTATTTCAACGGGCGATCAAAACAGATCATACATACCTCCATGACTCGCTAGTGCCTTGCCGAATGTGTGCACTCGGATGAACATGCGATCCTGAACGCCGAGTTCCTGAACCACGCCCGCACCCCGCGGTCCAAACACACCAGTCGCATGCGCTTCATCGACGTAGAAATATCCATTGCCTTGAGGTAGCAGCTCATCAACAACCGCGATAAACTCCTTGATGGGCGCAACATCGCCATCCATGCTGTAGATGGACTCAATGAGCACGAAGACATTGCGCGCGCCTTCCGCAATAGCTGGGTCTTCATCTATTTGCGACTGCAGAGCCTCTCTCAAGCCAACCGGCGAACTGTGGGCAAACATCTCCCGAGGACCGGCCCGCGACAGACGCATGCCCTCATGGGCACTGGCGTGAATGAACTCATCGTACAAAATCACATCGCCTGGTTGGGGGATGCTGGATAGTACGCCGACGTTGGCGTCGTAGCCGGAGTTGAATAGAAGTGCTGTCGGGGCTCGATGGAATGTCGCGAGGAAGTTCTCGAGCTCTTCCGCGTAAGCCGAATTCCCGTCTAATAGCCGAGATCCCCCGCTGGCAAGAGGGAATGATGGCGGCGTGTTGTTCAACAGTGCCAGAAAGCGTTCTCGGTATGCAGAGGAAGTTGACAGTGACAGGAAGTCATTGGAGGAGAAATCCACAGCTGTCCGGGGTAAAATGGTCAGCCTCCGACGGGCGGATTTGGCTTCCCGGCGCGACAAAGTGGCGGATAGTGAGTCAACGAGTGTTTTGTGCGATGTTTTCCCTGCTGTCCCTGCTGTCCTCGATGTCCCCGGAGGAGTCATATCGGCTTTCATGATCACGTCGATTCCTTTGTTCCTGTTCCTGTTCTGTTCTTGTACTGTTCCTGTACTGTTCCTGTCAACGGCTATTCACTTGATTTCCGATTCGAATATTGTTGATTGTTGAGATTGGCAAGAGAACCAATTCAATTCCCAAAGCCAAGATCCCAAGTCGTTGAGAAACCCAACAGGACAATCCGGTGAAATGCAAAATTGTGGGGATTTGCGTGGAGTCGGAAACTCAATGGCAGTTGACCCGCCGAGGTCTCTTGGACTTCATCGTGACTCACTTCATTCATCTCGTCATGCCTCCGGTCGGCGCAGCGCTCTGGCGCAGTTTACGAGCCCACCAAGTCTACGGCGCTAACACGGACGTGGGGAAGACAATTATCTCCACGGTGCTGTGTAATGCGGTTCAACACCAGAAACAGCGCGCCGCATTCCTCAAGCCGGTTTCTACGGGGGCATTAGATGATGCCGATGATCGGTAGGCGAACTTTGAAGCAATTCGATTGAATTAATTCCGGTCACTGACGGTCGCAGGCACTTGCGGCGTTATGGCGCCGGGACGCTCACCAAATGTCTCTACCAATTCGACGATCCCGTGAGCCCGCACTTGGCAGCAAAGGATAAATTTGTAAGTGCGATTGTCCTAATTAAAAGACTTAAAGCTCATCGCGCAGGTTCCGCGAGACGATGACCTTCTCGCATCCATACACAACACACTGTCCGGCTGGGCGCGGTCCGACATTGACTTCGCCCTTGTTGAGACGGCCGGGGGCGTGCACTCCCCGGGCCCCAATGGCAACTCACAGGCTGACTTGTATCGACCACTTCGGATGCCAATCGTGTTGGTGGCAGACTCTCGTCTAGGGGGTATCTCTTCTTCGATTTCTGCCTACGAGTCGTTGCTTCTCCGTGGCTATGATATCTCATCGGTTCTCGTGTTCCGAGATGAGTACTATCAAAATCATGAATACCTCCGGGAATACTTCCAGAAAAAGAGCATTCCCTTGGTGTCGCTACCAGCGCCTCCAGCCAGACCGTCGCGGCTGGATGCCGACTCCCAAATAAGGGACGAGGAGGCCATGTTCAGCTACTACCAAAACTCCGCAAAGGAGTCGGAGGTTCTCCGATTGCTTGAAGAAATGTCCGTCAATAATACCGAGCGCGTCCAGCGTCTCGAAGAGATGGCCGACCGTGCGCAAGAGCTGATATGGTACCCCTTTACCCAGCACCAAGGCATGAAGGCCAAGGACATTACCGTCATCGACTCAGCGCATGATGACTACTTCCAAACATTCGGCTCCAACACATCCAAAGATGCAGAGGGTGAACTGCGCCCGACATTCGACGGATCCGCGTCCTGGTGGACTCAAGGCTTAGGCCACGGTAACCCCGAACTAGCACTATCTGCTGCCTATGCCGCCGGTCGGTACGGACATGTCATGTTCGCAGGAGCTGTCCATGAGCCAGCGCTGACGCTTGCGGATAATCTACTGAAAACCATCGAAAACCCGAGGTTTACTAAAGTCTTCTACACGGACAATGGAAGTACAGGGATGGAAGTTGCTGTGAAGATGGGTCTACGCGCTTCTTGCGACCGGTACGGTTGGGATGCCTCCCAGGAGCAGGTTGGTATTCTTGGACTCAAGGGTAGCTACCACGGTGATACTATCGGTGTGATGGACTGTTCGGAACCTTCGACATTCAATAAGAAGGTTGAGTGGTATCGTGGTCGTGGCCACTGGTTCGATTTTCCTCTTGTCAAGATGGTTGGCGGATCTTGGAAAGTCGAGATCCCCGGTGAGCTGCAGGGAGAACTCGGCGAGGATGTTGATTTCGCTTCCTTGGGATCGGTGTTTGACCTCAGCCAGCGTCTTGAGTCTGCCACTGCCCAGCGGTACAAGGACTACATCCGTCGCACTATTGAAGATCTCGTTCAGCGCCAAGGAGTGAAGTTTGGAGCATTGATCTTGGAACCGGTCATCCTCGGTGCGGGTGGAATGCTTTTCTGGTAAGAATATACGATCCTTCATTTACATGAACTAACGATTCCCTTAGTGACCCTCTCTTCCAGAGATGCCTGACCGATGTGGTCCGCGACCACCCAGAGCTGTTTTCCCCCAACGCTACCGCACCCAAACAATCCCCGTCGTGGTCCGGCCTGCCAGTCATCTTCGACGAAGTCTTCACCGGATTGTACCGTCTCGGTCGGCGGACATCCGCCTCTTTCTTAGGAGTGCACCCCGACGTGGCCGTCAACGCCAAACTCCTCACGGGCGGGCTGGTACCACTCTGCACGACTGTCGCTAGCGAGGAAATCTTCAATGCTTTCTCGAGTCCCGAAAAGAGCGATGCCCTTCTCCACGGCCACAGTTACACCGCCCATGCAGTTGGATGCACGGTCGCTGTTGACTCCTTGAAGACCATGGCCAAGCTTGATACCGATGGATCGTGGGATGCATACCGCGCTGACTGGCGTAGCAGCTCGCCTGCTACTGTTGAATCTTCAGCTCCCGAGGTGTGGAGTGTCTGGTCACATGGTCTGCTTGAGGACCTCTCTTCCACGAAGTCCGTGGAGAGCGTGTTCGCCATTGGAACCGTGCTGAGTATCTCACTGCGTGATGCAGCTGGTGGAGGTATGTTATGTTCTTCAGACCTGAATCATTGATAAAGCTAATATATGACAGGCTACAACTCCAATGCTGCAAAGGGACTGCAGCAGAAGCTGGCTGTTGGTGGTGATCAGTTCAATGTTCACTCGCGCGTCCTTGGAAACGTGCTTTACTTGATGTCTAGTGTCACTTCCAAGCCCGAGTCGCTACGAGAACTGGAGCGTCTCCTCCGTTCAGCATTAGTGTAGGTACTATAGACGTGAATACCTAATCATATCTACTGTACAGTTGTGCAGTTGTGCATTCGTTTGTACAATCAGGAATATAAGAGAGAAAAAAATAAAGGGAACCAATTTGAAAATATGTGATACAGGAAATGTACCCATCAATACTCATAATAATTCCGGAACTCGTCATCCTCACCCTCACCCTCATCCAGATCGACCTCGTCCTCGAAGGAAATAAACACATTATCAAAAAGAGGCAGAGTGCCATCCCCGTCTGCCGTCTCCCACTTTTCCTTTTCAGCATTAGTAAGTGCAGCTAATGTTACACCCCGAGACTCTAATAAGTCGATCATATCCTTGTCACCCTCATTTTAGCAGTATAGAGTCCAGTATGTCCGTCCTTTAAAATATTGAATCCTCTATTAAGAAGAAATCTCACTATAGACTTATCCTCGTTTAGTATAGCTAGCTTTAACGCTATTACTTACGGCCCTATACTGTATTCGAGTAATATAGGGATAATTTCCCGTCCATTATCTTCGACAGCACGATATAATGGTGAAGGAGCAAATAGCTCTAGATTAGTACCACACTGAAGCAGTAACTTTACTAGTTCTACCCTCACGTGCTATACCGCAGTGAAGAGGGGCGGGTAATCAATCGCCTTAGTATACCACTAATTGTAAGTAGCCAATATAGATTCCCTACTGTAGAAGTTGGCCTGTGTACCAAAGTCTAGTAAAAGGGTCACAGTTTCGGTATAGCCACCCTTAATTGCCAGCACTAGAGCATGCTGGATATTCCTAATACCCAGGATGCTGTATCCCTATTGGAGAAGAGGGTGGGTAGAAATATCCATAGGGTCCAGACTTTCTCGTATTCTGTGTATTGTGTCTTCTTCTTCTTCCTACATTCTTAGCATCGTGCCTTTTTCGTACATTCTTATAGGTTTCCGTTCCGTTGCTTCTACCACTGCCCGGGATGCTGGAGGCTGGTTGCTAGCAGCATTTAGCACGTCTAGCAAACTTTGAACTTATGAAAAGAGGTTCCGCTGGGCGAGAAACCAGAGCCTGGCTCCATATCTATACCGGGCGTGAAAGTAATATAGAGACTTGATAAGTCTTTCGTATAGATCACGATTGGTGTGGACGAAGGCGTAAATATCCGTTTAGCGGCAAAGGCATGATGCGATGATCCACAGGATCTCAGTGGGTAGTTCGACGAGCCCCATTACAGAAACATGGATTCAATCTCGCGAGTGTATGTATGTATATACAGGGGAAGTTGAAGATACGTAGAACCAGGCACGGCTAACCCGCAGCGGGTCGTGGGCTTTGGTGCACGTGACGCCAAGACCGGCCACGTGAGCGGCTTAAAATGGTGTCAAAAGCGGCCGTTTGTGGCCTCCCTTCACCGTGTCATCCTTAATATGAGTAAAAATGAAAAGAACGAGTAGTAAATGGGGAGTTCCGTGGGTGCGAAATGTTGTTAGGGTGCGAATAGGGCAGACAGAGCTCTGAGCGAATGGGCGAGTTTTGCAGGTCCGGGGCAGGCTCTGGAAGGCCGCTGGCGTACATAACACCTAAAGACCTTATGATTTAATAATGCGGAGCAATATGAAGCAAAAATGGTTGAATGGATCCTACAATTAAGGGATTGTAGCTCCACAGTTTATATCCGTGAGAGTTGGACTTCTATAAGATACGCCATGACCTCAAGGTAGGATTCGTTATCAACCGGGCTTATTGCAATCTTAAAAACCGCTTCACATGTAAGCGCTATACCGGGTTGGGCAAGCCTATGTAGGGGCCATGGCGCCCTAGATATAGCCTCGGACCCTGTTTTTCACTTCCCCCGCAGTCTTTTCCGTGTTTATCATCTCCTGCCACCTTTGTGTCTTCGTGTCTTGAGATGTCACTGCCTGTTATCTCGGTCGCGGGGAATGGGTTATTGAGTAGGGGCCATCGATTTCAGATCAAAGGTAAGATCATTTGAACTGTGTTATCGATGCCAAGCCAAGATAACATCTGAAACAGGTGTCGATTACATCGGAGATGCCTCTGGTTCGACTACAATCGATGTTTTGGCAGATTCGAGGGCTAGCCAGTGCGCAATCGATGCGCCTATCCTCAAGGCACTCGGGGCCAACACTATCAGGGTGTACTATACAGATGCGACTCAGGGTCACGATAAATGCATGCAGACTTTCCAGGACAATGGAATATACGTGATTGCAAACATGGCAACTCAAAGAGCTTGGACGGATGTCAGCTCGAACATAGTAAGCATTTCCGGTTGCTCGTGTAATTTTTATGGATAATAACATCTCTGCAAGGTCAACTCACCATGGCAAATGGGCGTTTTCGAACAATATGCGGCTGTTCTTGATTCAATGGCCGGGTATAGCAATCTCCTGGGGCTTCTTATTGGAAATAATATTATTTCCAGCCAAACTATTACTGGTCAAGGTATGAAACCCACCGCTCACAGTCTTTGCGCTCACTAAATGTATGACATAGGCCCTACAGTCGACCTAGCCCCATACCTAAAGGCCGCAGCCCGGGATATGAAAGCTTATGCTGCTGCTAGGAAGTACCGCGCTATACCTATTGGATACGCCACAGATTCAGAGTATACCTATATCCAAACGTTGGGAGAATACTTGGTGTGCGGAGGAAAAAGTGACGAGGCTATCGACTTCTATGCAGTCAACGAACTCGGGTGCAACTCGTCCATGAGCGCCTCTGACTACGATGTATTGACGTCGAGGCTAGGAGGCCTAGGGGTTCCCGTTATCATCTCTGAAACTAGCTGCAACCACCATGCGCCGCGGCTCTTCGAGGTTAGCACGCAAACAACCCTGGCCGACTACAATTCGTTGAAAAGGTGGTCTGCCGTGACTGCAAATACCCTCCCTCCACCTACGCTTCCTACTCCTTCCTGTCCATCGATCAATGCATACTGGCCTATCAACCCCAGTGCCGCATTGCCAACGATTGCAGGTCTTGGCTTTGCGACGATCCAAGCAGCGCATGCTGCCAGTACCGCGGATGGAACCCGCACGAGTACTAGCATACGCCCCAGGAGCACCTATAGCCCGCCACACAATACTTCAAGGGGTACAATGGCTGGAATCGGTATCGGTGCTACGTCTGGCGTAGTGCTCGCTTTCGTCGGCGCGTTCCTATTTTACAGGCGCCAATGGAAAAAGAAAGGACGAAGACATCCATCATCTTCGTTACCACAGACGTCGGGAAGTTCTCATCAAGACGCTGAATTGGGTCACATCGCTGTGCCGGCTAAATCATCTCATACTGATTTACCGAGTCAACTACCAGGCTCGAATCCTAAGGCCTGAGATCTTGACTCTGTTGTGGTTCACAAGGCTGGCAGGGAAGAGGTATGATGAGTCCGATGGTGACGTATTCTGACGTGCTCACTGTTGCCATATGCAGTTTGTAGACCTTCTGTATGGCATTACTTCCTTCTCTTTCTCTTCTCTGGCAGACAGTTTGCCGGCAAACGCGCAGCTTGGCGCTTCGGCGTCTCCTTTATATATCCGTAGAGATACTTCTTCTGTGTTCTAGTAGATGGAATCTGGCTGGCTTTGTGGTACGAAGCTATATAGACAATCCTGAGTACAGTAGCTAGTTTCCTATCTTGTATCAATCTTTATCTTTCTACTTCTAGTTAATTACTCTATTCCCTCCCATTAACTTCGTTCCCTCTTCTACGGTCGACAACATTCTCATAGTCCGAGCCTTTCGCTCGACCCATCCGAATGTAGACACAAAACAACAATTGACCACTTGCACCGCATTAAAATGAACGTTCCTGGCCCTGCTCCACCTTCATACCATCTACCCCAAACACGCCCTGTAACCCCATCATCATTCTCGACCGTCGTAGCCGCTAGCGCGTTCGTTCAAGGCAGATAAACCGATTGAGGGAGTTCCGTGGTTCTTCGGGCCCCTGCGCAGCTTCTTTCGCGTGTCCATCCACGATCTACGCGCCAGCAGGAACACGAGATGGCTTTCTGGCCACATATAATATCTTTAAAGTAGAAACCATTGAAGCATGGCCGTATTAAATCGATTATATGGAACATCAAACTCTGTCCTTGCCCTACTCAATCTGTTCAAGTCTTTCAACGATTGATCATCTTTCGAATATGAAGCCTTATCTTGTATCTGAAATAGAACCCTAATGCTACCGTAGAGATATATACAGAAGCAAGTATCCGAGACACTCAAGATTATAAGGGCAGATTAAACCAGAGAAATGCCGGAGATCCGAAAGGTATTGTAGACAAATGTGTATAATTCCACCCATGTATGGCAATTTCAACTCGCCGAGTCATCAAAGCAGACACTGCTTCTGCACAATGAATCGTCCATGTCTTGGCTATACGTGTATTCTGAATATTGATCTGCAATTTCTTCGTCATATTGACCGGACATACACCCGTCTGCTCCAAGCTGAGCTAGAGCATCAATCTCCTGACCGAGCGTGTTTGAATCCCCCGAAAATAATGCATCCAGGGCGTCTTGATTTTCTGTCTCTTGATAGAAACTCGGGGCTGAAGCCCGGAAGTGAGCTTTCTCTTTGAGTCTGTGCGTCATGACAATCCTCATCATTTTGTGCCTGGCGACCTGATACTCCAGCTTTTGATTGAATTCTTTGCTCAGCTTGAACTCACGATTGACATCTTTGTGGGTCAACTGCCTTAGAGTCATCTTTTCACTACCCGGAAGCTCATCTGGGTTGTAATTCAGTGCGTAAGCCATTTGAACTTCATGCAGGTTTTCGGGAGTCGCCATGAATCCACTCTGCTTGATCGCTCCATCAAGGATAATGATCACATCACAGGCACATTTAACAACCATCCTAGCGGCAGGCCACATTGCCTTGGGTATTGGAGCAATTCCGAACAGGAGAAGCTTGTTGGCACCAGCGAGGATATTCCAAAAGTCAGTGCCGATGCTTTCCATCATGAACCTGGAAAGGTTTCGCAAAATAACCTTCGAAAACACGTGTGCCGCGGCGTCTGGTGGGATTTTGGGTAGCCCGAAGCAAGACAGAATACGAGAACAGAGGACCCGGCACATTATGGGAGTTGTTGTAGAGTCAGTCAAGGGTATTGCAGCTATGACTCGTTGCCACATGTGGGCATCGTAGTTTATCATGTCAAACGTCCTTTGAATGGCCACTCCGATTTTAAAATCCATGTCACGCCTCAAGGCAGCCGCGACAGAAGTTTTTCTTTCTGGACTGTATCTTTCAACTTCTTCTAAAGTCGTTCTGACAAGTTTTCGTATAGAAGAATCGGTATCTGTGTAAGATTTAGCAAAGTCCCCCAGCTGAAAAGTCGAATTCAGGTCAGAGTCATAGATCTTACCCTTTGAAGTATGAACCACACAAGCTTTCGGGTCATGTTTTTTGACATCCATTTCAAATGGCCGCTCTGCCTCGAAAAACTCCTTCTCAGCCTGTGCTTTGATTACTTCCCAAGCCAGTCCATTTGGTTCTTTTGACTCATTCTGTTTCTGGCCTTCTGCTGCCGCACCGAGTATATCAAACTGCCGTTCCTTAAGCTCTTTGTCCATTTGAGTTCTCACTACAATAACCGGTGTATGGCAATCGAATTCTTTCAACACATGGAAAAGCTCAGCGTGGGCTGGTTGAAGGCGTCGTTTTGAGGATACTTCTATGCAAAGCCTAAAATAACTTTAGCGCTAGAAATGAACATTCCAGGGTTTGAGATTACATACCATATAACGTCTAGTCGCTCGTTTGGGTCTGCTGACTTTTGGCGTTGCTCAATGAAATCTCTCAATATATTGACTTCTTTTGATTCTCCATATTGGAAACCACGAGAATCATGAATGATAATTCCGGGGTGCAAATCGCTTTCCAATGCCTCATTGATATCGTGAGAAACCGATTCTTTATCGCTTGTTTGCGTCTGCTATCAATTAGATGCTGTCTAATAAAGTTCTCGTTTCTGAAACATTACTTACCAATTCAATGCCAAACACAGCATTAAGAAGAGTAGACTTGCCAACCCCAGTGGCTCCACAAACAAGGATGCGGCATTTGGGTAAATGATCCAAATTGTATGCTGAGACCCAGGGGTCAAATTGCTTCTCTTTAAGCAACTTCGTTTCTCGGAATCTTTGGAGGTCCAAGGAAAGCTCTCTGGGCAATTCGTTTACCTTCAGATACCGAGGATAGATATCCATCAGAAAATATACTGAAGGGTGTATTACTACCCCAAAAGCACCTAATGACGTTGGTTTGAGCGTATATTCTCATCTCAGATGCTTCTTTGATTGACTTACAATCATGAGAATAACCAACCAGTTCATTCCTAGACGCAGACGGCGTGTCGGTTTCTTCAGATGCGAATATAGCTCGATATATTGATCCACTGCCTCCATAGCGGTGTTGCGTATAGGGTCTCGTTTTATTCAACTTGACGTTGTGTCGCTGATTTGCGGGAATGCGATGATTCCCTGGCTCCTTTCTTGCTTGGATAAGGACGTTCTTTTTAGGTCGCTGATCTTGCTCTTGTTGCAAGTTACCGTGCTGGTGAGAAATACGCAAATTGTATAGCTGGATCGTGAGGTTATTGGCATATCTCAAGGTCCAGGGATCGATCACTGATGACTTGGAGTCCAAGGTTTTTCCGCTTGATGGAAAAACAAGTTGCACTATGTCCTCAACAAGTTGCCCTTCCTTCTTATCGGGTAAAATGGGCTTGTTCAAGCATAATCCTTTTTTCTGGGCTTCGATCAACATCCACTGCAGTGGATAAAGAGAAAGTCCATCTTGATTTGCGCCCCCACCAATATCTATATGAGATCCCGCGAACCACGCTTCAACGTATTTGGGTGTTTCATAAGCGTTTTTTGATGCATCCTCACTAAGCAGACGAACCTTAAGTGTGTTATCATCTTCATGCATAGAAGCTGCATGATAAAGATATATCGAGGCTGGCCATTGCAACGATTGATCGACGGATGAATCATGTATCGTGTCAAATAGTCCTACAAAACATAGTTTTGGCAGGCATTTCTTTGCTCCACTTTCACGAATCCTAAATACATTAGCAAGGGGACTAGATTTCAAGTCCCAAAGTTCCGTTCCTACCATTTCTCGAGCTGAATAGAGGCCAGGTCAGTATCAGAAGGCATGGGGATAAAGACGACATTTGACATACCTCAACCAGCGAACTTGAAGATTTCTTCAATTTGAAGAATGATGAGAAAGAACGTTGTACGGGCCGGTGTTCGTCACGTTTGGCAGCCCAAAGGAGATCTACCACCGCACGAATGGCCACTGATTGGGACCAATTATTTAGCTTGGTGAGGCTTCGTTGTAGAAGAAGGGTTGTACTTACATGCACCCTTGCTAAATCCGAAAAGCCATATCTCATCTTCCGTACTTGCTGATTTGCAAATCTTCCACAATTTGTTAGCTTGTAGAAGGGATAGTGATTGGTTTCTTTTACTTACGTCGACAAGCTCTTTCGTTCTGTCGATAATGGACTTTTTACTCGATTTGAAATATCGAATAACCTGCAGTAGAATATGTCAGTCACCTTATGAGACTATAGACATGTTGCCCGATAGAAATGATATATCCTCACCTGGTTTACGTCTCCCTTATCGTCAGCTACCTTACCCTCTTTCGTCGCTGAGCCGATTCGCCATATTGTGCTTTTGCCGCCACTACCATAGTCTGGACTCAGTCAGCCTGGGTAACTTCACGTCAAGGAACTAGGCTTTCGATTACTCACGGAGCTCCCCTTCATCATTGTACCATGGTCCATCGACAAGAATGACATGTCTCTTACGAATGTTCTTCATGATCAGCCCCTAGTAGGATTGAAGATGTCCGTTCGTATGGATGTCCCAAGGGAAATGAGATTGAGGGAGAAACAGTGTTCAGATCGAAGTGGGAAGATGAATAAATGAGAGAAATTTCTGAGTAGATAGTTTTCTAAGGTTATAAAGTAGAGCCTAAAATAGCCTGTCTAGTAAAAAGCAAGCATACACATCTCAAGCGCACGCCCGGGCAAACATGGCTACTGCAATCAGAAACGCCACTATCACTCCAGCGTAACTTGTATACGGGCGACTATCCGAGCGCCGGCTTTAGATTAGGAAGCCTGGGCCGAATTGCTCCAGGATCCAACGTAGTCTAGACGTGGTTGGCTGCAAGACAAGGCAAGTCATGCCGACGACGTGCAGATGTATGTCAGTTCAACTCTTGTTTTTGGTTTGATAGATGCCGTCGCTATACGAGACCTCTCTATGATTCATGCAGGCGAGTTAAGTGCAGTAGTATTAGCATTGACACGAGTCTTATCTCGTAACGTATTCGGTAAGCGAGCTGCGCACCCCAAATCATATAGTAAAAGCGATAAATTACAACATGATAATGCAACAACTGTGGTCAATATAAACTCTATCTTGTAGCATATTGCTCTCCATATGATATCTGATCACTCTAGGGAGTTTTGAGAAATTTAGTAATAGTGATTGAGATATATATATTTCTTATAGTTCAGTGATGTAATTTTCAATACCGCAATGATACAACTTTCCGATTTCTCTGAGATTGAGATATATTGCTAAAAGTTCTTATCGATGGCTATCGACAAGTAATAAAAGCAAGTTGAAACGTCGTTGGGGAGATATAAATGTGGAATATGTTGCATTTACTGCGCAGCTCGCTTACCGAATACGTTAAGTGGTCAGCCACACTGTAATCCAATTATTTACAATTTTTCAACTTTTCCAGCCTCACCCCTTCTGCATCTATGGTAAAAAGTGATTTTTCCGAGTCTCCAGCCAGTAATACCTCGATATTTTCGAGATCTTCATTTTCGTCTGATCTTTGCGGGGTTGAGATTGATTGTTTTACCGAGTCTCACCACCCTTAAGCCAATGAAATCAAAGAATAACCCAGCCGCAATCACTGTCAGATCTAGATCTAGGCCTAGAATGCTTGGACTAGGAGAGGCGGAGCACTAAGAGCGAGCTTATATGAGCTATAGCCTTCCATGCCGCCCGTGCTCTTCAGCAAGCCGTGCTGTGACTCATTTCCTCCCGAGAGCCATACTCGCTCGAAAGGAGAGTCATGGTCTGGAGCTACCAAGCCATATACAAGCTATTATTAACGCGTTCTCACAATTTCACTCATGGTATAGACAGGTACGTCTGGTGAATTTCCCGTACGGTACCCGTGGAATGACTGCATATGTCGACTGTGCTGTATGTGTAAAAATTGGCCGTCTAATCAATAGTATACAATTGTCTGGAATTCTGTATTGGCCCCCCTCACACAATTTATTGTTACAGGGCCATGATTATATCAACTAAATTACAAAACATATAGGATTAATTGATCCTCCGGTATGCCGGTCTGTATACTCCGATATACCTCCTTAGGAAGTGTAGTATGGGCTTGTTGGACTGAGATAGTGCCTTAGTAGATCTATCGGTAACTATGCTCGCTATAGTAACCTATTTTACCTTGATATATCCTTCTGAGAAGTGTTCTAACACTAGCTGGCTTTGTGGTACGAAGCTGTACAGTAGCTAGTTTCCTATCTTCCATCAATCTTCATCTTTCTGCTTCTGGTTGATCACTCCATTCCCCTGTAGTCAGGACGTTTCATCAGATGAAGCTTGAGCGACAGATCTGATCTAATGGAATATCAGATTAATTAGAATCGTTCATCTTTGAATGTATTTTCTAGGCTATTTTTAGAGTTCTCATGTGTACCTCAAACCCAACTAATGTCGAGGCAAATCATACCACGACGACTGCCCTGAACACATTCCTCGACACGTTACACATGCACCAGCTGCGACGATGAGGACATATCTGACTGGACCCCAATCATCAGGAAATCCGAGGAAATGACCACGGTAGCTTCTAGACGGAATTTCAATTCAACACCCAGGCACCTCCTCTACTCAAAGCCCAGGCCAAAGTTTCCTAGAAGTCTACAATATGCGATGTACACACCGTGGCCACCATGGATAAGTCAATTAAGTCAATTCTAGCAACTTAATGACATTCCCTACAGAATAGTATATTGCACAAGCCTACGTTGTCGGCCCCATGGAATCTCGACGTTAAGACCACCTTCGCTACTTTAGTGGGGTACGGCTATTCTGCGGGTGTGGACAACTAGTCAATATATTCACGGATAATTCCGGCCCTTGGTTCATGAATTCATCTTCGGTGGATAGATACTCCGTAAGGAGGAGTTTGTGGAGCAGCAACACTCCCATTAACTAAATTACAAGACGGACCCCACGATAACTACGAGTGGAGTGCTCTTTACGACTAGCCCGAGTGCGGATAATCATTATTCACGCGTTTGAACATTCACTTACGTTTGAATTGCTTGCAACCTGGGGTAAGTCTGGAGATGCAGGGACCAGAATGTGGAGGGAGGTACGATGTACAATATACACAATACATAGGTACGGAGACTCCATTGTCTATTTCGGTAAGTGGTATATAATCGAAAGTCCCGATTAGGAAAGCATTGAGTTATTATTTATAATAATGGGTCTATTTGGTCCAAACAAATAGCACCATCTGCCCCAATGGCCTGCATTATCCTTCGGATATGCGGCTTTACGAAATAACCGAACCATTGCCTAGGTGAGATTGGCAAGGCTTGACTAGAATTGATTTTTTTGGTGGCGAAAGAGCTTCACTCCCCCACAGTTGCTCTTTGTATACTGGAATTCTTCTGGCTACTGAGCCCTAAAATTTGCCTTCTCTCAGGTACGGTGTACAACGTACGATGCCGTTCATCCATATTCACAATAACCGACATAAGTTGCATAGAGTAACCACGATTATACGGCTGCACGTCTTGGCATTTAGTAACAGCTCGAAGCCATTTACTCGGTATTGGCCCGGGACAAGCTTGGAAGCGGCTACCATCGGCCAGCAGCGCAGTCCGGCATTCTTCTTAGATAATAGAATTCCGAGCCGAGTCTGTAATTGGTCTGTTTTCAGGAAAGCGGGTCATAATGACTCCACTCATCTGTTCAGAAGCGGGTCTCCCTACGCTTAATTTATATGATCGCAACTTGGCATCAAAGCTTTTCTCTTTTTTCGTCTCAGTGAGCCGCAATATTAACTAAATATGGTAGAAATAGGAAATAGGAAATAGAAATTCATTCACCGTTCAGCCCGGTACATCCCCACCTTCCAGAAGATCCGGGCTCCAGAATTTTGCCCTCCAACTCTCCATACAAGTGAAGCCGGGGTTGTCTCAGACGTTGAGGAAAGATCCACCTCTGGTCGAGAATTTTTTTCCTTTTGCACATATACAAGTGGCTGGGCTCTCTCTTTCCTTCTGTCTTTTCTATATTCCAGTTTTGGCTCTATACGCGTCGACATCATGATTCCAGATGGAGTGACACCCTACCAGGACCCGACTGACTCGGAGTCGGGGTATAATGAGAAGAAGATTCTAGAGGAGAGGCCACAGTATCAGGATGCCTTTGGAGATGAGGAGGGTGCCGAGGTTAAGTATAAGACTATGAAGTGGTGGTAAGTACACGCAATGAAACAATCATCAAGGATATAGGCTAATTCCGTAATAGGCAAACGGGAATGTGTAAGTGCTACCACACGCATGATCAAAACTGTCATCAGTTGATTAGGTACAATGAACCAACTCTGACCACCATCTAGTCATGATCGCCGAATCCGTCTCTCTCGGAGTCTTGTCCCTGCCCAAGACCCTCGCCCAGCTAGGCCTTGCCCCAGCTCTCATCCTGATCGTCGGACTGGGCATTCTCGCTACCTACACCGGATACACAATCTACCAATTCCGCAACCGATACCCCCATATCCAGAATTTAGCCGATGCCGGCGAGGTCTTGTTAGGTGCTTTTGGACGCGAGCTGTTCGGCCTCGGCCAGCTGCTCTTCTCGATTTTCATTATGGCTTCCCACATCTTGACTTTCAGCGTCATGATGAATACCGTTACCGAACACGGCACTTGCACGATGGTTTTCACAGCTGTTGGATTCGTCATCTGTTTCGTCTGCTCTTTACCTCGTACTATGAAGAACATGACCTATATCTCGTGCATGTGTATGTACCAGGTTCCCCTTACTTGGAGAATAATCACTAATTTCCTTCGATAGCCTTTATCAGTATCGTCACTGCTGTCATCATCACTATGGTCGCAGTCGGGGTGCAGAACAAGGGTGGTCAGAATCTCAAGGCTACCGTCGACACCGATTTGGTCCAGGCTTTCGGCGCCGTCACCAACATCGTCTTCGCCTACTGCGCCCACGTGGCTTTCTTCGGTCTGCTCGCTGAGATGGAGGAACCGAGGGATTTCCCCAAGGCTCTGGTCATGCTGCAGACCTTTGAAATTGTCTTCTACGTCGTTGCTGCGGTGGTCATCTACTACTATGTCGGCCAGGAGGTCACATCCCCCGCTCTTGGATCCGCAGGTCCTATCATGAAAAAGGTGGCTTACGGAATCGCCATCCCAACTGTACGTTCTCCCCATCCGATCCCATATCCAGCAGCTGACATTCTCAGATTATCGGTGCCGGCGTCGTCAACGGCCACATCGGTCTGAAGTACATCTACGTGCGCATGTTCCGAGGCACCGACCGCATGCAGAAGCGTGACTTGGTTGCCATTGGTTCCTGGGTAGGCATTGGTCTTGCTTGCTGGGTTATTGCCTGGGTTATTGCCGATGCCATTCCCGTCTTCAGTGATTTGCTGAGTTTGATTAGCTCGCTGTTCGCGAGTTGGTTCAGTTATGGTCTGGGTGGTGTGTATTGGTTGTTCATTAATAAGGGCAAGTGGTTCTCTTCGCCGCGGAAGATTGCTCTCACTGTTGTGAACTTGTGCGTTATTCTGATTGGTGGTTGTATGTGTGGTCTTGGCCTTTATGTTTCCGGCAAGGCTATTCATGATGACTCTTCTAATGACAGCTTCTCTTGCGGTAATAATGCTGCGGTCTAGGCTTGTTGTTTGTATATATATGTTTTGATGTACACTTGCTACTTGGCGATATCAATTGATTTGGTTATAGATTTCTGTACATAGATTTGGCTTTGAGCATTTCGAGCATATTTAAGATACTATTTTTCGATGAATAAGGGCTACAAAAAGATGCATTATAGCTTCGGATAAGAACCGACAGAGATGATATTCGATGTGTATGTGCAGGTTTGGGCATGATCTTCGGTAACAAAATTAGTCAACACAATAGGAAAATATCTCTAACATCTAAACAGGAACTGTAAATCGCTATGAAATGAAATCTGCTAGCTCAAGAAGCTCAAGTACGGCACATCCGCCCCGAATCAGACACAGACCAGGCATCACTGCCAACAGCCTTGAGGGCATAGAAGAACGACGAAGGATCCCACTTGCGCTTGATAGTAAGCAGAGGGGCGTAGTTGCTTCCGAAGAAGGTCTGCTGCCAGTTCGGCTGGCGGAAATCAGCCTCATTCTGGTAGCAGCCGCTGTCAGGAGTGACAGCCTCGAGCGCAGGCACATATTTAGTCGTAATCTTCTTTTGGTCCGCAATCATCTCGGACCAAGGCGCGGTCTCGTTCCACGGCAGGCCGAATTGCATCGTCACGGCTGCGTTGCGCAGGGCTGGGAAGACTGCGTTGGAGACGTTGACTGGGTTGGAGACGTTCATGCCGACTCCGACGGCGACCAAGCCGCCCTGGGTCAGGGTGCGCAGTGCGTCGCCCATCCCGTTGTAGTTCTGCTCGAGGGTGCTGCGGGGAATCAGACGTCCGCCGTATTGGTAGGCGCCCACGTCAAGGTTGCCCCAAGGAAGAGGACCCATGTACGTGTTGTAGTGGTCATAGTACGAGTCGTGCTCGGTGAAGCTGGCTTGGTACGTGATGTTCAGCTCGGTGAGCTTCGAGGTGAATGGCTCGAGGATGGCTTTGACGTCATCGGTAGTCTGGTTGTAGGCTGTGATGGGGTCGATGATGAAGACGCTCTTGGTCATCTGGTATATGACAGTCACACCGTGGTCGACCATGGCGGGCAGCAGAGCATGGAACTGCGAAACAGCCTCGTAGAAGGTGTCGGTGGTGATGTCAGCTGCGGTGAACTCAAGAGCGGCACCGGCAATGGACGCGTCTTGGTATGCCTTGACAACTAGGGAGATGACAACGCCGTAGTTGCCGGCGCCGCCACCGCTCAGTGCCCAGAAGAGATCGGGGTTCTCGGTGCGCGAGGCCTTGACCAGGTCGCCAGCGGCGGTGACAACTTCGAACTCTAGGGTGTTATCGGCACCAAGACCGAAGTTGCTGCTGAGGGCGGAGTGACCGCCGCCTTGGGTGTAGCCACCGGCGAGGCCGACCGTGGGACATTCGCCACCGACGACGACGAGGCCTTTGGCGGCTGCAGCCTCGAGGATCTGGTAACCAACTACACCAGCCTCGATCTTGAAGGCAGGGCCTGTGTAGGTCGGACCAGACCAGTCCTGGTACTCGATATCATTCAAGTGGTGAGTCCAAACAGAGAGGGCACCGGCACCAGTTGAACGGCCAAGGTAGCTACATCAATCAGCATTTATCTGTAGAGGATTATTGAGGCGACTTACTCATGGCCGGTATTACGGATAACGAAGCGGATATTGTTATCACGGGCAAAATTGACAGCAGCAATGACCTGCGCGCTGGAAGAGACGTTCACAGCGTAGTTCACGTAGTTGCCGAGGCGGCACGGCTTATTCTTGGACGTGTATGGGTCGCAACTCTGGTTGGCAAAGAACATTTGCATCACCGATGAAGAGGACTCAAGACTGGGGCAATTAGCGATGTCAATTTTGCCATACTAGCACCACTTACTGGGTCTGGGGTTTGTTCCAGTCGGTCTTGAGCGCTGCACAGGCGGCAGCATCGTAGTTGGGTGCATGGCAGGGGGTACCGATAGGGACGGTAGCAACCAGGCGACCACCAACGGTGTGGTTGAGGGATGCCCAAGCCGATGGGGCAGGCCAACAGCTATCGCTTGGTAAACAGTGACAGTTGGACGCAATAGCCGGGGCGGCAATAGCCACGAGGGAAGGCAATGTCCACTTCATGGTGGAGGAGATGAAAGGGATAAGGTTGGAGAGAAATGAAGGCACAGGTGCCGATCATTCCCGTCTATATACATTGACTTTGTATTCCTGCAATGAACCTGAATCTCTGAACATTCGGAGATGTTTCCTAGTGCGTCTAGTCCAATCAATAAATGTGGGACAATTTCGCCGGGGTGGGACCGAGATAGTAAGTTGAACGGCAGGCACAAGTCCCGGACTTGTGCAATATAATAGTGTTCATGCACGCGTGATCGACATGTCAGTTGCGATAGTTATCCAGTTATTTGACCGGAGATGAGTTCCAGCGTTATTCTAAGAACATGATGCTATTCTCCTTTTGCGAACCTCAGCTTTTTAATCTAATCTCGGCACGGAGGCCCCGGATAGACCAGAAATGCCGAGGATCTGATCCAGTTCTTCAGGCAAACCCCGTCGAATCCCCACTTGGAGAGAACCCCGGTCATTCCAAGATTCGGAATGTTGAAGGTTGAGGAATCCCAAGGTTGGCGCTTCCAGACTTTTCTGACCGTGGGAAAGAGTGCCAAGGCTGCCCAATCAGGCTTAGCCCCATATACTGGACAAACTTACTTTCCGAAGTGAGTTTTAAGGTCTACCGCCCACGTGGCTGCCATACTTCTATTGGTCTAGCCCTACCTTCCGCCCTTTTCGTCGGGATTCTGCCGGGGTAAACGAGGAATACCTCGTGCCAAGACCCTTACCACTATAGGAGGATATAGGTTCGGACTGTATGCTTCTTTAGAACCCCCCTTTACTTGAAGCCTCTGCCAATCCTTATATTTCAACGGTGTTTGACTGCGCCGGTAACGCAGATGAAATTCCTCCAATCGGTGTTTAATTAAACCCACTAAACCCCACCTCAGGATGTCAGCCTTTAATATATTGTATGCTTTGTGGCTTGAGGCTTCGTTTAACAATTCCGTAGTTCAGGGGTATTTTATAGGGCCTTATCTCGACAGTTACTATGACATTATGATACGTGAACCAATTATTGTCCTATTCGCATTTTCAATCCTCCCAAAGAGGCAGTTAAGAGAGAGAACCAGCCATGCACGAATTGACTTTGGGGACTTTGCACCGGATTAATAATAGGCAACATGCAACTTCCAAGACTCGAAGGCTCATTTTGACTCAAATAGAAATGATCGTCGCGAAACCTACTCCAGCCAAGGTCGTAGATTGGCCAGTCCATGGCTCAACCACAGATCATCTTAGAGCATTCCACGGTTACGGTTTAATACCCGATGGATTAAGTTGACTTTCCAAATCCAATCGTTTTCTCCAAGGCTTTCCGGGGTTGATGACACAAACTGCTAAGCTCTTTCTTCTTCCGGACTCTCACCCGTCATGCCAACTGAAATCTCTTATATATCACTTCACAATGCTATCCAGTTAGCCTCTTTATATTCCCACCATGTCACAAAATCTTGGCCCATCCCTAGAGAGGGGAATTTGGGCTGCGGTGGCCATTGCTGCGGTGATCGTTATTTTACGCGTGGTCGGAAAAATCAAGATCAATCGGTTTCGCATCGATGATGGACTGATGATCTTCGCAGAGGTATGCAGATCTCCCTGACTAGCTTGTGGATTACCCTCGACTAACGTCAATGCTCTACAGATCCTTGCAATCGTATCAAGCGCATTTCTGACCCTGTCGGTTCGGCACGGCTTCGGTCAAAATCTCAGCACCCTAACTACGAAGGTGTATAGCGGCCAACAGCCGGATGCCTGATTTTAATGGTTTTATAGCCTAATTAGGACTAGCTCTTACCAATTTTAGACCGGCAGGAAATTAAAATACCTGAATTACTATGACAGATCT